ACCTGCCATAGAACTTATTACACTATTATGTACTTTATGATATATATCAAAGATTATAATTATGTAATGATCCAAGGCTATTATTTTACTTAACATTTATTGTTTTTTTTTATTGTGATTGTATTGTTTTAAAAAGCAACTAATATTTTTATAGAAACAGAATATAAAATCATTAAATATATTTTATCATTAGTGTATAAATTTTATTATGTTTTCCATTTACTCTACATTATATTCTGGTACCATAATAAACATAACGAAAATACGATTACGGCTACTACAAGGTTCAAAGTAAGAGCAAAGTTGAACCTTGAACATAACGAAAATTGTTTAACTCATAATATGATGTTACAAAATTTATGAAATCTTTTGATAATAAATTTAAAACATACATACACATACATTTTATTAAAACTATTTTACCCAAACATTGGACACAAAAATTGTGATAAATGTCTTTAAAATTTATCGATCAAACTTTATCGGTGACTTGTTTTTATTGTGGTAAATCGGAATTAACATCTGCCGGGATAGTTTGTTTATAACTGCGCAGCTAACTAAATGCTCTACCGGATATTGCCGTATGCTCGATAATATTCTTATATTAAAAAAAACTATATTTAATCATCTTTCGTATAAAATACAGTTTTTCCACTGTGATATTAATATTATCTATAAATAAATACCGGCGTGCTATACGCAATTTTATTGATCATAAATATCGGGTCTGCTTAAGCTAATTTTGTTTGCCTGCTTTCATGAAAACTGAGAATCTTTATTATCAGCCGTAACTATTTTCTTCATATTCATTATCAAACGTCTGCTTGTATATATCCCAATTTGTATTAATATACTGTGGAAAAAATAAGCATAATTTATTACGAGTATGATTATGTGCGAACAATATTTCAGTGATAATAAAAATAATAATTAGGCATGATAGAGAGCGTCCACGTGACAGAACGGGCGTCGACTGGACACTAATATATTTAACACTTCCTGCCGAACGATGCTCCAATTTTGTATTTGATTTAAAATCCATGCGTTGACGGCAATTTCCTTCGATTTTTTATTTGCATGTCATTTTCCCACGTTATTTTTTATTTTTTTTAATATTCCTAGTTACTGAATTGTATCAAGAGTCATGTCAATCGGTAAATTATTTCGTTTCAAATTAATATTGGTTTATAAGTCATAATAATTGCTTGGTAAATGTTTTAAAAGTATTTATTTTATTTTACATTTATGGTAGGTACTTTATGTCTTGAAAATTAAAACTTGTGAAGTACCTACACGCTCCAAGTTTACCTATATATTAAGAATATGTAGAGCGAGTCTTGATGTAAAGTTGATGTAAAGTGTGTTAAACCTTAGAAAATAATAGGTAAAATACATTAATATACCCCTAATCCACTAATTTCTTGATTCTAGTTGTATTTATAAGCTACTGCTAGGTAGGTCATGCACATTCTTTGAACAGTTAACACAAAACATACTGTTTAGTTTTACCTATTACCTACTAAATCACGGGTTTGTAAAATTGAGTTAATTGGCAAAAACAAAATGTCAAAATAGAACGGCATTTGAATGACATAATGCTGTCATCAATGATCACCTGCGCCATCGTTGCTTCTAAATTTAAAAAATCTTATTTCGACTTCCGCTCCCAACTTGGAATTGGCGCAGTAAATTCATTCGTATGGAATATTAATAATACCTATATCTAATATTTATTTAAAAAATTTATCTAAAAACACTTTATCCCAAAATCTACCTAGGTTAATAATATAATATAATAATAATATACTGCCATCATCTTTTTACTTGTAAAAAAATCGTTAAGGCAACATATGGCCATTAGCGCGTGCGCTCCCAAACAGAATGTCTTCTGAATATTTTTGCAGGTCTCGAATTTCATTGAAGAGAAAAATAATAAAAAATGCTGCAGCTGTTAGGGCTTCTAAAGTTACTTTTGCATAATTTTAATTACGGATATTTTATACGTGGTTACTGAATAACTATTTTTATAACTGTATGTACCTCTTACTTACTTTCTTAAACTCACGTAAATCTAATTATGATAAAATAAGAAAATCGTAGTGGCATATAAAATCTCAATCACTTCTTTTAACTACATATATCATAAATTTCGAATAATTAATTATATTCGTACACCATATAAATAATTTTATCTCATATAGTCATCTACTACAGTAGATATTATAAATGAGCTCAATCGAATAATCGGAAAAACCAATATTTTTATCGATATTGCTTTAAGCACAAGAACGTTGTACCATTGCCAGCGTTCCGCGCCAATGGTGGCGAGTGGTGCGACCTTTCGACCCGGCGCGCGAGGCGTGGCCGCGCTCGATTGGTCGCCCCGCCCCGCGCACACGCCTCTCGCAATCACTCCGAATTTGTCTCACACTACGATCTGATCATCTCGAGACTTGCTTCCAATCATTTAAAAGAATCAATAAGATCCGTATGACCTTGATACAATTTCAGCTTTTATATTTATCGATAGACCACGTTATATATTATTTTCTAGTTTTATCTACAAAAGCTCTTGCAGAATTAGTTATAACGTCTGCATCGTCAAATAATGTTTGCATTGAAATAAACAAAAGGTAATAGCATATTTATAACTTTCTTTAAATTTCAAAATCTCACATGTTTTAGGGCGACATTTCAGGCGTGTCAAAGGTCATTCCCTCGGGAGCTCTTTACGAGATAGTGATGTTTGTTTCGTACAATTTATAGCGACAGTAGAGACGACTGTTGGGAATTGTAATGAGCTGTGTCGCTTCATTAAAATATTTCTATTTGTTTGTCAAGCCGACCAGTGATTTGTTTACACGTCTTTGTTCTTTTTAAGTTATGCCATCACATTCATTTGACGGCTACAAAAAAGTAATGCTCAATTTTAGGTTTTATGGTTTTTTCTAATTATAATTAAATTGTCTTCGTCTATAATATAAAAGTGACATTATTAAGGCAAGTCAACAAGTAACTGCATAATTTAAAGTGTTTAAATATCACTCCATAACTATATCCTAGGTATGTAGGTACCTACTTAAGTAAACTTATCCGTGTTGCCTACAATAAATTGCTTACATAAAATTATAATAGATTACAAAAAACTATTAAATTACAAAAAATAGATAATGATGTGTTTTTACTTTTTAGTTGAAAGACAATATTCATACTGTCTATAAATGTTTTAACCACAAATTGAAGATGTGTAGAGTTCAATTTATGTTTTAAATAATAATGATAAAAGAGATAGGTACATACTAAAGAAATATTTTTATCGATTTAAAAAATACTATATTTTATTGTTCACATAGTATCTACCTACAAGATGCGTTAAGATAAAATTTAATTTTCAACAAATGTTGTAATGATTCAATAAATTATATAGGTAAGTACACTCAGATTTCGTTTTTCACTTGTGGTCTGTGTAGATAGTAGGTATGTAGTAGAAGTAAGTAGTTTTGTTTCTAACGCACGCAATATATTGTACAAAAGCTATTATAAACAATAAATACAGACATGCGTGACTGTTGACTGGTACCCAGTAATAGACTCTTTGCGATTAGGTATAGCTCTTACTACCTTGTTTATAAATGCTAAAATTCATTAAACTGAAATCTAAACTTTACAGCTCATTCTGGTGCGAAAAAGAGAGATATATCACGCACAATGAACACAAATTAACTTGACCTCTTAATGTCAGTGTGATTTTGTGACTTAGGTAGGTACCTATATTAATCCTAATAGAAATAGGTATAATATGTTGTACAAAAACGATCATTTTAGAACTTTTAAGCCGTTGAAATTATGTTATAATAAAAGATTTTAATATAATCATTTGAATTGATCGTTAAGTGAAATAAACGATCAATGATTCGGTAAGGTTATTTAAACAAATAAACTACTTCAGTTAATACTTATTATTAAACGCTGGATAGAAAAAACAAACTGCAATGCATTGTAGGTAAACCCTCTATATTGTTTTAATTCAAGCCTATAAATATTTGTTTTACTAATACGGTACTTACATCCATGATATTAATAATATAACAAATTTAAAAACATCTATTATTCTACTAGTAATGCTACTATCCTACTAATATTATAAATGCGAAATTTTGTGAAGATGTATGGATGTTTGTTACTCTTTCACGTCAAAACGGCAGAACGAATCTGGATGAAATTTGGCCAGAAACAGTCTGAAATAACACATAGGCTACTTTTTATCCTGGAAAATTGTACGGTTCCCGCGGGATAGATCTTGTTTTAGTATCCCGCTAGTACTATATAAGTATATTTATATAACTATTAACTAGTTATACGTTATTATGTTTATCGTCCTTAATTACATTTTAAGTAAAAAACAGTTGGTACAAATCTTACTGCTTAAAAATACAAATTGTATGAACTATTAAAATAAATTTGTTGATCGGTTTGGAAACTTTTCATACCACCCAAATCGTAATAAAAATCGCGATGTAACAGCATGTATATGTCGAGGGGGCGAGGGGCAGGGTCCGGCGTGCGCGCAGAACAAAGGGCGCGCCATGAACCGCGACCGTCGCGCCTCGGTAGCCGCGCCGCGTCTGCACACGATGCCATGCTTGTCCTGATTTTTTGGACTGTATTTGCCCCTAGCATATGTTTACTTAATTGTAATTACGAATATTCGTGTTTTAAAACGTATCGTGCAATAAGAGGACATACACATTTTGCAAGCTAAGTAGTTTTTCCATCCGAACTGTAGTTAAGTAAATAATACTTTTAAAATTATTTGGTCGACTCCAAATGGAGGTACCTACTAAATTTGTGATATCTTCGCCAATTGTGATACAATTTTCATGAATTTTCTCTATATAGGTAGAGTTCTCTATAGATGCTTTTAAAGCAAGTAAACCTTTTTAGTGAAAAATCCAGTACTAGCCAATATTTTATTTACGCTATTCATTTTGTTTTTACAGGCGGCTATACAACAGGGGGTCCCAGAGAGACAAACACATACTACACAGAGGCGAGTGGAGGTGCTCCGGCGCCTCCAGCGCCCGCACCGGCCGCAGCGTCACCTCTTGATGAGTACTACCAGGCAGAGTACCCGCCGCCTGCACCCTCCCAGCCCTACCTCGACGACTACTACCATCACGCGCATGCGCACACGCAGCCCCTGCTTACGCACGAACATAAGTACCAACCTCACGCGTACAGCAAGCCTTATCCTAGAAGTAAGTACCTCCTTAATGAAATTATTTATTAAACTCTATAACTATCGAAAATTTGTTACGAACAGGTAAGCATATTTATTCCCTTTTCTTTAATTTTGACAAGGTTTAATTATATTTATGTTGTAAAAATGTGAAATGTAAAGCCACTTTTATGGGAACGCTAGCATAACGTAGGCATGCTAAAACTGACTATGCAAGAGAGATACGACAATTTTGAGCTCTCTACGTAATCATCCAATTAATACGCACGTTTAGCAAAATGGGGACACACATCCTGTTGCGTTTGAATAAAATGCTTTTTATCCAGTTCTGCCAATATTCCAGAATAGTAACGGATACGTTCTCTACATCGATCAACATATATTAATAGCGAAACATTCTTTACTCTTAATAGCGTTAAGAATAAACAGAAATGGTTACTAAACATAACTTATCAAATAGGAATATGCAAAAAGGCGGAGTTACGAAGGTAGTTATTAGAAAAATATGTTAATGCAATAAACAACAACAAAAGGTTCTTTCATTGCATCATAATTAATTATTAACTCTCAATAGACTTGTTGAGCACCTAATTAACATTCGGCCTTATGTCTCACATGTTGGTACAGTTAACAGCTTTAAAGCTCTGAAACGATGTATTAATGATTAAGTAATTTTCTTATTCAACTTTTACTTCCTTTTAACATATTTTATGTGGCTGAAAGGAAGTAAAAGTAGACTTCCAGTTCATAAAAACTATTTACATTTTATTTACGTACTTATTTATTTATAATAATGATACTCATTTTTGTTCATGTAATAATACATTTCCTGTCAAAATTTTAATTAATTATATTATTAAATTAATAAAAATAAACTAGTAGGTATACAACAACGTAATAATTATAGATCAAGTAAAAACATTATTTAATCTATTGATAAGTTCAGAGCTAGTGTTGTCAAAATAAATTTAAAATTTGATTATCTCACGATAATGCATTAGGTAGGTACTAGGTAATCAGTGCAGAGCACAAAACATCTCATGCATAGGTAGTTTCATCTTAATCTGTACAAAGATTTCTGCGTGATTTACCTACTACTGAACATCCAAACACCTCAATTTTTTTACATTAGTTACTCACTCTCGTATAGCTCAGCGTGCCGAGGTGCCTAAACTGTCTGTGTTTGTGTCCTCTGGTCATAATCTATGTCAACTAAATTTCTCGAAATCCATTCAGCCGTTTCAGCATGAAGGAATAACAAACACATAGGTACACACCCATACAGCTCTTTGCATTTATAATATCAGTCGTTTGTATTAAGAGACAAAGAATATTTCAAAAAGCTAAAAGTGACGATCATTCCAGCAGCCGGCGGCAGGTACGGCGCGGGCGGCGAGGTGTACGGCGAAGGGTACGCGACGGAGTACGGCGGCTGCGCCGAGTGGGGCGAGTGGCCGAGCGAGCAGCACGCGCTGCTGCCGCAGGACAAACTGCCCTACCCCGCCTCCGGACCCTGCTTTACTGGTACGTTGCCATACAAAACTTGTATACTATCACATACATTTATATCATCCCATTTAGATAATAAGAGGACTTTGCCAATACGAGAAAGTTAGGAATGAATCCAGTTTAATAATATACCTAATTTTGTCATCGATTTGAATATATATATATATTCTTTATTGCACTAAAAAAGTAATAAAAAAATACATAGAAAATGATGTTGACAAAGGTGGACTTATCTCTATAAGAGATCTCTTTCAGTCAACCCCTGTATGTGGGAAATAGTGTTAAGTAGCGGGACAGAAAGAGAAAGTGCAAAGAAAAGAAAATAAATAAGAATAAGCATAATATGTAAAACAAAATGAATACAATATATAAACATACAATATAATAATAAACATATAATATAGCGTGAAAACAAAAGAAATTTAGGAAGAAAAAATAATAAGTTTCGTAACTAAAGCCTAAATATATAAGTCAATGTCCAGTATATCGTAAAGCAAGTGTGTACCACCATGCAGGCTCAGGACCCATCCAGCTGTGGCAGTTCCTGCTCGAGTTGCTCACCGACAAGAGTTGTCAAGGTTTCATCTCGTGGACCGGTGATGGCTGGGAGTTCAAGCTTACAGACCCTGATGAGGTAAGATCGATCGTTTTTAAATCTTTCATTATACACTGGCGAATGAACCTCTAGTGTGTCATTAGTTGCCTAACAAGTAGCCTATATATTACTCCAAATATAATTGTAGTAAATTTCGCATCAAAATCCGTCCAGCCGTTTTCGTAAAAGAGTAACAAGTAGCACGATTTCAAATAAACAAAAATATTTTTAACACTTTTATTAACATCACATATAACTGTATTTCCCAAGGAGGGCTGACGTCAGGCAGGCGGCCGGTCGTAAAATTTTTGCCAAATCCTATCAGCAAGTACGGAAGATGTACTGCGCCGACCACAAGTGATTGGGAAATGGGCAGGGAGATGATAATGATTATGATATACCTATATTTCTAATTTAGACATCACAAATTCTAGGTGGCCCGACGTTGGGGCATACGCAAGAATAAGCCCAAGATGAACTACGAGAAGCTCTCGCGCGGCCTGCGCTACTACTACGACAAGAACATCATCCACAAGACCGCCGGCAAGCGCTACGTGTACCGCTTCGTGTGCGACCTGCAGAGTTTGCTCGGGTAAGTGTAACATCTATACATAGTATAAAACAAAGTCGCGGACTACATCTGTCTGTTTCTCTTTCTCAATTGTTTTCTCTTTTTTTCTCTGTCCGTCTTACTTTCTCTAAGCCATGCAACGGTTTTTGATACGGTTTTTATTAATGAAAAGAGCGATAAACGAGGAAGGTTTATGCTTATAGTTTGTAAATATTTTGTTCAAAATGGCTGAGCTCGGACAGTGTTTTGTCAAAAAAACTGTTTTCGTACGATTACATGGCAACCTTTAGAGATACATATGTACTAGAAAATCCTAGATATTAGAAAAGGCCTACAAGAAAGTCAGCAATAGCATGTATCTGTCTCCTAAGGTACGCTCACGATAATCTTATTTTTATCTTTATGTAAGTTACCTTGGGACGCACCCGAACGAAGCGAGGATAAATCGCTAGTAATGTACACACTACTCTATTCATATAATAAAATTGTAACTAAGTCGAATCTGTCCATTAAATAATTTTTGGAAAATCTAATTGAAATAGACATTATTATCGATACAGAGTCCGAATCTATAGTTTTTTAAAAAAATTGTCTGTCTGTCTGTTACCGCATCATGAGAAAACCAGTGGACAGATTTTGATGAAATTTGGTATGATGATAGCTGGTTATCCGGGTCAATATATAGGATACTTTTTACCGCGGGAAAATATCTCATTTCTGAGAAAAAATACAAAAACTGCATTGTAAGAGTATACTAATATGTACAACCTAAGAATTTGGTTTTTGGTCATCTGAACGCGGGCGGTGCCGCGGGCAATGCTAGTACATAATAAATTTGTCCATGGCTGCATTCTCCTGGTATTGAACATATGGAATGGAATAGATAAAGCTATCTCAGCTTTACCTCTATTCTGAAGTTAACTTAAATTTCTTAAGTCTTGAAGAAGTACCAACACTCACTCAAACTTTTGCATTTATAATATCAATATGATCATATTTAGTACACTATTGCATTTTTTCTATTTAATCATTATTTGTAAATCATAACGCGTGATCATAATTTCTCTTTTTGGATCTATCTTTTAATTGTACCACTAAGTTTAAGTTATATTTAGATTTCCTTATAAAAGAAAAAATAATTATTAACAATAGATTTATCATTGTTACAGTATTTCACCGGAGCAGCTGCACGCAATGTATGAACCCAAAATGGAGAAGAAAGACGACGACTGAACTCCTCGACTAAAGACGATTTCTACAGCAACCTACTTCTAGTAAATAAACAAATTTAACAATATAATTCTCAAACTTTTATCAAAAGTTGAATATACAACTTAATCATACACATATTTTTAATTTATTACCATACTTCGTTTCGGCTGTACTTGTATGCAAAATGCAAGTCAAAAATTCGCTCATAAGTCTTATGAATAATTTCATTTCGTAAGCCATAACGAATATCAAATGAAAAATGTCGGATTTGATCTCATGCACATCCACCAGTGGAATTTATTTACTTACTAATGAGGTTACAACTCGGTTCTATTTACACCAACCCACACATAATTTTAAGTACCAGATTTAACCAACGGTGCCTTAACACGTACAGACTGTTGTTGATTTTGTATTATTAAATAAATTAATATTCATCTCTTGCAAGTGTTATGTAACGCCAATATCAAAGGCACTTCATCCATTGAAATTCATTTGAAAAGCAATTATTTCACCGGATTCACTGTATTCACTTTCGGAATGTCCGTCAACATTGTTTATATACTTTTCATACTTTCATATAAACGTTATTTAATATCGGATCTCCGCAAACTGAATGCATTCTATCGCGGTGCAATTCGCCTATCCCTATTAACATTATCGGATATGCAAATTTGTCATTTTCTTTTTATTTCACTAATCACTCTTAAAAAGTCACTTCTTTTAGTAGCTGCAACAAAAAAATATTTTTTACGAGTAGTTTTTAAAATAGCCACAAGTAATTTTTGTTAACCTAACTTGTACATTTAAAAAAATATCAACAATTCAAACTTTGACGCACTCTCCTGTAAAGTTGCCGATTTTCACATCCGACAATGTTAATAGGGATAGGCGAATTGTTCGTTTCTACTCATACTACATTAGTGTGTACTCGTAAAGTACTGAGCATACATATACATAGTATGAAAAAAATTAGTGAAAATTCTGCTATCGATTTAATAATAATGTAAATATAAGTTAATTTTGTTACTTTATAAAAATAATTAGGTATTATATTATAATAGGTATTAAGTGTTGTATGTTTGAATCGCAAATTGTTGCAATAAGCGATTAAATTAATGAATAGTTAGAATGCTGAGGACATGAAAACCTATTTAATTCAGAAGAGTCCAAAGATAAGAAATCTACGTACGTGCCCACCAATCGGAAAACACTGTGAAATCACCAAAGGGTTAAAATTTGACAAAATATAATGAGAAAAAATAAAAAGAATTTTATCACCTTTCAATATCTGCGGAAGTATAGCAACACCGGGTGACGTCACTGTCGCTGATCTCGTGGTAAGGGATTGTAATGTCTTACTAGTTATGAAATTAATTAGTTGTATTATTTTCAATTTTTATAGCTCCTAGCATACACCGAAGATATTTCGATAAGTTTTATTTTGTAAAGTATTACTCCTCCATCAATATTATACGTTGAGCAGTCGTCAGTTGACACCTTCGAGGTGCTGATTTACTTAATTGTAGATTTATTTAACGATGTCTTCCCTGTTATCAAAAAATAATTCTTTTTAAATTTGTCTATTTGAATATAAAATAAAATGTCTGAATAATGTTAATTAATATTCGTGTTACAGCTAAATTGATGTACCTACTTATCAGTGTTGTATGTATTGATGGAAGATATAAAATTAAATATATATATTTACGAAATTACATGTTGTTTTTTTTAACAAATAACAAATGAATATATTTATTAAATAAATCATATAAAAGAATTCACACACATGACTAGTCATGAGTCATCTGCCTAATCTATATCAAGAGCTTGATTTGTAGCACGTAATTTAGGGATTTTATTCCTGTATTTTTCGGCGCAGATTAAATAGTCAGTAATAAAATAAAGCATACATACACAAAGCTAAGTTTTAGGTACATAGTACATACCCCTATCCTCTCCGATAAACAAGCAATAATAAAAACAGCCTCATAGGGTGAGAGAAAAAACATTCTGGTTCAAGGTTCAATAGTCAATTTGCCAAGGACATATATGAAGAACAATATTAAAAAAAAGCTGTCACCATGTGAATCTCTTCGAAACAGATAAAAGTATTATATAAACAATATACCTATTTTATACATTCGACTGTTTAATTCTGATTTTTAATAATTTAACATGCAAATCTGTAAAATATGTATATTGAATATACCCAAAGAGCTGGTTAACTGTAAAGTTTGGATATTCAAGATTATTTCAAGCAACACATTTTGTATCTATTTTAAATAGACATTTGCACGGATACAGGCGAAATTCTGATGGACCATAAATTTTGTACAACTCAGGTTAAGAATTTGAAATAAATTAATTACCTACTTGATGTAAGTTTCTTAATATCACTGTCCAGTCCTTGCTTGGATGTCCAAATGGTTAAACGAATTTATTGTAACGGAAATAAAAGAACAAGCCCTGACCATTTATAAATTTTTATAATTTAGTTAAAATCGTATCGTATGGAAGCAGAATTACTTATTTAGAGAATTTAATGAAATCTTGAACTAATTTGCGATTACTTATAAAAATACAAAATAGTAGTACCTAGTTACAGCCAGTACCTAAATTTACATTTTCGTTTTAGTTATATAATTAATCATTAATTCTTTAATATCGTTTATCTACTGATTTTATATTTAGTATTCCGAGGAACATTTAGCAAATGGTCTACTCTGATAAAATAGCTGATTAACACAAATCTCAACGTCACTTAATATAAAATTTTTGTTTGCTAAAAGTTAATATAAATATATATATATATATATATATATATATATATATATATATGAACAAACATCAAACCCTATGTCCTGAGAGGGATATAGCCTCAACCAGCCGAAGACGACCAAGAGCCAAGAGGGTCTGCTGAAACGTCAGTCTCGTATTTTGTCTCCGCCGTCTATTTAAATGAGATAACGGGTGGGGCATTTCATATGATGCGGACAGGAAAAAAAAAATGAGGTTAGGAAATTTGTTCTTAAGCGGGTTATTTATACCTCTAGTAGGTATGAAAGTGGATACGTAATATTTTTTTTTCTACGATGTTTATTTTTAAAATTATGGGCCTTTGAAAAATAATCATAATCCAAATGTCGATGTTTTAGATTTAGTTTTTCGAATGGGGAAAAATACAAACTTGGCGTTTTGTATAGGTTTTTAATTGCTCTTTTTAAAAAAGAATTAATTTTTTGAAATTTAAAAAAGAAATATGTACAAAACCGGAAGTGAAAATTTCAAAACAATTTTTTTATCACTTCAACCATTTTTTATTAATTTTTTTTTACACCCAAATATAGCCTATACTATTATTAAAAAACACTAAAAGTTTCATAGTGGAGACTCTATTACTTAGAAAGATGGGTAAATTAATGTACATGCATGTCGCTCTGAGCGTGATGCTTCATATTAATTTATGTCAGTTACTTGGCGAAATTTGAAGTGTAATCACATGTATCATTGTATTCAAGCGAGTTTAAACTCTGAAAACTTAGGGTTTATTATTTGCTAATTTTTACAAGCTTGTATTACTAGTCAATGGCTGGACCAACGTTCCTTAAACATAGCTAACTTTGATCTTAAAGGCTTTCGATTAAAACAAACCGCACTCGGATGCACGCATTTGAGCAATACGAAGCCATACTACAGACAGACATACCACACATACACACAAGAAACCTATAACACCACTCTTTTTTGTCGCGGGTTAAACCACATTTTAAAAATATCGACTATAAAGTTTATGATGATTTTTGCCTCTTCGGCTTGTGCAAATCGGCAGATTATTGAATTGGACACTTTTCAGGATGTGACTAGCCTATCACACCTTAATCTGACGATTTCAAGTACCTATTTCTACCTTATCAAAACATTTTTTAAATATTTTGATCGGCTTCCCTAGACGCGCGCCTTTATATAGAAGACTTATATTATGGTGAAAGTACTCAATAGAGTGCAAGGTAAACTCTTTTATGTTAATCTGCCGCGCTTGAGTAACTACAAAAATCCCCTCTTGGGCTCCCCTACTACATTGAAACGTCATGGTTGATTGCTTTAATGAACTCGCGGTGCCCCGTTATAACGTGGAGGATTTCGTGAGCTTATCCAATACACCTCCTGTATGCAGGGCCGTCTTAGGCCACATAGGGGCTTATTTATATTTTAATTAATATTACTTCAATATAATATCTGTACCGATTAACGTGTATCCGAAGACATGAAATTTGATGTCATTAAAAAATCTGTCCCTTGTCATTGCTTCATGTCAAATATCGTTGTCATTTGTCAAAACGCAACATTGTCACATTGATAAAGTTACGACTTAAGACGGTGTATTCTTACTTTAACCTATTTATTACAAAAATATACAAATAATCGACGATGAAATTGTCTCAAGTGCTATTTAGACAACACATAGATTTTATGTTTAAAAGACATTGGCTTGTGCAAGGTAAACGCGTGCCAATTGATTCAGGTATAGAAGAATATTTAAAGGAAAAAGGTATTCCAGTTGAAGATGCACTGGAATTCGTTAAGGAGAAACCTGAAGTTAGGGAGAGGTAGGATTACTTACAAAATTTAAGTTTTTTTTTAACTAAACTAACATTTTAGATCAACTACTTATTTACATTTTTAACTTCTATGTTTTATTATAATTTGTTTCAGAATTAATATTATTGGTCTATACAAACAGCCTCTGCCATTAAATGAATCACATCCAGAATATAAAGAAAAGCCTTGTTTGACTTTGAAAAACACTAATGTTCTTCTTGAAGGTATCTCTCAAGCTCAGGTGCTTACAAAGACTATTATTGCAGAAGATAAATTACCTCAAAGAATTGAAGAGCTTGCTGATTTGCCAGCTCCCAAAGCTGTTCATAAAGGTGTCAAGCAAGCAATTCTAAGTGCAAATGTATTTGATTGTGAGCAAAAGAAGTTACCTAAAATTAAGGTTTCAGATAGACCAGCTTATAATTTTCCTAGAGTATTAGGAATTACTGATAGTAGACGAAAGTAAGTATAAATATTTAATAGATACAGTAGTACTTAAACTGTACCCTTTCCATCAAAACCCTACATATACATTTGTTTAATAATAAAAATTAACATTCTTATAATAATTCAAAACATTCTTAAAAAATATAAAAAGTGTTTTGCTACAAGCTATTTTAATGCATATTTGTTTCTATAATTGGAATACTAATTTATGTTACTCTGTATCTAAAATCTCCAAACATATGATAATTTGGTCCTACTCTCCTCAATCTGCAATGCAATGATTTTTTACTAATATTTTTAGCTGACATGCAATATAAGATAGTATATATTTTTCATATTATTGCATTACTTAATTATATTAGACACTAGATTATATTACGCGAGTTGTAATGAAGAAGTGCCAACATATGTATATAAAATGTGTGCGCTTAACAAATTTGTGAAAAAAATTAAATGAAAACACTAAAATATGTAAAAAAATGCAATATCAAACTTTTATAAATAGTGTTTATTTAATAAATGGTAGTGTTTTTTAACATGTTGGTAATAGTTAGTAGAAGAATAATTGTAATGCACATCTAATAGATTTTGCCAAACACGAATCTACTTCCTTTTGATCACATTTTAATACTTTTTTTGAGTAATTACCTTGTAGTTTATCTGCATCCAATGTGGCCAAAAGTAATTGATGTTTAAAAAAAACCTATCTTAATGCTTATCTTGTATATATGATATTTATATTTTTAATAAATAAATTTTATTTTTTAAGCCAAATACTAACAAACAAATTACTACAATTGGTGGAAAAAAGCAATGATATTGAAGTCACCCAAAACAAATATGTTGTGGATGATATTAACTGTCAAAGTGTGTTTGACAAAGAAGGCGAGCTGATACAGTTCCAAGATGTATCTAACATCTTAATTATAAGCAACAAGCCCTTAAAACATGAGCTAAATGAATCAGATATACCTTTTATCGAAATTCCGGATTTATACCCAGTAAAACATACTGTTACATTGGAACCTGAACACTTTTACAGTGAAAATAGTAAATACCGTAAGTTAATTTTATTAATTTGTTATTTATGATAAAATTGAATGTGTAAACTTTTAGAAATTTTACTTATTACTAGCAACTTACCCTCCCTTCGCTCGGGTGCGTCCCTGGGTACGCGGATTTTAATTTCATAGGTTTTATTTTTTTGCACGAAACTCTGAATTCATTTTCTAAAATAAAAGTAGCCTAAGTTACTCTTTATAACATCAGCTATCTACTAGTGAAAGGCCCGTCAAAATCAGGCAAGCCGGTTCAGAGATTAGATGAAAAAAAATAGACAAAAGTTTTAAAAAATGTTTTTTTTATAAGTACCTACTGTATAAACTTTCATATGCCTTTAGTAAGAGCTGTTATTTCGACGTTACAAACAGACACTTCATTTTTATTTATTTGTATATATGTATTTGGACAAAAAATCTACTTACTAATCTTATTTCTTGTTTATATCTTTTCTTAGTTTGTATAAATTAAAAACTACCAACTTTATTTGTTTATTGTAAAAATATTAGTTTATATTATTTGTATTTGAAATGCTAATATTTAATTATATCAATTTAACATAATGTGCAATTTTACAGCTATACGACCCAATATATCAGTAAAGCATCCACATACTACTTGGCTACACTTCAATACCACAGAAGTTTCTAATATCTTTGAAACTCCTGTTACTCCAAGCCAAATATTGGGGCGCTCCCTCACTCATGCATTTACAGTTGCTTCATCATATGCAAAACAACTATATGGGGTAAATAAAATTTATTTAAACCAATTTTCATAAACCATTTATATATTAGTATGATTTATTTATTTAATTTCTACAGGAGGATGTAAAAGACCTACCTGAACCAATACATATCAATTGTATTCAAACAGATGGCCAACGCTTCCATTTTGGAGTGTTGGAGTTAAAAACACTCAATGTTGATGGTACTGAAGGCAAAAAGAACATTTGGTACTGCAAAAATGACATCAAATTATATGACTCTTGTAGATACTTAAGTGCAATGCCAGTTCTCGAGAATTATAATCCTAAAGTATATGGATATATTAACGCTTTTTATAATTGTTAAAATGTTTCGATTTATTTAATAATTTAGAAGTTGTAATAAATATAATTTAGAGAAACTTCACTATTTTACTTATTAATCTAGAATTAAGAAGTGATCTAATGAGAAAAAAATATATTTTTTAAATGTATTCATGTATATATACCAATATATTTACAAGAACAAAAATACATTTATTTTTGATTAGAATACACAATGCTTGCACATACCAAAACACTTTGTACATAAATATTAATAGCAAGTTAGGAAAGTGGAACACAAGAGCTTATAAATATTGTCTCATATCTCTGTACTAAATTTCTGTAACCGACGCCTTCTAAGCTCTTCCGCATCTGCATCGCTCTCCCTGTAAATAATATTTTATTACATTACTAACAAACTTTTCTAAATAACTCAATAATAATGATTTCTTGAGCTTTTTTTAGAGTGTTTTCGTATTAAACTTTCTCAAGCAGTTTTAATTTTAAATATAAGAAAAACTTAATACACACTTTCAAATATATACAAATAAACGTATAAAAAATATCACTCTTATATAAAGCTATTTGACAGGTCACCTATTAGAATCCATGTTTGCATCAAATGCTGTGTTTAAATCATCCGTGCTCGTTGAAGGGCCTGGAGTTGGCTCATACGTAGATGTAGTGGGGACTACATCAGGTTCCGTTTTCACTTTTACTGGCGTCGGCTCTGGTGAAGGCTCTGTTCGGCTGAAATCAAAGTAATGAATCTTGTAATATGACCAAAATGATGCATCATATGAAATTTTAAATAAAACTATCTTTTCGGATTTTTTCGCGGATTTATTTTGATTTTTGGTTTCCGACGTTTCGAATGCCTAACAACTATCATGGTCACGGGAGAGACTTCAAACTCAGCATTTTAGTTATTGACCAATATACTGTTAGGGTAATGTTAATTGATTGTTATCCAGTCTTGAGCCTTTTTTTATGTTGGGAAATGCATTTATGCATAGCACCTTTATACACATACATGTGGTTATGTGGGACTCACTGGCTAGAGAAGCCAGTAGTACCCCACTAAAACCCAACAGAATTTCCCCCACCTTAATGGGGCGGCGCAGGATCGCTTACGCACTCAACAGAAACAGACCACACAACGTAGGAGTTGATCCCACGGATCACTCTACTGTCAGAGAAGTAATCCAGGCTTAAGCCTGTACCCACTATGGAAACTTTGAGGCTTATTTTATACTTAGTGTATTATTGGCTTTTTTAATACTTACTTAATGTCTGTTTGTGTTGCAACATTGGCACAGTTTAAGGGCAAGTTGGACACGACGTTTGAATATTGCTGCATCAGGAGGACTGACGCGTCCAACATTGCTTGGATTTCACGAAGTAGCTGCCGACAAAATTGTACAAAATAGAAATATACCACCAAACACATTTTCATGTAAAACGTTACTCATCTTGGCGGGGGCACCTAACGTGTTCCCAGATATCTTAATTTCCTAGGGATCTATAGAGCTACTTTTCCGACGGTTTTATTTTGACCAAAAGACTTTTCTTACTTTTCTTTATCAATTAAAAAAGAATCGAACATTTAATTTTTAATAGTGTCATAATTGCGATAGTTTAATTGTTACTTTGTTCCATAGTTTGGCGTGTTGTTTGTAATCTAATTAGTAATAGTTAATTAGCCATACTTAGCTTTACGTGTGGGGACAAGATATTTTAATATGATACTTTAAACAATTAAAATTTTCGCATTCAGCGAAAATCAGGTCTCAATATAGATTGAATGGCATTCGTATTCGTAACAAAGCCCGGTGCATATATACATACAGTCATAAGCTTGTTTATGTGTTGTTTGAATGTGTATTGTCTTAATAAAGTTGCCATATATTTAATCACAAAATATTCTTATTCGTTAGGTATTATGATGAAATTTGTAATAAATATTTAAATTTTATTGATAATTTTCAATAGCTGGAAATATACAAACAGAGATAAGAAATTGTTTATCATCAAAAAATTTGCTACGCTTTTTAAATAAATAACTACCAGTAGTAAATTATTTAAACACATATGTATTTGAATAGTCAAACAATTCATTGTATTTTTGAGAGAAGTAAATTTTGTTTGGAAGATGTAATGGAAATCAAATTTAAAAAAGTCTAGAAATTTTATCGGTCTGTTTAAGGACACATCAGATGTTAACAGCCAGTTTATAAGGCTAATGGGAAATATTACTGTAAAGTTATAACTAAATCAAAGATCAAATCAGCAGATCTAAATGTCCACTTGATTTTTTCCGTTTGCATACTCCCATTTAAAACTTATAATATAATTAGTGGTTGCAGATTCATAAAAAGAGATTATTTCTATTGTTCATGTAGGATGTTAATAAATTATGTTTTTAAAATTGCTTATCTAAATCTAAACAAAACTGCAAAGTGAGCTCTATGCAATAAGGGAATATGCATAATTTTTTTATACAATAGCTAACATCCTTATACATATATTCGTAAAAAAATATCCAGCTCCAAAAACTAAAATTTAGTATACATACATTATTTATTAAATATCGTACCGATACGGATGCTTTAAACGCCTGCTATTACGCGCGCTCGGCGTGATGTTACAGTATGTCAACAGAAAAATGATCACGCAATTTGTAGCGACAAAATCGCTAATCGCTCTGTTATGATAATACTTTGACGTCATATTCGGTCTGACCAATGGCGTTCGTTTCAACTACTTTGAATTTCCCACCTATATTAGCACTTTTTAATAATTATTTTCTTAATTAAAAAATATTGATATAGGCTTAATTTAGAAACAAAGATTTAAAAAAAAAGTCACTTTCATTGAAATCACACGCATATTCCCTATTCCATATAAATATAATGTAATAGTATAAATGCAAAAGGCACTTCGAGACACTAAAGTCTGCAGCTATACTGTGTTCGCCGAATGAACCAAGCACTGAGATTTTGCGCTTCCACGTGATTAGTTGCCGATAAGACGCTTAAGCATAGTTCGCATTCCATACCGTTCAGACGTCTCTCGCGTAATTACCTGATTTATTATCAATGTAGGAGATGACAGTGATACGTCGAAAAGTGATAATTAATAAATAATGTATACAAATATTTAAAAATACAGTTATTTTTACTTTAATGTTGATTTTATTACAAATTATTAATAATTCCTCACTAAAGCATTAGCAACATGATGAGCCTTATGATTTCAAACCAGTTGCAAGCGTCAGTGGGCGGAGCTAGACAGTTTTCTGTCCTTATCAGTTTGTATGCTAATGTAGGACAGAGAAAGCGCTTCGCATAGTTCACTCCGTGAACAGAGTATAGTACATAACAAAAGTCTAATATACCTGAAGTCTAGCCTCAATGTTCCGCCGTTCAGTGCCCTCCATACGCCTCAGCTCGTCCTCCGAGAGCGTGGCCAGGGACGCGGGCCGAGGAGGCGGCGGCGGCGGCATGCCAAATCTAATCACTAAAAATAATTGTGTTAGATTAATACTATAGTACTAAGTATAATTAAAACTTTTATCAGTGATAGCCCAGTGGTAACGAGCCCGCTATAGAATCCGAGTGAAGTGGATCAAATCTCGGGTATCGCACCTCTATAAATCTTGTGCAAATCATTTCCAATGTTATAACCATTTGTCTTACGGTGAATAAAAACACACTGAGGGAACCTGCATGTCTGAGAGAACCTTTCTTTTTTTTTTAACGTTGGGAAATGCATTTACGCACGAGGTGTGGAACTCACCGGCGTAATACAGCCAGTACTACCCACTAAAACCCAACAAAACCTTCCCCCGTCTTAATGGGGCGTCGCAGGATCGCTTGCGCATTCAACTACGACGCCCCGACGGCAGGTCTGCCGAAGCAGACTACCACAACCATGGGGTTGCTCCACAGTCCACTCTGCTATCAGAGAAGTACCAGGAGCAACCCGCATGGTACACCGCCCCCCAAAGAGGGCCACCTCCCACCGCCCACCGAAGTGGGCAACCTCCCTGTGCGTTTCTTAGCTTCGCGCCCGGTTGGATTGCCGGGCACTACTGAGCCCCCCCACCACGACAAGGTGAACGCACGTTGGGGGGATGTCTGAGAGAACCTAACAAGTAACCCGCAAGACATGTAAAGTCCACCAACCTGCACTTGGTCAGCGTGGTGGACTATGGCCTGATCTCTCTCGTATTGAAGGGAGGCCCGTGCCCAGACGTGGGACGTTTAAAAACGGCTAAACACAATAAATACAATTAATTAGTGATTAGTAATTTAATTTAGACAATTTTGCCACTAATATAAATGTAACATCTGTTAGTTATTGGTATTTCTCAATCACTGACCATGACCGTCTCTTTGTATAAGTACGCAAAGAAAACAAAACTCAAGCTATATTCTTATATGTGTTCGTCCGAATAGTACGAAACTTACCTACATAATCTGTTCTAATGTATAAAGAAGAAGAGTTTGTTTGTTCATTTGACCGCACTAATCTCCGGATCTATTGGATTTGAAAAATTGTTTGTGTTTTATATCTATCAGTAGGTATAGTATCAGTTCACCATATATGTACATTTATACATGTTACATTTATATACTGAACTAGGAAACCTGTATATTCAGTTAACAGCGCCAAAAGATTTCAATATAATTAAGTTTATAATTCTAATACCTAAAACCTAAATTACATGTTTGGCAGAGGATCATAATGTCTTACCATAATCAAAAAGTAAGTATATATCTAACTGGTGTAGGTTGTTAATTATTTAGTGTTCACATTATTTTTTACTCGTTTCGTCTTCACGCTGGAACGACTTTACAGTGAAAAAAAAAACTAGTTGACCTACAGCCAAATACTGAATGCTTAGGTCAATGACACTTCATCAATTTATTAGAATTGGAGGTCAATTTTTTATTAATTCATTTAAAGAGCCTGGATAGTAAAGGAAACAAAAGTAGTATACACGATTTTTAACTTAGTAACAGATCCATAATGCAATAGCTTTTGATTTCAATCTTTTTAAAAGTAGTCTAGTTAAAAATCCTACTAACATTATAAACGCAAAATTTCCCCGAATATATAGATATATATGTTTGTTAATCTTTCAGGTAAAAACTACTGAAGGATTTTTTTTAAACTTCACAGCAATATAGCTTATACATCAGAATAACATATAAAATATAATTTATTAGATAAATATAGTAATATATAAAAAATTACGAAGACTGAGCCCCGGACAAAAGCTAGTAACAGTAATAAACATGATAAACACACTAGCACCTAACCACTTAATTTTGTGGGAGTATGCGGATCTCTAAAACAAAAGCGCGATATTTATCTAGGAAAAAACTTAAGCCCAGATGAGATAATGGAGACCCCTAAACAGATCCTGCAGTTACAGCTTACAGCTGCAGTGTTCAGTGGTTAACTTTAAACAACAAGTGGTAAAATATACTAGTCATGGTCGTAGTGACACCTTTGTATTCAGCCTTTTTTAACATCCCACTGCTGGACACGAGCTTCCCTTCAATACGAGGGAGAGGCCCATAGTCCACCACGCTGGCCAAGTGTGGGTTGATGGAATTCACATATCTTTCGAAAACTTGCTAGGTTCTCTCAGACATGCAGAAACCGACACGACGTTTTCCTTCATCGTAAGACACTTGTCTTCGGAAAATATCGTCTTTAGTGGTTATCATGTTGAAAATGATTCGCAATATCAGAAGTATGAGATCCGGGATTTAAACCCGCTTCATTTGGTTTCCCAAATACGCGCTTTACAACCTATTACTGTCTTTTAGTGACATCTTAGTTCTTTCAGTCGCAGAAAAAAAAGTACTCACTGGTACGTAGCTCGTCCAGTGTGCGGGGCTGCGCGGGCGGCGGCGGGGGCTGCGCGGGGGCCGCGGGCGGCGGCGCCGGCGTCGGCGGGGCTTCGGGCGCCGCGCGCAGCACGTTCAGCCTGCACGTGGGGCACGTTTGCTGCCTTTGGAACCAGAGGCGGAGGCATGCTGCGTGGAATATGTGATTGCAGGGCAGCTTCTTAGCACCTATTGTGTTTAAACATATTTTATATATTATTTTAATGATAACTAATAAACAATTAAGCACCTGAGCGACCGAGCTCAGTAGGTTATATTTTAAAAGCAAACCGTATCTAAATACAAAATTAGATCCAAATCGTTTGAGCCACTTCCGAGATACACGAAATAAATTTATATATGTACTAGCGACTCACCCTCGCTTCGCTCGGGTTCGTCCTGATTCCCCTGATTGATTCGGCTTGATTCCCAATACAAACTTTCATCCCCATTTTCATCCCTTTAAGGGATGATTTCCGGGACAAAAAGTACCCTATGTCCTTCCCAGGGTCTCAAACTATCTTCTTACCAAATTTCATCTAAATCGGTTCAGTAGATCCAGAGATTACCGCCTACAACATCACAAACTTAGAAACTCACAAACTCTTTATAATATTAGTATAGGCAAGTACATATACACAAGAAATGCTCATTTAACATTATAAGATAGTAGATGCCCTTCACATTTATAATATTACGAAAGTTTACAGGGACTATTTTTTCCGACTTAATTCTAAATATCATACCATAGCTTCATTTGTTAACTGTAAACTTCCTAAATAATTCTTTTTTCTATTGGTGAAAATTGCATGAATAGATACAAATTGCAAAAAATCTGTAAAATAATTTCTGAGATTAGCCCGAACAAACAATATAATCATAATACCTATGTAAAATAATTTAAAAAATGTACAATGATTGAATGACACGTGGAAGTCCACTGCCCATTCGATGACAAACATCGATTCATAAACCGTACACCCCCTGTTTATTTCCATTTAGTTCTCAACCACACATTAAGATTCTCGCTTTGTATAAGAGCGCACGGAAAGGAGAGCTCATACTGTAGATTTTTTAATGCTTTCGTCCGATTAAAACAAAACTTACGAAATAATATATAAATTTAACATTTACCAAATCATTTTGATTTGAAGAGTAATTCTAAGTGACCTATTTTTTAAAAATAGATGAGACGTGACAAAAATAATAATTTTGTGATATACGAGTACTTTTCTAGTACTTATATTTTTTGAAAAATATTATTATTAATAATATAATATTATAAATTATTATTGTTACAGTAATTGTGGAATTATAAAGTATTATTACACGGATAATTAAAAAGCAATACCTTTGTATTCGGTACTTTAAACAAAACATGACGTATAAATAAAAACTCGCGTTTAAATTGTGACCTTTACAAAAATAGTACGATAAAAACGGAGTTTATTAATGTAATCAACATACAATATATCGATATAACAATGCAAATAACCTTGTCTATAACAAGTGTTATATTTAAGTATGGTATAAATTTTACACACAAATTCCATACAAATATACTTTTTTTATTACTAAAGCACTTTTTTTCTCTCAGATACTTTTCTCTCAGATACAAGCACATCTTCATTGTTATTATAATACAAGATAACGGGGTTAAAAGTATCTTCTCTAAACAGATATAAAAATAACTTTAATAAATTGAAAAAAAATGTCACGTTTCCGACATGTAAAGATAAGATCAACGTGTAATATGTACGTAATAATCAAAAAATAATTTTCCAATAATTCCTATAAAATGTTTACCTACATATAAATATCTCCGACAACTTAAGGTATCATATTGTAGATATTATTAGAGTTCTCTAACCATTGGTATCATTTTCATCGTGCGCCGCTAAACAAAATCAAAATGATGCTTATGTCAGTTTCCATAGAAAAATGTTCGAACCCATCATGCGACATGTTCAAAGCATCCCAAGTTGAATGGTTTAGGGAGAACTCTAGTTCTCCTCTAGAAAAAAAGAACTCAGTTCAGCAATTTTTAACGTCATACTGCTGGGTACTACAGGCTTCCCTTCAATATGAGGGGAATCAGGTCACAGTCCACCACACTGGCCAAGTGCGGGTTAGTGGACTTCACATGTCTTTCGAAAACTTGGTAGGTTCTCTCAGACATGTAGGTTTCCTTACGATGTTTTCCTTCAACGTAAGATAAGTGGTAATCATGCTAGAAATGATTTGCACATGAAAATATCAAAGGTGCGAAACCCGGGATTTGAATCTGCTTTACTCGGTTTCCCAAGCAAGGTAGTTACCACTGGGATACCACTGCCTTTTTAATGAATAGAACTCACCGCTATGCATCTCCTCGCGGCAGATGATACACTCGTTGTCAGCAGCGGCCAGTTCCGCTGGCGTCGCGTCCGGGTACAGCGTGTTCATGTTGCGTATGGCGCGGCGGGACAGCACCACGTCATTGTACGCCTTCTTGAAACTCCTGTCACAAAAACATTTCAACATTATTACACACATACACAACTTCACGCTATATTCCTTGGGGTAGGCAGAGGAAACAGAATCCAGCGCCACAATGTTTAACGATAACGATCAATATTACAACTATAACATTATTAATAATTATTCATTTATAATATTTCCTGCAAACATGACTAGTGAGATCAGATAGTTATTATTATGATTTTTTGCTAGCCACTACACCACAGAGGCAATTAAAATAGATATGATAAATAAATTAAAAAAATATGTTTGTAGTTAATTCTCAAGACAAAAAACTTTCAAGTTTAAACCCCAATTAATTCAAATATATTATGTAATTACGAATATGATATAAGCTGTTGCTAATACTACTATTTAGCTTTATATTTTCAACTAAGTATGTAGTAATAAAATATAAATGCCAATCATTTCATTTATGGATGTTTAAATTCTTCACAATTTTGCTAAAGTTCAAAGTATTTAAATGTATGTCAAATTCAGAGGTAACAAATTAGACTTACCTCATAGTTTCATACATGGGTCGGAAAGCGAATAGTGGTAAAGTGTAAATCCGAACCATGACAGCTACGAAGCCGACATAGAGAAGGACTTTGAGAAAGTTGATGGCAAGTTCAGTGTACAGCAGTACCGCTGCTTTGCTCTCCCACGGCGCTTCCCATCGTGAATCAATGGCATGGAGAACATACTGGATTGTAATGTCAAATATATTAATTAAGATAAATTATGTTAATTACTTTTTATAACATATCAAATGAAAAATGTAGTTCTTTATGAGAGTTACTATTAGATTATTTTAAATTTTATAGTGTAACAGAATCCTCCTTCACACGGGCTTAACTTGCACTTGGCCAATTTTTTCATATTATTAATTATCTTGAAATGGTAATTAATAATAATTACATTTTTAATTTAATGGTAATTAATAATTATTTATTTTCCCAATATACTTTTTATATTATATATTTCCATAAGTGTTCTTGAATGATTAATTAAGTCAAATGTCACAAACAAATTAGATTTAAATTATAACTAGATATTGAAGTTTTAATCAAATTTAACATGTTTTCTCTTAGCAAAGAGCAAGCAAAAATAATAAAATTGGTCTGAAAATAAAAATAGGCAGCTTTATAATTATGCAACTAATTAGTTTCATCTACATACTAAATAATCGCAAAATCTCAGTAGAGATAAGATCTTTCATAAAGAGAAGAAATTCAACTAGGTAAAAAGTTGTACAAAATTTGTATGAAAGTTTGTATTTTTAAATTAATAAAAATAATGGAAACTTATATGGCTGGAATTAAACTAAATTGATATAGAAAGGTAGTGAATAACAAGTTTCAATTCTAACTCAAGTAACATTAGTCTGAACAAGAAAAAACTTACTAAGAGATAACTTCCTAATTTTGGCAAAATAAAAGTTATAATTAACTTAAAATAACATCTTAACTCACCTTAATCAATATATTCACAATCATTATTATTAATATGCTGTATTCAAATCCAAAGACCAATTGGACTGAAGGGCCTTTAGTAGCAGTGAATGCATATGCATGATGAATGAAATATAAATCAGCTTGTGCTAACAACATTAATAAACTTAAAATTCTTATATGAAACAACCAGCCAATTACAGGACTCCTTTCCATCTGAAAAATATAATGAATTATTTACTATTTATTTGTTAAAAATTTTATTTTATTAATTGTATAATTTGCTTACAAAATCAACCCTGTCTTCTGCAAGCCAATGGAATGCCTTCAAAAACAATAGAAGAGTAAACAGTGCTATAAATTTTGGGTTGAAGTCATCTCGAAATACTGTAAATGCCAGACAAGTCTCTGTTATGGCATACCAAGACCTTTCTATTAAGTGCTGAAAAAAAAAACATACTTTGTTTTAATTAATTGTGACTATTATTTTTTTATAATTACATCTGTCAATCAAATCAAATCTAAATATACTTTATTCAAATAGGCTTTTACAAGCAATTTTGGATTGTCAATTTTACACTTTAAAATTAAATTAAAAGTCAGATGGGGAGGAATCATAATAAAAATATTTATTTTTATAATAAAAAGAATAATCTCGATATAATAAGAATTCTCATACTAATCTTAGCCAAGCCCTTGCTTATTTATTTCCTATAAATATATTAACAAAAATAAAAAATATTTTTCATGACATTATTATCATTTATCAATATTAGTGATTGTTCACTTACCTCAAATTCCGCAGCACGAAGTTGGCCAAAGAAAATTTTTCTCAATATTTTACCAGCTAGTAATACAAGTATAAAAGCTTGCAAATACATTACCTGCAACAAGAAACTTGTTGTTGAAACATTAAATATTACATATGTAATACATGCACATGTCTTTAATAATAAATTATGAAATTAAATAAAAAAATTAATATATTCATCACAACTTCAATTTATCAAAAAACTTAAAGCAAAGAAACATTTCACATTAGCAAGGTCGAGGCCAAGCAATTTGTTCTCGGTGTATTTCGGATTTATATGAAAATATAAAATACTTACAGCCATACTAGGATTTGAATTAGTCAGGTAAACTACAGATGGATAAAATTGTTTCTTTTGGTAATAAGCATTGCCTATTACCACAGTCGTTAGAGCTAGACTGATAACAGTCGCCACAACAGCCTTCATTTTCATTGAAATTAAATACACCTACCACTTCCTTACACTAAAAATTTTACATTAAATAGTTAAAGAAATTTCTAGGCAAAGTAAAATCGCTGAATTATCAACAAATACATTTTCAAAACATCGTTCCGTATCACTCGGTAGAACAAAAAATAATTTTGACGTGTTCAATGTTCATTTGTGTCAATTTAACTTCCACAGATATAAAGAAATTTTGAAGAAATATTCAAATTAAAGTATAAAGTATTTCGAAAGAACTTTAATGCATAAATGTTTCTATTGCAATATTCATTTAACCTATATATATTATAAGGTCCGTACATCGATCAAAAAAATTCTTTTTGATCGATTGGATCTCAAACTAATCAAGCATTTTTACCAACAGACATTTTACAAATTACTCTAAAAACATTTTATCTAATAGAAAGTAGGATGAAAAGTAACTCTTCGTATTCTAACTAACAAAGTATCTCTTAATAAAAAATTATCTTCTTATTTGACTCAGTTATTTACCTTCAAGAAGAACGAAGCAAGATACATTCCATCGCGTTTACAATATTAATAAGGATAATATTACTCATTTCTAATATGATTACCACTTGCCTTACGGTGAAGGAAAACATCGTGAGGAAACCTGCATGTCTGAGAGAACTTAGCAAGTTTTCGAAAGACATGTGAAGTCCGCCAACCCGCACTTGGCCAGCGTGGTGGACTATGCCCTGATTCCCCTCGTACTGAAGGGAGGCCCGTGCCCAGCAGTGGGACGATAAAAAGGGCTGAATACAAGGATAATATTACTGTTACTTATTATTAGTTTTGAAGTAAATAAGAATTTCACTTTAAATATATTTAAGTATACTGCTTATATTATCGTCCAGACCGATTTCGGCCACGGCGGCAAATTTCATTGAGACTTGCCATCTGCGCAGGAGACATTATATTATAATCCTGCTCAGATGCCTAATCATCAGACTGCAGAATCCTCCTGCGCAGATGGCTAGATTATATTATAATATCTTCTACGCAGATGGCTAGATACTATAATAATTATAGTCATAGTCTCATATTATAGTCTCTATTCCTATCAGTCTCTTATTCCGGTGGGACTAAGGACGATTACTCGAGTCGACACAACCAGTGAGTGTTAAGGAAAAATATAATTTTTATTTCTACGTCTTGTATCGTATTCAGTCCTTTTTAGCGTCCCTCAGGGCATAGTCCACCACGCTTGCAAAGTACAGGTTGGCTAACTTCACATGTCTTTTGAAAACTTATTCCTACGTAATTTTTTTCAAATAAAATATATATAAAATAATAAAAATAATGAATTAAATTAACTGCGTTACATTAATTTCGAAGGATAAAAATTATCAAAAATAATAATATAAGAAATAAAGTAATTTTTATATATGGCTAACTTAAAGAGTGGTAAGAGGCTACTGGCAATTTAACAAATCGCTGCTTATCTGTCATTTTGGAAACGAAGATGGTGTTCTTATTGTTTTACTAAATGTACCAAACAGTTTTTAGCCAATAGTTTAGTTTTTAGAATGAATGTAATCGTTTTACTTATTTAAAATTATATTAGTGTTTGCAACATATCGGTAATGTAAATATAAGATATATAATCTCTACTTAAAAATGTTTCTTGCCGCGCATTCACTTTGTACTTTTCAGAATTTGTGATTTAATAGCAAATTTCTAACTCTTAACAATTTCTAAGTGATTTTTTTAGTTAGTGATAAAAGTGTATCCATTTTTTCAATTATAGTACTTAATTTACGTTGTAGGCATATATTTATCCTTACAACTTTGCTTCTACTAAATAACTTTTGTATTTGTTCTTTCAGGCTTATTTGAAGAAAAAAATTAAAAAAGTTTCTAATATAATCGGAATTCAACTCAGAATGGTAAGTTACATTTGTGTATCAAATCACCATAATAATAATCATCTGTATTTTATAAATCTAATGTATCCTAATATTTTACTTAGCAGGGTGATGATCCCCCATTTCTTCCAGTCGGTACTGATGTAAGTGCCAAGTATAAAGGAGCATTTTGTGAGGCTAAAATTAAAAAAGTTGTTCGTAACATTAAATGCAAGGTAGGTTTAGATATAAAATATGTTTTTTTAAATACTTATATTTTAATGATTATATGATTATATTATATGTACTAGTAATTTTTGGTACAAAAGACTTCATTTTTAGCAAAGATAATTAGTATGGATAAAATTATCATATGGATACCGGATTGTCTGTGATATAGATTGTGTTACAGGTGACTTTAAAAGCTGGTGGTATTACCACAGTAAATGATGATGTTATCAAAGGTACTTTAAGGGTAGGCAGCACTGTAGAAGTAAAGCAAGATCCCAAAAAGGAAGCAATGGAGGCAGTTATCACTAAGATACAAGACTGTAGTCAGTATACTGTTGGTAAGTAATTTTTTTAACAAATAATGTATTTATTAAGGTATAGCAATTATATAGAGTATTATTATTACTATTATAAAGCTAATAAGTACCTACCTAACATAAGCTATATTACTATTATTAAGCTAATAAGTAACATATTCTGAGATTCATTATCTAAAACATGTTTTATAAGTACAAGTTTTTTGATATACATGTATGTAATAAAAATAAAGACTAATCTTTCATTAGAAAAAGTAGCCTGTATAAGAAATTTGCATAGTGGAAATGAATTTTAGATAATATTGATTATTTGCACTATACATAGTTTTATAGTCACAAATTTGATCTGTATTGTTTTAAGTAAAATTAATATTAATTTGTATATTACCAGTGTTTGATGATGGGGATATTACAACTTTACGGCGCTCTGCACTGTGCCTTAAGAGTGGACGTCATTTCAATGAAAGTGAAACATTAGACCAATTGCCACTCACACATCCAGAGCACTTTTCAACACCTGTTATAGCTGGCAGAAGAGGACGAAGAGGAAGAGCACAGTGAGTTAAATTAAAAATATATCAAATATGTATATTTTATTTTATTTTCTAAGATTCAATTATATTATTTGTGTATATTAATATCCATATTATCTACACTAATATTATAAAAAGGTAATGTTTGGATTTAGGAGGTAATCTTCAAAACTACTAATCCGATTTACATACATTACATACTGATTTTGTAAAGTATGTCTACAAAAAAAACAGTCGAATGAAAGTGTTTCTTATGAATGCTGCTTTAACAGTAAGAGATATATAGAAAAGTTGTAGAGCTTAAAAATATCTACAAAAAATTCTGCAACAGCATATGTCTAACTTTTATATTTAAGCCACAAAAACTACTTTTATGTTTAAAAAATAATTAAAATCGTTAGGTGGTGTTTAACTAGTCATATTATCAACAATTGTTTGGACGTGTAGTTTAAGAAATATCACGATAAAAGTAATGCGCAGCCGAAATTCTTTAGTTAGATGCAATTGAGTCATTCGGTGACGACACTGATGTTGAACTAGGAATTATTAAAATAGTAGGTCTTAAAAAGGCCACGTTAAGCTAAGCCACGTTACCGCCAAGTCTATGACAGTATGAGTGTATCTCCTAAGGTACATTCACAATTACTATTCTTATCTATTTAAAATAGCGACTCACCCTAGTTTCGCTTCGGGTTAGTCCCTAGATGTAAACAAATCTAACCCATGGGAACCGTACATTTTCCGGGATGATATATAGTAGCCTATAGCCTTTCCCAATAAACATGTTATCTAATGCAAAAATAATTTTTCAAATCGGATTAGTAATTCCTGAGATTAGCGCGTTCAATCAAACTCTGCCTCTTTATAATATATAATATATTAGTATAGATGTACCTAGAGTACCTGAGCGAAGCGAGGGTAAATGGCTTTTAATACTAATATGTATGCAAGGGTCAGGAATCAATTGAATTGATAGGACACAAAGCCCATATTATGATGATATAGGGGATAGTCTTATTAAAGCAATTTCTAGATACATAAATATGACATATATTATATTATATATATGGTATAAAACAATGACTTCAGAAAAGATGAATGTTCTTCTTCTCGTGTCGATGGCAAGAATGCCATCGTGGTGAAAGGATTAGCCAATCAGCGTTAGTAAATTTCTGATTGCCCAGGGTGCGCCGGACGTATAGGTTGTGTACGTCGCTCGGGGAGGCTCCTTTCGTGCACCCCAAAGATGAATGTTGATATAAAATTATTGCTTAGTCAAAACAGAGATGATTTGCTATTTTTTCTGTGTATTCTGCAGTTTGTGTTATAAAATACATCAATAAATATAAATCATATAATACACACTCTGGAATCTTGAATCAATATTAAAAACATTTTATACTAGGTCTGAAGAAAGTGAAGGCGAAGGCAGCACACGCCGTATCAAGGCGGATAGTGCAGAGCGAGAGCCTCATGTCGGGCGTGTGGTACTGGTAGAGGCTGCGAGTGGTGCGGAACGACGGAGGCCTCACCAGCCCGCATTCCCTGCACTTGTGGTAGCTCCAACTGCACAAATTAAAGTCAAGGAAGACTATTTAGTGCGGTCTTTTAAGGATGGGAGATAGTAAGTGAAATTGATTTATTTTTCTGTAATTGATAGACAAATATTATAAAGAGGTAAAGTTTGTGAGATTGTGATGGGGGTAATCTCTTGATCTACTGAACCGATATAGATGAAATTTGGTAAGAAAATAGTTTGAGACCCTGGGGGGTGAAAATTCATATTTTTTTAATTATATTCATAAGTTTCATTTCCGTTTTCATGCCTTAAGGGGGTCACAATGGAAATGAAAGTTTGTACGGGGACTCAAGCTAGGGATGAACCCGAGCGAAGCGAGGGTGAGTCGCTAGTAGACAATAAAGGGCTGAAATTACAATGATAAGTGATTAAAGTAAGGATAATACTATTTTTAAGTTGTTTATATTAACTGTTACTGGTTAGTATGGAATAGATAAGTAATGAATTTTATATCCCTTACTTGAGAAATGGTTGATTTCCGATGACAAAAGCCTGGATTAATATAATTACAGTTACACAGTCCCAAAGAAGGAAGCGCGCGAGTTTCGTAAAGGCGCAGCACCTATAGAGTGGTCAGGCGTGGAGGCAGCGCTGCAGTACCTCAACCAGGGCGTGCTCCCGCCGCACTGGGACCGTGACACGTTGTTCAATGAGCCGAGGAACACTTCTGATGATGTATGTATTTTTCTAAACATATCTATATATTGTTATCCTTATATTATTCTTAAAATTATATAATAATAATAATAATATACAGCTACTTAAGATCAGAATATACCACGCAAAAATAATAAAAACCCTATAAGTAAGCCTCTAAGACTGAGCCTCTCTTATTAGGTCGTTGTAGCGATAGCGAAAAACTAAGCTTTAATTACTGTATGTATTGTGTTGGAGAAGCTGAATTATTAATATTAAAATATATATTATTCATAGAGCTCAGATGATGAACCTCGGGAAGAGAAGGACCATTTTGTAGCGCAGTTGTATAAGTTTATGGATGACCGCGGCACCCCGCTCAACCGGAACCCTACAATTGCTAATAGAGATATAGATCTCTATAGATTGTTTCGAGTAAGTTTTGTTCATGTTATGCTAAAATATGTGTGTATGTTCATGTTATATTAAATTAATACATTTCTATACAAAATGTTAAAACAAATTTATAATGTGTTGCACTGTAATCTAAATGTTATCAATAAACCAAAAATTTCAGGCAGGAAACATGTAATAAATTTATTTTTTATAAAATTTATATATTATATTTTACAAAATTTCTTTCAGGTTGTTCAAAAACTTGGTGGTTACAATAGAGTAACCAATCAAAACCAGTGGAAAACAATTGCTGATAAAATGGGTTTCCATCCAGTCACTACAAGTATAACAAACTTGTGCAAGCAAGCCTATAAAAAGTCAGTATTTTCTTTTTATTATACACTATTTACAACATATATCTAAATTGGTGATTCATGTAAAGAAATTTTAAAATGTTATTTTCATAATATAATCAGATCAATATAATTCGTTGGCTCACTATTACAATGTTACAATTTTAGTACTTATTTAGTTATTAATGCTTTTTAAACTATAAAATATTCAATTTTACACAGTTCTATGTTGTTTTTTTATGATAACAAAATAACGAAGTTCTATGTAAAAATGACTAAACTTCATTAAAATTAACATAGAACCTTGTAATAGTAAGCCAACGAATTATGTATATAATGCCATCTATTGAAATTTATTTGAACTGATGCCTATGTTTCTCATGATATTTGACATTAATTCCAATAACTTCTCATTCCACAACAACAGTAGCAACAAAGACAGACAAAGTGATGAAATAAGGGTTTTGTTATTGAGGGAAAACATTGTAATGAAACTTGCAGTAAATCAGAAAGTTTTCAATAGAAATGTAAGGTCTGCCAGCCCGCACTTAGTCAATGTCGACTATGATCCCACTCATATTGAAGGGAGACCCATGCCCAGCAGTGGGATGTTTAAATATATGTGAAGCATTAATTAAATCAATCCAGGTTCCTGCACAGCTTCGAGGACTTCTACCGCAAGCTGGGCGTGACGCTGGTGGCGCACCCGCGCGGCGCGCGCACTCCGCCCGCCGGCCGCTCGCTCATACGCGACCGCGACAAGCAGCCGCCCGCCTCCTCCTCGGCCTCCGCCTCCGCCTCCTCCACGCCCACCGGCACGCCCAGTCAGGTAGCCTCGCGACTTATATTTGGGCAGGATATTCATTTATGTATTTTTGGGCAGCAAACAGTATTTAAAACACTTACAGAAAATACATAAAAGATTGAACACACACCAATAAAGTTTCCATTAATATTATTAATAAGCAGTGAAAAAAGAGGCTAAAAACAGCACAAAAACGTACAAAACCTTAATTTAAACCTTAAGTAAATATTGCTCACCTAAATTAAATTTTAATTACAAGTATTCTCTAATATTTTTTTTGATCTGTGTGTTCGAGCAAGTATGCAAATCAATATTATTAATTTTTTCATTAAACTTATTACAAGCCCGATACACAAAAGTATTTTGAACGTCATATTTAGTTGTTATTGTTGGGATATAAAACAATGACTTATTTCTAGTGCTAACCTTAAGACATCTGAAGTAAATATTTCTTAACAAAAATGGAGAGTCTATAAAATTGTTAAGAATAGAGGCAAGGAGGATTGTCTCAGCGTATGAAGAAGTGTCTGTCTTAAACAATTAAATTAAGATGGCGTTACCATAGCAATTAAGTAAATTTTATAAATAATGTACTCAAATAGAGTAGATTCTTTTATGTTATATTTTATTTTCAACGTTTTTTGAATTGAGCAGTTGAGGTTTTGTAAACCGTGGTTTTATTAACTACTCTAGACGCGAAAATATATTATTTCAACTCAGTACACTTCACTCTGTTTATATCTGTTCATATCATAAACACTTTCTATGCTAGCGCTGTCCTGGTCGGTTTTTGAACTGTTATGTTGGCCTGGATGAATGCTGTTCAGTTTGACCCCCATGTACATCTATGGAGCCAAGCCATCTGGCTTGACCTCCATAGTTGTATAATGTGCATGTAATCCAATATGACATCTCTTGTATGTCCGCAAACCCGCACTTAGTCTGTGTAGTGTACTCTGGTCAGGTCCCAACCGTGAGACATTAAAAGAACTGAATTATTATTATTATCATATCTTATTCGTTATTGAACCGCCATTGTAAATGTGAAAGTTTGAATGTGTGTTTGTGTGTTTGTTACTTTTTCACAATAAAACAGCTGGACGTATTTGGATGTAGTTTAAGTACACAGATAATACTATGACCTGAAGTAACACATAGGCTACTCTCAGGCATCTAGGAATGCACCCGATCGAGAATAAATCGCTATATAAAATAAATTAACTTTTACTTTTACATCTATACATTATATTAGCTAAACAAATTTCACATAGATGATATTTAATGTAAAACATTTTGGCTAGTTTAATAATGTTCTTATAAGCTTTTATTTATCTACATAAATTGGAAAGAATATGTGCCCTGAACTTTTTTGTATAGGTATTTTTATCATTTTAGCGCTCAAAAGATAAAGATTCGGATAAAAGTGAAACAGAAAAAAGTGATAAGAGTGAGAAAGAAGATAAAATAGAAAAGCCAGAGAAGAAGGACAAGCCGCGAGCTAGTGACGAAGATGACAGCGCAGATAACCAGCCTCTCATAATCACTGCACCAAAGTAAGTATTTTAATTTTAGAAATAGTTGTTTTGATTTTATGATTATATATAATAATATTTATATGTGCCTTTACATTTATCTAAGAAAGTATAACTCAAATATAAAGAAATATGAATTGAGGTTTCGTATGTACATTGCTAAATATTTTTTTACTCATTACAGAATTGAAAAAGAAAAGGAAAAGGAAAAAGAAAAGGAGAAGGAAAAAGACAAAGAAAAAGATAAAGAGAAGGAAAAAGAGAAAGAAAAGGAAAAAGAAAGAGATAAAGAAAAGGACAAGGATAAAAGTTCAACGACAAGTGAAGAAAAGATCGTCATCAAGCCGCGCTCGCAGTCGAAAACGCGCAGTCTGCCACCGATTAAGACAGAGTCGCATGAAAAACGCACTCCGAAAAGAAAGACGTTATCTTCCAAGTGTAAGTCAAATATAAAGATTTATTTCTCAAAAGTCTCAGACAACTATATTATCTGTGGTACAAAGTGCGTGGATCCTCCACACAAAACATCACGCCAATCCGCCAAGCCGTTTCGACGTGAAAGAAAGACAAACAAACAAACACACTTTCACATTTATAATATTAGTATGGATATTAGTATGGATTTGTAAAATCTGAAGATGAATAATAGTTATGATTGCAGTCTTTTACCTAATTCGTAATTGCGTTCATAGCATTTGGTAATTCTCTAAAATCATGAGTTGGGTATAGTTTGTCATCTCAATCGCGTGAAAATGGTGGTGTTAATTATAACTTCTAATTTATTGTATGTATATATATTTATATAGTTAAATATCAATTGCAATATTTTTAACCGTTTTTAATTCGTGCGATGCTATAACTGTGTAAACAATAAATAAAAAAAAAAAAACATTTTTACCATATATTATCTTATTTGAATGTGTTACAGTGAGTGAAGGTGCGGGTGTAAGTACGGGTCGTGCGTCGCGGCGGCCCAACGCCTCCACCGACAGTGATAGCTCCGGCAGAGCGTCCAGGTAGAGTTAAAAAATATTTTAACCGTAATCAGTTGGGAGGAAATTTTTTGGTCCGGGATTCGATTGCCAATATCATTTCTCATTGAAACTTGTTGCTCCACTCTTTGTTCCCTCATATTCTGATGAGACGACAACTCAAAACGTGCTCTCCGAGGCACCGAACGCATTGTACGCATGTACGCTGCGATTGATCGATTCCGAGCTAATTTGGCCTGAACGTGGACTCAACGCAGGGCCTCATGATCTCCCCCCCAACGTGCGTTCACCTTGTCGTGGTGGGGGGGCTCAGTAGTAGTAGCGAAGCTAAGAAACGCACAGGGAGGTTGCCCACTTCGGTGGGCGGTGGGAGGTGGCCCTCTTCGGGGGGCGGTGTACCTTGCGGGTTGCTCCTGGTACTTCTCTGATAGCAGAGTGGACCTTGGAGCAACCCCACGGTTGTGGTGGTCTGCTTTGGCAGACCTGCCGTCGGGGCGTCGTAGTTGAATGCGTAAGCGATCCTGCGACGCCCCATTAAGACGGGGGAAGGTTTTGTTGGGTTTTAGTGGGTAGTACTGGCTGTATTACGCCGGTGAGTCCCACACGTCGTGCGTAAATGCATTTCCCAACGTTAAAAAAAAAAAAAGGGCCTCATGATCTACAGTCTTACATCAACAATTTATTGATTGTTTTATATTGCATATATTCATTTTTTTTTGGTGGGAGGTGAAGCACTATAAGTTTTATTTATACACACTAATTATATTTCTTTTTATTATTTAAATCTATACATATAATAAAATTATACCTAAGCCGCATCTGTACATTATATATTTTTTGGAAAATCTTATTGGAATAAACATTATTATCGATACGGTAGCCGAATCTATAGTTTTTAGAATTTTTGTCTGTCTGTCTGTTACCCCATCACAGAAAAACCCCTGGAGAGATTTTGATGAAATTTGGTATGGTGATAGCTGGTTATCCGGGTCAACATATAGGATATTTATTACCACGGTAAAATATCTCATTTCATTTAAGAATATACTAAATCTGTAAAACTTCAGAATTTGGTTTTTCGTCAAATGAACGCGGGCGGAGCCGCAGGCAATGCCAGTGAAATGTAAATGGTATGTAACAATATAATAAACAGTAGTCATGTAATCATCCGTTCGACCTCTAAGGTAGGAGAGACCTTACATACATATAATCAAATACATGGAAGCTAATTTTTTTTATGGTACTCAGTGATAAACGAGCAGACAGCCCACAGTACTTATCGCCCATAACACCTACGGTTCATGCACTTAGGTTTTACGTAACAAAACTGCAGAACCGCCGGTACGTTATCACTGTAAGGACTAAGATAATATGCCTCTTGCCTGTAATTGCGCTAGCTACTTTATCCTTCAAACCGGAACACAACAATGCAATCATTGTTGCTTGGCGGGAGAAATAGATAAGTGGGTGGTACCCATCCAGTCGGACTCCTCAGACTTGACAGAGTCCTACCACTGGTATTCGTACGAAATGTGACATACGATGAATTAGCTTTTTCTGTTTCTTAGATGTGGACTCACTAAAAAAATGCAATGTCGAAGAAGTCAAAGCGCAAACTCAGCGAGCAGCGGCAACACTATCGCGTCCAATAGCAGCAAGCGCCCGCGGAAAAGGAAGACTACTGAGTAATTTATTTAACTTTAATATCATTTGAGAGTGTAAAGTGCTTTTAAATACTTTAATAAGTATGTGCAATGCAACCATATCTGCTTAGCACGGAGTACACTACAGTTTGATACCATGTAGAAAATTAATCAACACAAAATATATTAAAATAAAAAATATTTTTTTTTATTTTCATTAGAAAAAGTTATTCTTTTTAGCATCTAAGTATAATGTTTTTCCTTTGATTAGGACTTTTAAGATATAGCAAAATTAATGTTTCCTACAGGCCTTCTACTAATGAATCAACCAGATCTTCTAATGTGAAAGCTCAAGTAGGGGACAAACTGAAGGTGTATTACGGACCAACACAATCAGAATCAAAGGTAAGTTTTTAATACTATTACATGGATATTTGATAATATAATATCTGCACTGTCAGACTTTGCTTGCAAAATGAGAACTTCAGTGGTACTATTTTCCCATTACATACAGAATGAATATCTTAATCATTTTTTTTTATTTATAAAAACTAGCGGCACATCTTCACTTCTGTCTGGTTCGCCTCTAGACAAACATAAACGAATTATCCCACGGGAACCGTACATTTTTCCGGGCTAAAAAGTAGCCTATTTATTATTCTGATGTATATATATATTATGTATTTATATTACTGTAAAGTTTCATTAAAATCCAATCAGTAGTTTTTGTGTACTAAGCTGTATAAGTTACTATAGTTTTTCAACTATTCCACGGGAACTCTTTAATTTTCCGGATAAAAAGTATCTAAAATGTTCTTCGGTTCATCTTCTTGTTAAAGTGAAATCGGTCAGAAGGATATTATTATTATATAAACAAGTGTGATGCCCAGGTGACTTACGAGGCGAAGGTGATAGAAGTGTCTGCGGAGGGCATGCTGCGCGTGCACTACACGGGCTGGAACACGCGCTACGACGAATGGATCAAGCCGCAGCGCATCGCGCTCAACGTCACGCAGCACGACGCGAGGAATAAGAAGGTACGGATATGTGACTTCTATAGGCGGTTTTGTGTTTCTGAACGTTTTATTTATAGTTGCTTTTTGATATTAGAAAATATAAATACGAAAGTCACGCATTAGCATGACAATGGGTTGATATTGGTGTGTACTTTGGAAAATATTGTAAATTCACTTTGAAATGTTACTAAGTATTATTATTTATTTTATAAAAAGGTAAAAATCCCGAGGAATTATTTGTTTTGTAGTTAAAATCAGTAAACCAAATAATTGGAATTATAATAATTATAAGTACTTACTGAAATAAATAATCTTGATTGTGTCGTGAAGAAATCGTGTGAAATGAATATTGGGAAAAAAGACAAATAAATAATTATTTGTCTTTTTTGACAAGTAAATAACTATTTTGCTCTTTATCTTGAAAATATAATAAAAATTTAAAACTTCCTATTTGTTGCAGATTACAAACTTAAGTAGGCGAGTAAGAAGTAAGAGAACAGAAGGTATGCAATTATAGTCATATTATGTAAGTCAAGTAACCAAGAAATTATATATAAAAACGATATTTTTATTGTTAGTTCTATTTTCAGAATCATCTGCACGCTCCGACACTGACACTTCAGATAGTGACGAAAGTGTCAAAAGACCCCCTAAAAAGTCTGATGATAAATCGAGTGTTAAAAGTAAGTAAATAATTTTGTGATTGAACATAATAAGTACATTTAATCCCTTTGTCATAACATACTTTTTTTACCTTCAGCTCCGTCTAGGTCTAAGGACCAAAAATCAAGTGATAGCAGTAGCTCAAGTAAGCCGAGAAAAAGGCCCGTGAGAACCGTGTCTACACCACTAGCCACTTCGCCGTCTAAAAAACCACGCATAAATGTAACAAGCCAACACCAGGGCCGTGATTATGACCTAAACGAAATCCGGTCAGAACTAAAAGGACTCCACTCAGTAAAACAGGAAGCTGAAGAAACGATAAAAACAGAAGTATCTCCAAAAGATACTGTTGTGAGTCCTGGACATTCCACCAATCAACTTTCTGAAATTCCACAACCTGAGAAACAAGCAGAAGATGTGTATGAATTCAAAGAACCCGAACCATTCGAACTGGAATTGCATGATGAAAAAAAGAAAAGAACTCATCGTATATTTGATGACATTTCCCCTAGCAAATATACGTCAACACTGTCGAAGTCTTTGAGTGAAGAAATATCGGAAGACCCATTGAGAGCGCGGCCGTCGTCATTCAGGTCACCATCACTCTCGCCATTTAGAGATTTTGGCACAACTCGAGATGTACCATGCAGGCAGAGCCCAGAGGATGACTCAAAGGATGGTTTATTTTCATTAGACGATGATTCCCTTCCAGGAGAAGGGAGCTCAGGACCCATATTTGAAGGCTTTACGCCCGCTAAAAATCAAGAAACGTATTCAAAAAAGAATAAAGTTACTAAACTTCGACAGTTAATCGACGATTCACCTGACAGCCCTGCAGACGATGAGCAGTCATCGGAAGATGAACCAGAAGACGTTGTTAAAGTAGAAGAAAGAGGTCCGAGTCCTATTTTGCAGCCAATGTTAAAAGAAAAGTCTCCCGAGCCAATCAAGGAGGAGCCTAAAAATCCAGAACAAACCAAAGAGGTTAAGGATGCTCTAACGATCTTGAAAGAGCTTCCTCCTATAGAATCTATACCAGAACCACCACGAACACCACCGCCGAAAGTAAAACTAGAAGTACCAATTGTATCTGTAAATCCTTCCACAAGTAATGTTTCGAAAGAAATTGAAGAAAAGAAAGAAAAAGAAGATAAAGTTATAAAAGAAGAAAAAGCAACTAAAAATGAAATTAATGAAAAGACACTCAAAGAAAAACTATTATCAATACCTCTACCAAGTGTAGAACCAAAAGAGCCTCCCAAAATAAGAATAGAAAAATTAGATCCGGATCCAATAATATCTAAGATGGAGCCGCCGTCTAGCGCACTCATCGACACTGAAGAAGATAAATCTGAGCCCGACAGTCCGGCGCGTATCGACGTTCTACCAGAACCACCACCAGGTTTCCTTTTGCAGTCAGAGGGTCCAAAGATCGCTGAAAAACTTCTACAAGCAATAAACAGCGCAAAGAGACTGTCTATATCTCCGCCTCCAGTAGATGATCGGCCAATTACGCCAAAGAAAGATGTTAAAGCCGCAGATGAAAAATTGTCACCTATACCCATTGAAATCAAACGGCCGCCTAGTAAACCGGAATTACTAAAACCACTAACGAAGCTCGAGCCCATCAAAAGAGCGAGTCCCGCGGAAATTATTGATTCTATATTTGGCGAACCCTCAAATTTAACGGACGTCAAACGAGATATAACAGAAATAAAAAAGGTTAAGCCCAAAGAGCCGACGCCACCGAGACTGCAGAGTCCTCTCAATATTTTAGAACGGCGAAAAAGCGTCGCCGATCTACCTCTAAGTGCTCCCGGGAAGAATAAGGTGTTAAGTGAGACAATACAAAAACTATCGAGTCAAATAAACCAGTCTGTAGTGGCGGCTAGCATTCCCTTACCACCGTTCCAGCCCGCTGATGATCGAAGCGAATCCAGCGACTCCGATGACTCGGACAGACGGTGCGTATTTACATAATATCTGTACATTAAATAAAATTAATACAGAGTCAAAGTGTTATATTAAAATTTAAAAAAGATTAGATTTTAGAATGTTAGCCAATTATCTATTTGCGTGCATGCTTTACTCAGAAAGTGTAAGTGTATCAATTTAAACAAACTGCCTGTAATTAAATAATATATATTTTGAGTAATTTGATTGTTCAATAGTTTCAACATTTTATGAACACACAAAGTAAAAAGCAGACACGGCGGCTGATTTGTGAGAATGATATTAAAATCGAAAATGTTATAAGTAATGATTAATTCAATACTGTCTGTCACTCAGGCTTATAATCGACAAGCTGTCAGCGGAGGAGTGGACCAGCGGTAGCGGCGGCAGCGTCGGCGGCGGTGGTCGCGCGCGCGGCCCGCACGCCGGCAAGTCGCCCGGCGAGTGGAGCGCCGGCGAGTCGCTGCTCATGCTTGAGGACGCCTGCAAGAATGAGCGGAAGCACAGTAAGATAATACAATATACATACTAGTAACTTATTCTTACTTCAAGTTCATATTCTCTAAAAGTACAAAAATGTATGCCTAATAAGAACGAATTTCAGAACCTCACTTTTTTTGTTGTCCGTTTCACGTGAAAAGCGGGGGGCATTTCACATGCTACCTGCATACTATATTGATTATTATATGATTGCTTAACATTTTTAACTAAAGAACATTCCATTAGGATTATAATATAAAATAAATTGATTATTTTATTCCTCATAATGTAAATTACCATGTCTTTTCTTAACCATTGATAATGTCGATGTCATGTCACTTCAGGCGCGAGCGTAGTGGTGGCGGGTGGCGGGCGCGTGGGCGGCGCGGCGGGGGCGGGCGGCGCTGCGGGGGCGGGCGGCGAGGACGAGAGCTGCGTGTCACTGCTCCTGTGCGAGGAGACCATCCCCGGCTCGCCGGCGCCTGACGCGGAACCCGCGCCGCCCGCCCGCCCACACCACCAGCCCTTCGCGTGCGCGCCGCAGCATGCGCACTCCCACAATGCGCACAATCATAAAGGTATACTACAATTTATTATTTAAGTCTAAATATTAATAGTTGAGAATTGCTGATTAAATTTGGCAAGAATTGTTCCCACAGCCTTACAGCTAAAAACTAACTGTCAATGTGCCTTTCTTGTTAAACTAATACCATCATTGTAGTAGCTCTGATACAACAAAATTATATTTTACTAAGACTAAAAAAATTATCCCGCATATATGCTCCTTGAGTTTTGTAAACAAAAATTTGATTTTGGCCAAGTTCAAAAAGAAAAAGTTACACAAATCGATTGTGTTTTTATGTGTACTTTACGCAAGGTATTGCTTAATGCACCAGTTGTAAATCGGTTGTATTAATTCTTAAAAAAATAGTATGTAGAATTTATTTATCTATATTATATATTACAGCGGAAGAACGTCGCGGGTCTGCGGGCAACCCCGGCGACGCGGGCGACGGCGCGGGCGCGGCGGCGGGCGCGGCAGGCGGCGCGGCGCGCGATGACGACTGGTCGCGCCGCCGCGCCGTGCTAGAGAACACGCCGCCCACCACGCCCGATAGCAGTCTCGATATGTCCCCTCATAGGTATAGCATCATATGGGAATTATTAATAAGCAATCCCTATTGATTTTAAATAGTTTCAAATGTAAGGTAAAAATATACCAATTTCATGATGAACGGTTTCGAAGTTAGAACGATGTAGTGCCATGATATGGTAGATGGTCACAGTTATATCCATCAACCCTAAAGCCGAATCAGGGAATGAATCATTTTCTTATATTGAAATAAGCATAAAATTATATAATTATAGACATCAAATACTTTTTCACTTTCTCTAGGTTTCTCCTCGTTATGTTAGTCCTGAGCTTGTTTTTATTAAAAATGTATAATATTTCTAGGGAAAGGCGAATATCAGAAAGAGACAGTCCTTCCGACAGAAAGGAAGATGAAGAAGACAATCCAGTTCAAGATTCCTGTGCTATGGATATTGATAAACCTCATGGTAATTATGAAATTAAATTTATAAATGATATAATAACGGAAAATATTGCCTAACTGACTTTGGATACGGCAGATAATCTCACTGAAACTAACCAACTGCGCAGAACATATAGTGCAGCGTAATAAAGTCACGGGAGTGTACATATCGCCCATTTTTCAACTTCAGGTTGTTACTGATTACACAGGTCAACGCCGTTTTTGGTGCCAAGAAGCTGTAATTTTTTTTTATACTTATGACATTATAGTGGTCACATTAACAGCAAAAATATTGATTTACTACATGTAGTTTTCTAAATTTTTCCTTATACAGAAAAAAAACAAATTTACACAAAAACAGCATTTATTACAAAATTATGTACTTAAAAACCTTTCTTTTTCACGACATTCATGAATGGGGTGTGGTGGGACAATCATGTTGCATCCGCAGCAGTAGTCGGCCATCGTACTCCGATGCCACCAGTCTTGGTACCTCTTTTCCATAGTTTTAGGTCCTGGTGATACAGCGATTTTTAAAGCATAAATATGAGGAATTAAGATAAAAATAAAAACTTAGAATTATTAAATAAATTATTATACCTACATTTTAAGACATTGAATTAAAATTACAAGAATTAGACACATCAATTATATATAAAAAAAATGATAAATATCTGATATACATCTAACATAAATATCGGATATTTTCGAACACTCATTATGATTGCAGGCAGTGCGCGGTCCCGCAAGGCGTCGGAGTCGTCGGGCGCGGGGCGCACGCGCACGCGCCGCGCGCGCCGCGACACGGACGAGCCGCACGCGCCGCACCACGCGCTCAAGTACAACTTTTATGTTGATCTTGGTACGGGGGCATATGTTTTACTATGTTATATATTAATCATGTATGTATGTATTCAGCCCTTTTTAACATCGCACTTCTGGGCACGGACCTCCCTTCAATACAAAGGGGATCAGGCCACAGTCCACCACGCTGGCCAAGTGCGGGTTGGCGTACTGCACATGTCTTTCGTAAACTTGTAAGGTTCTCTCAGACATGCAGGTTTCCTCACGATATATGTAGATATAGACTTCATTTAGAGACAGCCAAATTCCAATAAACATATTAGGTTGTATTACAAGAATTAGCTGACTGTCTATGTGTATTTATTGTATAAGATCATTTTAAAACGTAAGAATTAATATTCTGGTATGATGATACTTCCTATGCGAAATGGCTTGGTAAAAACCAATAATTTATATAACTATTAAACCATCGCATGACTCATTGGGCTTGTTTTAATTAAAAAATTATAATCCCAAATTTAATATTAAAATGGTATATATTGAAAACTTTTATTAATTGCTTAAAAAACTCAGATCCATCGTGGGATTGTCAAACTCGTATAAACGTGCTGACGTCGCGGCTGGCCGACCTGCGCAAGGCGTACCACTCGGTAAAGGCCGAGCTCGCCACCATCGACCGCCGCCGCAAGAAGCTACGACGAAAGGAACGAGAAGGTAGGCATACATCAAAGAAAAACTACTAATTAACTATTTTGGGCTTAAAAATTTTCTTTATAACTTATGACATAAAAAAGAACTGACGGAAAAGTTACATACTTAATAATATCAACTTTATAGACAAGTTTGGTTAATAATGTTATTTACAATCATTTTTCTCTAATTTGTTACAGCTATAAAAGCAGCAAAAGCTGCATGTTCATGATGAAGGTTGTTGTAAGACTGCCGGATGCAGTTTGATCTCTGGTTAGATCCCAAGCAGATGGACAGAGTTTATTCGTTGTAGAATAGGCACTGAACCTTTAGTGATGTTTTAATTGTGTGTACGTATGTTGAATGACTTTTTATAAGCAATATATGAGTGGAAAACTGTTTAGAATTTCTTGTACTATGTATATGCAAATATTTTTGTTTTTCTTCTGGCCGCCACATAAATGTTATTTTTTAATGGTTATACTTATATAAATAATAAGTTTCTATTATTTTGTAACAAAACTACAAAGTTTTGGAGTATTACGCTTTTGTAAATTATAAAATAAAAATGTTTAGATTTCTAAGAAAAGCATAGAAATAATAATGTTATTTTTTAATCACAGTGGTGGACAGAAGATAAAAAAAGTAAAAATAAATAAGAAGTTTCTATATTATGTTTTCAATATTAAATTGTATAATAATTTTCAAATTTAATTCTTAACTGTACTCTATTTACCTGGCTGTAAAATAATTTTATGTACTTTGCCTATTTGTAGCACTGCTAGTTCAGACTATGTTATATGCATAATAAGAATATTTTAAATTGAATACAAATGTATAAAAGTGTATGACTTTTTGTCCTAATATATGTAGAATTTGTTACATTAGAATATTTAAAAGTGCACTTTTATTTTTATTTCCAAATAATTATATTTTAAAATTAGTAATTTAACTACAATTTATGGATATATTTTCTTGTTGTGGAGTTTATATATTAAAAGTAAATAATATTGTAAACATTTATATTGAATACAATATTGAAAAGTAAATGTAATTATTTATATCGCGCGAAAGGTGTTAAATAAAATACATTTTTATGAATGTTATGTTTTATTTATATTCTATAAACACGTGGCATAACTTAAAATATAAGTTCGTGTAGTCGACAAATCGAAAAGGACATTACTAATTTTATTTAAAAACACTTACATAATGTATAGTATTATTACATTTCAAGAAATAAACAAACCTTTAAAACTATCTTTCATATAATTATTATAATAATTATAAACACAGATCAGTTAAAATGTGTAAATCACCAATGAAACTTGAAACGATACACATCTAACTTGCTGTATTTTTATTTTTTAGTATATTGATACATGCTAAAATATTTGCACTACCAGGCACATAATTAGAGAACACAGAGTTTTAATTAAAGCTAAAGATGAGCTCTGCTAAAAACCATGTGTCCAGTGTAGGATGTTATCAAATATTAAAATGTCCAATGTTTAGCCGCGCGGCGCCTATGTAGGTAGTTTATGGCGCGTGGAAGGCGCTAGTAGTAGTTAGGGTACTGCGGCCAGGGGTGCGGGTGGTGCTGGTAGGGCGGTTGCTGGTAGCCCCACGGCGGCGTGTAGGGTTGCGCGTACTGGTCGTAAGACTGCGCGGTGGCGGCAGGCGTTTGGTAGTACGTGGTCGCGCTCGCTGTGGTGGTGCTTGTTGCTGTACTGGTTTCTTTCTTTTTGGTTGCTTCCGTCGTCGCTCTAAAAATATTTTATGTATTATAAATAAAAACTTTAACATATTCCAATCATGGTTGTAATTAAAACACTGCCGTACATTATTGGTGAAAACTGTTATTTCTATAAACGACACGTCTGGCTCAGTTTGTAGTGACCCTACTTGCTGTGCCAGCGGTCGCGGGTTCGTAACCCGCCGTGGGCATTCATTTGTGTGATGAGCACGAATGTTTGTACTCCAGTCATGGGTATCATCTATACATGTAATAAAAGTGTAACTGATCGCTGTCTGTACATGGAAGATATTTGATAAAAACTATCATTGGGTGTCTTTATTTACGCAAAAGAACCCAAAACAATGATTTTTAGAACTTTTGTCTGTTCGTCTGTGCGTTTGTGCGCGCTAATCTCAGAAACGGCTTGACCGATTTGGATGCGGTTCTCCCTAATATATTGTGGTAAGCTTCACTTAACATTTAGTATTTGTTTTAATTCAATCGGTTCACAAAAAAGTTACGTTAATTTAAAGAATCACCTAGGGACGAACCCGAGCATAGCGACGGTGAGTCGCTAGTACTTATAATATGTATGTATTTAAAGTTATATATGTGTAGTGTATCAACAACCTGGTATCCATAACACGAGCCTCGTAGCTTACCGTGGAACTAGATGGTATTAAAATACAGTAATGTCCCAACATATTTATTTTGGAACTTGCAGGATTTTTTCTCTACAATTAATACGTAGTTGTCTATTTAACACAAACAGCTATTTAATATTTACAGGTAAGAAATAATCCATTTAAATTTCCAGTTTAGGTAGGTTGCTAGTATTGGTAGGTGAGACTAAAAGAATTTCTACTAGAAAATTATACGCATCCTTGTTAATCAGTTGAACACAGATTACTTCGCTTGTGTTGTGCAGTTTAAATTAATGAAATAATCTCTATTATGACATTAGGAAGATTAATAGGTAAAATAAGATCAAATATTTAGATTACTAGACTTAAATTAGAAATTCGCCGCATGTTTGGCGGAATATTCGTATTGGATTAAACCTAGATTCGGCGCATCTCTAGTTTAAATTATCTAACACTTATATAGTGATGATGTGATGTTCTCCTAGCCTATTCCGGCCACGGCGGCCAATCTCAATGAGATTAGCCTACTGCGCAGGAGATATTATAGTGCTCAAGTGTACGCGCAGACACAAGTGCACTCTCTATTCCTATCACTCTCATACTCCGGTGGGACGACCACTCGACACGACCGGTGAGAGTTAAGGCGCAGGACCGACGGCTTTACGTGCTCTCCGAGGCACGGGGGTGAAACACCGCCAACTTCCCAACTCCGGGCTGTTACTGAGACTTACTATACACGAAGACTCAATAACTAAACTTGGCCCGACCCGGGACTCGAACCCAGGACCTCCGGGTGTGCAGCCGTACATGATAGCCACTACACCACCGAGGCAGTATATAGTAATACTTATAGTGATAGCGATGTAAGTAGAGGTGTGCGAATATCGTTCGAATCGAATATTAATATTCTATTAGGAACGAATAGTTCGTGAGTTCGAATTATTCGCACACCCCTAGATGTAAGCCCAAGTGACTTACGCGTGGTGCGCCGGCGCGTCGTGCTTGTTGGCGCGCGCGCGCTTGCGCAGGTTCTTGTGCGCCGCGCGCGAGTGCAGCGCGGCCGCGCGCGCCGCCTCCGCGCCGCCCAGCTCCTCCGCCAGCTCGCGCCGCCGCGCCGCCAGCGCCGCGCACGTCTCCGCCTCCGCACCCTCTTGCTTCTCGTAGCTCATCACTAGCTCTGTTATTATAAATACATTTTTTTAATTATTTGTCATGACGTTCGTTTTGTTAGTTTTCCATCGCGTTCCTAATATAACAACACAATGTGAACGACTTGAACAAAAAGTGGCTTAAAAACATACATCTCAATTTTAAAAATACAACACATGCAAGAATTTATTTTAACAGTAAAACATGGGACATGTATTTAATTCATCAATTTTGAGTCACATTCCTCCAATAGTCTCTGGATAAAATGGCTATGATATGTACACGACGAAATTATAAGGACGTCAGTTTTATCTTTAACTACCCTGAAATCATTAAATCACTAGAACCTTACCTGAAATCATGAAATACTTTAAAAAAATTACCTTCAAGCTCTTCGTAAGGCGTGCCGGGCGTATGCAGGGCTAAATCTAAACGCTGCATATGCAAACGCGCGTTGAGTGGATCCTTCTCCAGCGCCGCGTCGAGGGCGCGCCGCGCCGCCGCCGGCTCGCGGCGCACGTGAAACAGGAACCGCGCGTACTTGATGGCGAGAGCAGACGCGATGGCTTTGTTCTTGGCCGATGATATATACCCCTCGTACAGCTGGATGCACTTGTCGTAGTCGCCGCGTCGACGCTCTAGGTTTATCCGCCTGTGTGAATAACATTACATAATTGTTAAGAACTTTTATAAGATATTAGTTATCCTCTTGTATATACTAATTAGAATCGTGACGAAGCAAGTTTCGATGTTTAGAAATACTCAACAAACAGTACACGCTGATTTAATGAAATTTATTATTCCTAAGATGAAAAATACTTAAGCCAATAAAATTGAATTATTACAATCGTTTTCCAGAAAGGTTCAACGTATGTGACATCTTATACACTATTGCAATTCCAACATACATATATACACACAATCTCCATTCCTCATAAGTCTTTAAATAGAATAAACATCACCTATACTGTATCTGCACAAGATTTGGGCAGGTCTTCTCAATGCGATCGAGTATGTCGGCGGCGCGCGCGGGATTGCCGTGCGCCTCCTCGAAGTGCGCCCAGTGCAGGTGCAGGTCGGGCTTGTCGTGGTGGTGCACGCCGCACGCGCGCTCCAGCACCTCACGCTCCACGCCCACCAGCGACGGGTTGCTCGGGATGCGCTCTTCAAGAAACTTGATAAGCTGTGCGATAGTGTGTTGTTATTATTATATACTAGCGACTCACCCTCGCTTCGCTCAAGTTCGCCTTTGGAAAAACAAATCTATCCCTCGTGAACCGTATATTTTTCCGGCATAAAAAGTAGCCTATGTGTTATTCCAGACTGTAATCTATCTCTGTGCCAAATTTCATCCAGATCACATAAGCAATTCTGGTGTGAAAGAGTAACAAACATTCATACATACTAATAAACATTCACATTTATAATATTTATACAGACTAGTTTTTGCCCGCGGCTTCGCTCGCGTGGTAATGCGAGGCTCAAAGGTCTGCTTCAAAGCTTCATCATGCCAGTGCCCTGGATGCAATTTATATTCGTGCCAAGTTTTATCGAAATCTGTTCAGCGATTTAATCGTGAAAGGTAACGACAGAGTTACTTTCGCAATTATAATATTAGTATGAATATAAAACGAAGAGTGACATTTTAAGAAGGTGATGTTATTCAATCATTCTGAACATGCGATTTAGTTAAATTTACGTCTCGTGTAAATATGTTTAATTTTTCAGGCTTTTTACACACACACAGGCACACAGGCTTTTATGAGACTACTTATTATACTCAACCTGCACTGGCTAATAAAAACACTTATATATGCATATCAGTGTACAATAAATTAAGAAAGTACACTATTAGACCAGGGTAGAAGCCTTTAAAAATAATAAAAAGTGAAAAAAAATAATAGTAGGATGCAACCCATTAGAAAAGGAGGGGAATATTATAAAAATGAAAGGAAAAATAATTTACGGGCGATCTGAGGTCGGGAAGGGGGTGGGGGGGAGCTTTTAAGGGTAAAAAACGGTTTTTCTCGATTTCCGGCAAAACTAAGTTCTATCGAAAAAAATCAAATGGCAAAGTTGTAGGTAATAAAAAGATCTAAAACTTTTGTATTTACACTTTTTTCACATAACCTCAAAATTTATGTGAAAAATTCAAAAAACCAAGTTTTTGGTTTTTTATTTTTATCTTTTACAAAAATGTTTTTGTTTTAACGAAATTTGGTGAAAACTTACCTTTTTATGTCCCAAATACGCTGTAATTTATTTGATTAAAAATATTTATTTTTTCACCTTATTTTGAATTAATATCGAAAAAGCACCCTAATTTTCAATCGAAAATTCACCCGTCAAAATATCAGCTTTTTTCAAAAAGTTGGTATGTTTTCTGTTCGTTGAAATCTCTACTTTCCGATGGTGAAAAAAAATATATGTTACTATAGTAAATCTTCTGAGAAAATGCAAAAAACAAAAAACCTTTTTTATTTCATACACTTGCTTATCATCTGCCTTATTGCAGATCATACAAACAGATTCATCCATACTGATAATCTGAAAAGACAAAATCGAATTAATAATTCCTTCACTATTCTATCGTGAGTATACCCCCATGAAAAAAATATATTAAAGAAATAAATGTCAAAATGTATAAAAAAAAATATTATAAATATATTAAAAATCTATACTATACATATTTTTTATGTATAAATATATAAAAAATATGTATAGTATAGATTTTTAATATATTTATAATATATTTTTTATATACATAAAAAATATGTATAGTATAGATTTTTAATATATTTATAATATATTTTTTTCATGGGGGTATACTCACGATAAAATAGTGAAGGAATTATTAATTCGATTTTGTCTTTTCAGATTATCAGTATGGATGAATCTGTTTGTATCATCTGCAATAAGGCAGATGATAAGCAAGTGTATGAAATAAAAAAGCTTTTTTGTTTTTTGTATTTTCTCAGAAGATTTACTATAGTAACGTATTTTTTTTTCACCATCGGAAAGTAGACATTTCAACGAACAGAAAACATACCAACTTTTTAAAAAAAGCTGATATTTTGACGGGTGAATTTTCGATTGAAAATTAGGGTGTTTTTTCGATATTAATTCAAAATAAGGTGAAAAAATAAATATTTTTAATCAAATAAATTACAGCGTATTTGGGACATAAAAAGGTAAGTTTTCACCAAATTTCGTTAAAACAAAAACATTTTTGTAAAAGATACAAATAAAAAACCAAAAACTTGGTTTTTTGAATTTTTCACATAAATTTTGAGGTTATGTGAAAAAAGTGTAAACACAAAAGTTTTAGATCTTTTTATTACCTACAACTTTGCCATTTGATTTTTTTCGATAGGACTTTTAGTTTTGCCAGAAATCGAGAAAAACCGTTTTTTACCCTTAAAAGCTCCCCCCCACCCCCTTCCCGACCTCAGATCGCCCGTAAATTATTTTTCCTTTCATTTTTATAATATTCCCCTCCTTTTCTAATGGGGGTTGCATCCTACTATTATTTTTTTTGGTTTCAAAAATTATCGACTCTGGTCTATATTATTATTTTATTATTTTTATTTTTTTCAGTTTTTTTAATATTCTATACTTATTAATATTATACAACTGAAAAAAAAATAATTTTGCTTATACAAAAGCAATAATATCAGTTAAATTTAAAAAAATATTGCGATTTTATAGCCCATTTAATGAGGACAGATAAGATTATCAACATCACGACCGCGCAATGGAGCAATTTTACATGAAACTGAAGCGTGAGTGAAAGTTTAAATAAAACTAACTATCTTTTCGGATTATTTCGCTGATTTATTTCGATTTTTGGTTCCCGACGTTTCAAATGCCTTACAGCAAATCATAATCACGGGAGAGACCTCTCTTCCTCTCTCTCCTCTCTCTGAGATAGTTTTATTTAAAATGTCAAATATTCGCGTAAATCTAAGAAAGTATTATGGGTGAGTGAAAGTTGAATACGAATTCAATATCCGAGGAAAGTTAATATGGGTAAAAAAAGGATCTTGATACATCGACAGACAGTCATATGGACAAGTGATTCTTCCTTTAAGTGTTCTTTTGAGGTACCTAAAAAGGCCATAGAAATAAACAACAATTACCCGCATCCAGAACTCCTCGTAGAGCGCGCAAGCGATGAGGCAGCGCTCGTGCAGCACCAGCGCGCGCTTCAGCGAGCCGTGCTGCTTCTCCCACTCCAGGTACGCCTTCCAGTTCTTCAGCTGGCACCGCTCTAGCGGCTTCACGTGGAAGTACGGACGTTTGATCTGCACACAGGTTGTATTATGTATTTATTTGTTATGTTACTCTTGACAATAAATGTTACAATTTGTGTGTTTTGTAACATACCATCAATTTTATTGTTTATTTATTTCTAATTTGAGCCAATTCATGACGAACGGAATATATGTTGTTCGAAATACGAAAACTTTGGCAATCTTTAAAAAAAACATTCTATATCATTGGAGGATTTCTTTAAAAAAATGATGGGATTATGTCACACGAGCTATAAATTAGTATACGATACTTCATACTCGTGACTTTGATATGGAAATTTTTTAATGCAATCGCTTATCATGTCACGCGTATTATAATGTTATATACTATTCAGGAATTTTCGAATCGTTAATTTGAAAATCGTGAAAATTTGATTTGATTGAAAATCCATTATGAAATACTGCAAGCTTGAAATGTATAAACGAATCATAAATCATATTCATTGATTCTAAATTATTTAATGTAATTAAAGCTAACATACCCCTTCTTCGAAGGCCCAGCGCGCGGCGACCTCCTCACCGGTCGCTTTATGTATTTTTCTGCGTGCAGCAATAATTCGCTCCTTTATAGCTTGTGCCTCTTCATCTGAAGCCTTAGGTAAAAATAAAGATGATTGCTGTTAATATGTATTAATTATATTTATATTACAAAAAATAACTTAAGTGGGAAAAGGATTTTTTTGCTAGAGTTGTACTGACACTAGAATTGAAAATAGTAGTTGTAGAAAATTATGTGCAAACCATTCCAGGTAAAGAAATAACAATTTTTGTTTTTTATTGAAAAACCATTATTCAAAGAATATAATTTTATAATTTCAATAAATATATTTCGTTATTTTCATCATCACTATACTCGGCGCGGCGAACCTTGATCCCTATGACACCGACAGCTAATGTCACCATATAACATTGTAGTGGCGTCACCATTAAATTGGGATCATATTGGGGGCGTCTAAAAATGCCATTTATAAATTTTACGTAGCTTTGTACCATTAGTAATGATATTCCGTTGACATTTTTAACAATTCTTAACATTTACAAGAAGTTATCTCAATCTGAATTTATGTTTACGTCCTGCTAAACTTACGTCGTGTGACGTTTATCGACTAGGGCGGCAAGTATCGATAAAAAAATGTCGGTAATGGAAACGAATGCACTTTTATTTTTCATACTCACATTTTAGTTCATATATTATGGAATGGAACAGAATATTACGATCATACCATTCATACACACATGATTATATTATACCCAAGAAAATTAAAAAATAACAGCTATAGGACAAAATGAAATGAAACAAAATCTGTTTAATAATTATTTATTCACATACACAGGGTCAAGGGTGTAACAAAAGTAAGTGATAATACTTTAGGGTTAACAACCTATGCGTTAAACAAAAAAAAGTTTCAAATAAAAAAGATGGCAAATATTATAATCTACAATAATGATCTGAACAATTTTTGTTGTACGATGCGCGGTTCGCGAGATATTCGATAAACCGCGTTTTCCAAGATGGCGGCTGACGCAGGCCCGGCACCGCCGCGCCAACTTGGATTTACATTCAGGGGACACCCCTGAACATATTCCAAAAAAAATATACCAGGTCTAATACATTGCAAAAAAAACTCCCCGGCGCTTGGGCTAATACAACAACAACATAATGGACATTAAAAATGCACATTATAATATTTTTTAAAACATGTTTACCAACGTGGCTGAATGCAAGCCACGCCTTTGTCTAAAAAAAAATTATCGACACGACCCATCACTAACACGAACTGTCATAGGGATCAAGGTTCGCCGCGCCGAGTATAGTACTGATTTGCTGCTAGTACAATCATATATAGTATAGTATAAGTATTATATCAAGTACAACAGTGTAAGCAGAACCGGAACACATTTGTGTAATGCGCATTTAGTACACAGAACCAGTAGAAATATGTGACGTATTTTAACGTTAAGTAGAATAGAGAGCGAAAATTAAAAGGAAAATGAAGTAGACTGGTTGACTCCACTAGCAGGTTTCGACACTATTGACAATAGCCAGCGAGCGAGCGAGGGAGGAAGATAGTTAGAATGAGTGAGAGAGATAAAGTGAGAGATAGAGTGCGAGATAAGAATGAGTGAGAGAGACTCACGACGTGGTCGAGCGGCTCGTCCTCGCCGGGCGGCAGGTCGGGCGGCGGCTGCGCGGGCGCGGCGGCGCGCACCTCGCCGCGCAGGCGCACCAGCTCCGCGCGCGACACCACGCCCGCCACCGGCTCCGACATCACGTGCTCCTGGAAGCTATGCACACACACACACCACATATATAAAACCACGAACTTATATGTTAATGTAATAGTAATGTTTTAATAATTTAGTATTATGTTTACATATAACATAGACTTACAAAAATACTAACCTCTATAAAATTTAATTTCGTGAAACAATTGTAGGTACATATTTGGAAATATTAAAATTAATTTCTATTTTCAACTGCCTTTTTCATTATATCTGCTAACCGAAATATAACAAATCGGGTAGCTAATAATTAAAATATAAAAATATTTATTCTTACTTGTCAAAGTGCGAGGTGTACCCGAGCGTGGGCGTGGCGAGCAGGCGGTCGTAAATGTTGGTGACCTGCAAGCCTGAACCATTCTCTGCTTCCCACTTTATGTAGGATTCCCAAAGACGGTCTGAACGGAACTCCAGACCGCAAGCATCTACAAATAGATTAAAAAATGTATCCATCAAGACAATTAACATTTGTTTATTAAAACATTAAATAAACGTTGAAAGTTATTGTTCTAATTTTTATTTTAAATTTATATGGGACCATTCTCAAAGTCCTATTTATTGTCGATATCGAATATATGGATAAATCGACCAACAAAGAACATCTTTATACATATAATAGCGGCTCACCCTCGCTTCAGTCTGGTTCGTCGCTAAGTACGTTTTAAATAGATATGTTATTAGCCAGCGTTAGCAATATAATTTTTTTTTCGTTAATTTTTCATTTTTTCTCTTTATTAAAACCTTCTGTGGACTTTAAGGAACATACGAAAATTTTTTTTGCCGAATTGGTCTAGCCATTCTTGAGTTATGCGCTTACCAACATTCATTTTTATTTATATAGATATGATTATGTGTATACGAGTAAGTTGTATAGAATTGATAATATATAAAAGATGTAACAGTGACGGTTTTTACATAATATATTAAAATAAATCAAATCAAATACGGTTCAAAATAGAATACACTCACCAATAGCCCTCTCGTATTGAGCCCTGATGAAGGCATGATCATCCGTTTTAGTGGACTTTATATGATTGAGATAATGAATCCAAAGGTCCACCGATAGTGGTATAGCTTTAAGTCCCCTTTCCAACACCTGCAACACATGGAGGGTGAGTGGAGGCGGCGGTGAGCGCACATGGCGCCAAAAGCAAGGGAATAATTGAATAGCATTGTATCATTGAATAATAACAAGAAACGCGCCAGCGCTACACCTGTTATGATCCGCGCCGCCCGCCGCCGCCGCCGCCACCTACATACACTTGCACTGCTACCTTAAATACATTATGTATGCAACAACCAACGCACTTAAATATCAAATGTAATATCACAACATATACAGATACAAATACATCATGCGTACATATAGTCTAGTATAATATATTATAGTATGCTATATATTATGCGGGTACAGCGTGCGGCTCGACGACACTAGAATGAATGTACGGCGTAACGTTAGTCCGCCCGTACCGACGGCTTTGCTTACGAACGCGGGCCTCGAAGCGCTGTTGGGGAAAAAAAACAGTTGCACAATACCAGTTAGGACTAAAACAATTCAAAATCCAAGTGTAGTAATGTCACATTGATAATGAATCTATCAATTATATTCCTCATTTCACTCACCGTGTCACTTAAATATATCGACAGGACACACGGCGAGGGGTACTCACCTCGAGACACTTCTTTTTACTTCCTTTACGCTTTTCGTAGTCGGCGTACTTGCGCCAGTAGCCGTAGCAGTACGGGTAGTGCGAGAGGAAGGCGTCGTACGCCTCGCGCGCTGCCTCCACGTCGCTCTGCGGTGCAATAACTTGTTATAACCAATTCTAACATTTATATTTTTAATATACACTCGTTGTGATGTATCAGTTGGCCCTTGCCAATCTACATTTAATTCAGTTCCCATTGCTTCACAAAGCAATAAGATTAGCGATTAATTTCATCATGTACGTAATATGTATTGCATGTAATATTATTGTACAAAAATACATAGTATTGTACAAAAATATTTGACAGTATCAATTAATTATACTCGAGATTATGGTGAGATATAAGGACAGTCACAGAACTAACTAGTGTTCAAATAAAGTCACTAATTGGTCACTGAACGTTTTTCAATTAAATACATTCATTTGTCATGACAAAACTATAAATACTATTTATAAATAATGTATCCATAAACATTAAAATAGTTAGTTATTATTGTTAGTTGGAAAATAACTACTAGGGAAATCTAATCACTGACAGAACAATACAATTTATGTATTAAGGATCCCCAACAGATGTACATATAAAAATACAAAAAAGAAAAATAGAAATGTTTTGGACAGTGTATAAAATGTACCATCAATTACTGGAGAACACAATATGCACTGGGAGTGTTGATATTATGCATTGCTTAAAATTTATTGGTGAAACTAAATTTACCTAAAGTGATTAACGAAATAAATTAATTATATTAAGTGTGCTTACCTCTTGATCGACATACTGCAATAGATAAGTCCATCCGGTGAAGTCAGTGGGATCATCGTTGACTACTTTCCAATACTTGTCTAGCTCAGGCAGAGTTTTCTTTTTAGGTTTCTCATCAACGGATGATCTTTTTTCCGAAGGCACTGGTTTGCTCTCGCCATTCTACAAGATACATTATAATCTTATCATTTGTACAGTAGCAATAAATGCTTAAGATTATAGTTTTTTTAGAAATGTGTCCATATTTGTCACTATGTCATACTGTCTCTCAATGGATTTTAGAACAATTTGGAATGGAGAGATTTTTTATTGTTTTATTTTTGATTTATTTTCATTCTAACAAATCTATTCTAAATTGCATTCAGGTCTGTTCAGCCGTTCTGGTGTCCAAGAGTAAGAAATAAACATCCATCCATCCAACTTTCACATTTATAATAATTTAAGTATGGAGCAGTAGGATACGTACATTTTGGCAGTTAGATGGGAACTCCATATGGTCTATATGGCTATGATCAAATAGAGATTATATGTAAGATATATATATATATATATATATATATATATATATATATATATATATATATATATGTATTGATTATATAGATAGCTAATATTTTGGAGATGACAATAGGTTCCTTGTTCTTCCAGAAAAAAGTTTGTTAGTATATAAATATGCAAAAAAAAAAGAACTTTAATTGGAATTTATAATCACTATCATCCTTTAAAATTAGTCTAGGTACTATTTTTGGTATTTGAGAATGAGATGTTATTTTTTATATAAATTTAAGTGATGAAATTTTCAATATAAATTTTAAATTACCTTGGTTAAAGCCTGTTTTTTTCCAGCAGATTCACCCTCTGATGTTGGTGAACCAGGATCATAACCATCTCTCTCTTCACCATTTTTTCTTTTGCGAGAATCCTTAGTGTCTTTCTTAGATGCTGGGAGTTCATCTTCTGACACCACCTTTATTTTAAATATACTTTAGGTTTTATTATTATAACATTCATATTTTTAACTTGCTTAAAGCTTCAAACATCTGTTCTTCTTAGGAGATGGCTTTAAATGATTCGGAAGCCGTCACAAGACCCTAACAAATCTAAATGTCTTTGGGCCGTAATAAATAAGGTACCTCATCCTCCCCTGAGGGGATAGTGTGTTTATGTATTGTGTCAGTGTGTAATTCTAAAAACAATATCCCCTAAAGTATTATTTTTTTAACTTCTCTGCACCGTGGCAATATGTTAGACACAACAATAAGCCACTGCTTTGTCTGATACTTGTATCTGTTTACGCTTTATAGCTTGGTGAAACACTTTTAAGTGTCTCATTCTATACTGTTGAATCTATCTTGTAGGGTTGGAACACTATGTCTCTCCCTAAAGTAATGAATCAAATCAGTTTGTCTTTCAGTTGTCTATATCTATTGGGAATGGATAGATAATAATAAACAAGTAAGATTTACAATGTTCATAAACATATTTGTAATTAATTAAAAACAACATGTACAGACAGACATCTTGTGTTGGTGATAACTGCTACTAACTTTAAAATAAATATATTTTCTTACTAACTTTGGTCTAAATAAATTATAATATCCAAACCTCCGTATCAGCGGGCAATTCTGCAGGTTTAGGACCAGGTAGTTCATCATCAGAAACATTTTCTGCATCTTTTACACTTGGCTTTTGAACTGTGGGTAATTCATCTTCTGACACAACTTCTGTTTCTTCAGCACCTCCCACCTAAAATATATAGTCCAATATTTATAACAAGAATGGTGAATACTAAATATTTTATTAAAGACTATTAAGATAAGTTATACATGATGATTTTGTTATGCATATTTGTACCTGAACAATTCCCTTATCAGCTTTTTCAGCAACTTTTTCTGTGTCAGATACTTCTTGTTCTTCATTCGTAGACTTATTCTCCTGGGCATCACATTTCTCATCTGTTTCTTTTGTTTCATCTGTATTAATATTATTTACTTCTTCTTCGGGTATGTTGTTTTTACAATCTTCACTATTTTGTAATTCTTTGTTTTCTGAAGGCTAAAATCAGAATGGTATTAAGAAAATATATAAAATAGTAAATAATTAAAAAAAGAGTACAAAACTTACCTATAACTATGCAAAATAAAGGGTTAAGCATACCTTTAATAACTTCCTCTTCAAGTAATACCCTTTATGTTAAAGGCATGTTTCCTTGGATAAAAGTCATGTGGCCATAATTTCTATACATGGAGGAATATTAAATGTATTTTTAGACATTTAATATTCGATTTATCTATATTACAATTTAGTTTTTATATACCAAATAAAAATTAACTAAATTAACTAAAGCAAAAAACATATAAAGTATTGCATACCTGATCATTTTCTATTTTATCATTGTTTTTATTAGTAATTTCATCATTTTTAGCTTCACAACTAATTTCTTCAGAACTCTCCATTATATTATCTTTTTGTACTTCATTATCAAATGAAGCAGAAACCTCTGCACTTGCAATCTCAATAGCATCAGGTTCACTAGATGGCTCTGTTTCAGTTTTTTGAGTTTCTGTGAGTTCTAAATCTATATTAGACGTGGTTTTAAAAGTAGCACTCAGCCGCGAGTCGCCGTCTGATAGCATATTATTCATTGAATCGCTGGGGAAGTTGACCGCATTGTCACCAACATCAAAAGAATCAGTGTTAAAATCTTCAGTGTTATTATCTAAATAATCGCCTACACTCCCTGCAGACAGTTCTACTGCGTTAAGGAATGCCTGGTTCGACGTAGACGACTCGTCAACACCTACAGCGTCAACACTATTGAATCCACCATCCGTCAATAAATGTGACAAATCGTTTGAATTTTCATTGATTAATGGACCTTCATCGGTATCCATAGCTTCTTCTGATAAACACTTCTGTAATAAAAATACACAATATTTATAGCATTCATAGGTACCGAATATACAACTGAAATTCTATAACCTCTTATACGTACCTGTAAATAGGAACTAGCTTCTTCATCCATACTTTTTATTTCTTAACGTTTATTAAACTTAGATTATTTTAACACTTACAACGAAGATTTCAAAATGTTAATCGTTTGGGTAAATCTAGTCGAAACAATTATTTACATTCACCGCAATCTAATAACCTTATTTATAGTGTTCATATTTCACAAATCCGCTAGGAACGTAATAATTTTTCATATAATGGAGAATACAGATAAAAAATAAATTAGAAAACAGAAATGAAATATCACACACAGACTATAAAGTGATTTGATACCATAGTAGTCAATACGGTAGAGTATTCAGAATTTCATTTGTATAAAAAACTAAATAGTAAATAGATATTTGTTCTATACACGCTATACAGGCTAACTACAAATCATTTCTGACTAATTAATAATCTTTTATACTTATAATAAATCTGTAGAGAGGTCAATTCTGTACATGAAATATATTTCCAAATTAACTATCAGGAGGTGATTAGGAATCGATACTGATGCCAAAAATGCAATCAGTAAAATTTTTGTCTGTCTGTCTGTCTGTCTATATAACCGATATATAAACAAACACTACTCGACGGATTTTAACGAAACTTGGTACAATTATTTTTCATACTCCTGAGCTGGTTAAAGTATACTTTTCATCACGCTAGAATCAATAGGAGCAGAGCAGTGAAGGGAAATGTTGGGAAAACGGGAGAAGTTACTCCATTTTTTAAGCTTCCGTCGCGTGTGCAACCTTAATGGTTAAAGCTACACAGAAATCATGTATGACGGAAATGTTCTCCTTAAAATTATATAAAAAATATCCCACGACAGCATATGTCTATCTTTTATGGTTGACTCACAATAACACGTGTAACTCCCGATAGCTTAGCAGTTCGAAGCTTTCTGATTTATATTTGTCTACTCTTACGTTTATAACACTCTCAGTCATCCCTAATTAAAAAAGTTAACATTATAAACTATTCCATAAAAAAGAATCAAAGAAATCGGTATAGAAACACCAAAGTTTTACATGAAATACGCTAATAATAAGCCATCGCGAGTCAGGGGGATGTAAGAAGACAAATAGAACAAATCCAGATTTTTTTCAATTTTTTTGTTTCTCTGTCTGTTTGTCTATTTGTACGGGCTAATCTCCGAATTAAATGAAATTTGCATGGTGGTACCTTATATCCCCGGACAACGTCTTAGATATTTTTTATCCCGGAAAATTAAATGGTTCCCGTGGGATAGGTAAAAAACTATTATAACTTATACAACTTATGCACCTAATTTAGTAAAATTTAACATTCTGATACCTTATGTTGCCGATCAAACAACATGTTACTTTTCATCCGGGAAAAATGAATGGTTCCCGTAAGAACTAATAGATTTCTATTAGTGTTTTTCTAGAGGCGAACCCAAGCGAAGCGAGGGTGAGCCGCTAGTGTTCAATAAAGTTGAAGGTACGCCTTAGACATTCGCTTAGATAATCTTACATGACATAGTGAAGTGAGATAATCTTACAAGAATGAATACAGTGTGACATTACGATACCTCGGTATTAAAAAAAAATCTATAGGTTCGAAAGACTAAAAACATCGATAGTATCGATAGTACAATTGTGAATCGATGTTTACCCGATAACGTACATTAATTGATAATTCTGATTTCTGATATTTCATTTTCTGATTTCACATTTTTGTCTATGAAAGTATAACCTATAATTTGTGCTTAGAATAAAAATTATATTGTTAAATATTAAATTACCAAAATGTTTGGTGTGTGCTCATCACTGACAAAAATTATTGCCAAAGGTCCTCAGTTACTTCATCAGCAAACCAGGGTATACCAAAATGACTTAGTATAATTGTCATTATTTACTTATTTTAGCTTTATGTAGTTAGGTATGTTTATTATAATTTTAAACTTCTCACCAATACATATATTTGGTCATTTTGCAGAATACTTTTATATTAAAAAGGAAATGGCCTCCTCCATTACACAAGAAAGGTGGTAAACCTTCGAAACTCAGAGGTAGACATTTTGTGTATGATTTAGTTGAAGATACAAATGTAGCTAAAAAACCGGACATCAAAGTGATTTTGAATCAATTCATAGACGGTAAGATGCTACGAGGACAATTTATTATTTCGATTTCCAAAAAAATTCTTTTTGTACGCGGCTACAAGCATAACTGAAGACATAAGGCAGTCCCTTGGCTTTGGCCATGCATCACTGAGGATACGCCTTTTGTCTTCAGCAAAACTGTCTCAGCTCAACCAATTGCTCTCTCTCTCTCTCTCAACTCAAGATTTTTTTCAGTTAAGTATCTCATAATAAAGAAAAATAGAAATGATCTAAATATCGACCTGACCAGTGACCAACACACAAGTTTGTGTGTTCACCACTTACAAACCCCATTCTCTATAGTGTCAGTTCCAAAACACTCTTTCCTGATGTAAGGAGTGTTTTGGAACTGTAACAGTATTAGTATCTTAGAAGTTGAAATATCAACATCTAGTTTTTAAGTGCCACCTGCAAAAAAGTATAAAATAGTTTTCAAAAAAAATGGAATGTTCAATATAGAGAAGCAAAACTTCACATCTGCTTCTCTTTTCTATAAATTGAAGGTTTGTTCTCTCATGAAGTATTGCTCAAATCTTGGCTGTCACTCTCCATTACCAGTTTCTTCCATTTGGCTTTATCCAATACCAGGTAGTTCATTTTACTGATGATCACATTCTCATAGATGATTTAGAACTTCTAAGTCTCTGGGGAGGTGTTAACACACTTATTGTTTTTATCATGCATACAATGGAGAGTATTCTGATAACTTTATTATCTGGTGTCACTGTCTAGTTTCTATCATGGACCTATTTAACAGGTTAGATGTTATCCTTACATTCTAGATGCTTGGCATCCCATACATGTATGTGCTTTGTGTTCATTTCATCCTCGCACATGCTAATTATGGAACAATCTTCTTAAGATTTTCCCAGAGTGCTATATCATCAGGCCCTTTAAGAATTCTGTCTTCAGTTCCCGGTCAGGCCCGCAACCCAATCACAACACTGGTTGTGTTGCAGATGTCTGAGTAGTCCTGGCCGGGAACTGAAGACAGAATTCTTAAAGGGCATGATGATATAGCACTCTGGGAAAATCTTAGGAAGATTGTTCCATAATTAGCATGTGCGAGGATGAAATGAACACAAAGCACATACATGTATGGGATGCCAAGCATCTAGAATGTAAGGATAACATCTAACCTGTTTAAAAGATCCATGATAGAAACTAGACAGTGACACCAGATAATAAAGTTATCAGAATACTCTCCATTGTATGCATGATAAAAACAATAAGTGTGTTAACACCTCCCCAGAGACTTAGAAGTTCTAAATCATCTATGAGAATGTGATCATCAGTAAAATGAACTACCTGGTATTGGATAAAGCCAAATGGAAGAAACTGGTAATGGAGAGCGACTGCCAAGATTTGAGCAATACTTCATGAGAGAACAAACCTTCAATTTATAGAAAAGAGAAGCAGATGTGAAGTTTTGCTTCTCTATATTGAACATTCCATTTTTTTTGAAAACTATTTTATACTTTTTTGCAGGTGGCACTTAAAAACTAGATGTTGATATTTCAACTTCTAAGATACTAATACTGTTACAGTTCCAAAACACTCCTTACATCAGGAAAGAGTGTTTTGGAACTGACACTATAGAGAATGGGGTTTGTAAGTGGTGAACACACAAACTTGTGTGTTGGTCACTGGTCAGGTCGATATTTAGATCATTTCTATTTTTCTTTATTATGAGATACTTAACTGAAAAAAATCTTGAGTTGAGAGAGAGAGAGAGAGCAATTGGTTGAGCTGAGACAGTTTTGCTGAAGACAAAAGGTTTATCCTCAGTGATGCATGGCCAAAGCCAAGAGACCTAAGGGATCTAAGAATACTTTTGTTAAGTTTTTTATAATGAAAAGGGGAAACAACCGGACAAACCATCTGATGATAAGTGATTATCATCTGGCAGAAGAAGATAATCACTTATCATCAGATGGTTTGTCCGGTTGTTTCCCCTTTTCATTATAAAAAACTTAACAAAAGTATTCTTAGATATTAAGCATGATGTGTTACTACTGCTACATGCATACATGTTATAATTAAACATTTTTTTTTACTTTAAGGTGTTGGTAATGCTGGTGATGTGCTATCACTAAGACCAACTATTGCTTATAGAGATTATCTTTTGCCTGGCTTAGCTGTATATGCAAGCCCTGAGAATATGGATAAATACAAAGTAGATGAAAGTAAACCAAAACGTGAATCGGAATATAGTTCTGCACATGTTCAAAGGGTATTTTTTTATGTTATTTAAATGTTAATTTTTTTATTTACATATGTTGTTTTTTAATATGAAACCATAATTCTAGACAATGGGGTGTCTATCTCGTCTTGTATTACAAATAACAATGAGCAAATCAGAACCATGGATACTGGAACCTTGGCATGTTAGAACAAGTTTTCGTAAAGCAGGATATGTAGTGCCTGAATATGCTATAACAATGCCACCAATTACTATCAAAGGCCCAGACATGACTCTTCAAGAAAAAGAATTTTTTGTTACAGTTAAAGTAAGTTAAAACAATAATTTGTACTACATACATACATTATATTAAATTTATTTGTTTGTCATAATTAAATCACTTCAAATTGTTTATTATCAAAGTCCATTTACCAATCATACCATATACATTTTACAGGCATATTGCATAAATCATGATTATACAACACCATCTATTCGCAAATGCTTGCTAGTTTGTGAAAAGCTAATTAGTCCAATCTGAATCCTGTTTGGGAACAAAATATTGAATACCTGAAGTTTTATTGTTTTAAAATGTTAGCAGGTATATAAGGAATAGAAATTCGTAAAATGACAATTTTTTCGAATTTATCAATATTTTATTAGTTTTTGATTGAATTTGGAGTTAATTTTAATGATTTTTCTGAAAAATTTGATTTTAAGGTAATTATAGAAAAAAATGAAATTAATTCATAGTCTAATCTTGTTTATTCATTACTTAAAAATATATTTAAAGAAATTAAGTTAATTTTTACAAAATTTAGTCATAGTTTTGTTAAAAAATCATAAAGAATGTAAAAAATGAAAAAAAATGTTTTTTTTTTAAATACTATGATAGTACCTTTTAGAAATATGACTTAATTTTTTACAATAACCCTTTAATCTACTGTGCATCCATGAAATGCTAAGATATTGATAATAAAAAAAGAAGGATCCGTTTTTTATTGAAAGTCTAATATCTCAGGAAAAAATCGACAAAGAGTTTAGTAAAAAAATTTTTTGTTCATTATATATAATCTCGGAAACGGCTCCAACGATTTTCATGAAATATAGTATACGTGGGTTTCGGAGGCGATAAATCGATCTAGATTTTCGAGTTTTTTTTATTTTGCATTCCACGCAAAATATGGTCAGTAATTTGCACGCTCGGGCATAAGCATCGTGGTCAAGCGGCCAAGGTGCAAGATCTCACAGGTGTCCAGGTTCGAATCTCGATCGCATACAAAGTTTTTACTTTTGTTTTTTTTTTAATATTTATTCAAGTTTTTAGTTTTAAAAAAACAAACGAAAATTGTGCTTTAGGCCAAAAACTCCAAGCGAACATCAGTAGCCCAGGTACTTTAGTTAATTTAAATAATCTGAATTTCTAAATGGGCTAAAAAATAATTTGTATCATTAGATTTCGCATTTTTTTATTTTTTTCATGCAGTTTTCTACCTTGTATATGTGAGATTAACATAGACATTAAAAGTAATTTACAAATTGATCCATATTTTTCATTTTATACTAGATCAACAACAAGGAGGAAGTCAAAGTTAGATGCAGAATCCATCACTGGGCTACAGGTCTTGAGAGATTACCATGGGTAGAAGCTCATTGGAAGAAACCATTAGAGGCACTGATTCCTGATCAAGCTCCTATTCTAGAAAATATGCCATTGGCCAATTAGTTGATAGTAAATATTTCTGTTGTATATTTACACAATATATTGCAAAATAAAAAATACTTAGTCATAAACTTTTATTTATTTCAATCAGAGAGGAGGGACAAATTAAGTTAATTAAAAATATCTAAAATGAAACATTAAATAAAATTCTAATATGCTAATAATATAAGTTATAGTGTTAGTATTATTAATTTTTTGACAATATTATATCCTTGCCTATTTTATGATAATTGCACATCAGATTCAATATTTTTAGTTATATCTTCTGATTCATTAATGCTTTCTACGTTTTCTTTTAAATTTGTATTTATTTTTTCTATGAATCCATCCTCTGAATCTAATTCGTTTTCAATTTTCCTTAAAGTTTCTGGTTCAATATATTCTTGTTGTTCTTCATATTGTTCATGCTGTACCGTTGAATATTCTTGCTTAATGTTATCGTCATACTGTTGCTGATCATTCATTTCATTTTCATAATTGTAAACATTTTCATGTTGGTTCTGATCAGTAACTTCAATATTATCTGAGTTAACATATTCGACATTAGCGTTGTCTGGCTGCTGGTTATCATAGGTTATATTGTTGGCTTCTTGTTGTTGTTGATACATATTTTCTTCAAATTGGTTGTTTTGGTACTGCGCCATAGTTGGATCTTCATAATTATTGGTGTATTGCTGTTCATAATTTGGATCATACTGCTCTGTAGATTCTACATGCTCATTAATTTCTCCAACGTAAGGCTCTCCTTGCTGAGATTCATCATAATAAGCATATTCATTTGTATAGTGTTCATTTTCTGCTACATAGTTCTCACTTTCGTTGTTTTCTTGACTATTTTCATAATTTTTATCGCCATCTGCATTAGTCACCTTATGATTATTTTCATAATTAACTTCAAAATTAGTAAGTTGTTCTATAGGTGCTTCATTAGATTCATAATTTTCTGGATTATTTAAAAGTACATCATCATTTTCATGTTTTTCAATATTTTCTTGAAAAACTTCAGCAATATCAACTTTATCATTGCTAATTAGTTCTTGATTTATTTCCGGGCACGGTTGAATTGGTTGTTGAACTGTTTCTTGTTGAAGATTAAGACATTGTTGTTGTGTATCTGCTGTTGAATTATCTACTTGATCATTATTTATTTCCAAGCCCTTATTATCATTGATATTGATAACATTTTCTTTTATTATTTCTTGCGGATGTATGGCAACATCAAAATTGTCACTGATCTTGCCTTCATGTATTTCATGCAAAGTATCTACGTTTTCGTCAATTTTTGATTGTTGTCGTGCTTCCGTAGGTGTGTTATATCGGACAAGATTGCCTTCTTCTCTGTTTTTATTGTCAGACCCAACAATCGTTTGTTCGTGTATTTCGTTTATGATTTTATTATTTTCAGACATACCATTTGCTTCGATATTTAAATCACATTGATTATTTTTAATTAGAACATCAGTTTGTTCCTCTGTTCGCTGGTTGCATTTTCTGTTCTCTTCAGGAATATTGAAATTAACTTTTGCGACTGGCTTCCACTCTAAATACGGTGTTTCATCTTTACTCACTACATTAATGACAGATTCGTTTGATAAATCTTTTGGTGGTGGCTTTATATAATCATCTAGCAGGGGGTGATCGAACTGTAATAAAGTTGGGGTTTCGACACATCCTGTAGTTTTGTGATCTTCCGTTGAACCAAAGACGTAGTCATTTTTTTCGTCCGTTGTTTCTTTTTCGTTTCTTTTAAGTTCATCAAGAATATTATATTTGCTTCTCCAATCACTATCTTGGATGTTTTCGATTAGCGGGTAAGTTGTGTTATTATGAAGTGCTGATTGCAGCTTAGGAATTAATATAAATTTCTGGCTAATTTCTTTTAGAATTGTCGTTTCTTCTAAGTTTTTACTATAAGTAGGCAAAGGAACACTTTGGTTCAGTATTATATGTTTATTAGTATCACGACACGATAGTTTATTTAAGAATTCTGATCTTTGTGAAAATGGATAATAAGATTCACTTACTACTTGCGTTTTCTGAAATAAAAGATAAAATACGCTTATTTAAATGTTATAACATTGTATGCAACACAATAAACAAACAGGCTTAATGTTTGTACCTACCTATATAATATTTTTCAATTGTACCTATATGCAAAAATAATGAAAAGACCACAAGATATTCTAATAAGATTCTACGAGTGTTACTTTAGTGTAGGAGTAAGTATTACCTATGTTAAAGTATATATAAAAACATTAAAGGGAAGTACATACATATATTGTCAATTACAAATTTTACATCCATATAATCCATACTAATATTATAAATGCGAAAGTAACTCTGTCTGTATGTTACCTTTTCACATTTAATCCGCTGAACTAATTTAGATGCTATTTGGTATGGAGATAGTTTGAGACCCTGGGAAGGACATAGAATAGTTTTTATCCCGGAAAATCACTCCTTAAGGGAGTGAAAAGGGCTATGAAAGTTTGTATAGGGAATCATTTCTCAAGTAAGGGATATTCCCTCAACGACCACGGACACGCGTTACATTTAACAATATTTTAAGATTTCACAGAAATTTAATTAATTTATTAGAAATTTACCTGGTTATTATTATTATTAAAATAAAAAATACAATTGTATATAGTGGTTTGTCCTTCTTTGGAGCAACAACAAATTTGTTATAATATACCTTTTTTTTTTTTTTTTTAACGTTGGGAAATGCATTTACGCACGACGTGTGGGACTCACCGGCGTAATACAGCCAGTACTACCCACTAAAACCCAACAAAACCTTCCCCCGTCTTAATGGGGCGTCGCAGGATCGCTTACGCATTCAACTACGACGCCCCGACGGCAGGTCTGCCGAAGCAGACCACAACAACCACGGGGTTGCTCCAAGGTCCACTCTGCTATCAGAGAAGTACCAGGAGCAACCCGCATGGTACCACCGCCCTCCGAAGAGGGCCACCTCCCACCGCCCACCGAAGTGGGCCACCTCCCTGTGCGTTTCTTGGCTTTCGCGCCCGGTTGGGTTGCCGGGCACTACTGAGCCCCCCCACCACGACAAGGTGAACGCACGTTGGGGGGGATTGTTATAATATACCTACTACACATATTAAGTAACAAACATCCATCCATCCAAACTTGCGCGTTTATAATAATAAACTAGCGGCTCACCCTCGCTTCGCTCAGAAAAATAAAAACAAATTATCCCACGGAAACTGTAAATTTTTCCGGCATAAAATAGTCTATGTGCTATTCCAGATTATAATCTATCTCTGTGCCTAAATTCATCCCGATCCGTCCAGCCGTTCTGGCGTGATTGAGTAACAAACATCCATCCAAACATCGAAATAAGTAAACTTTCACATTTATAATATTTTTAATATTAATGGGATTGAATAATTGCAACAATTACCTCGTGGTAGACCGAGATAGGTACAGGTGAACCCAATCGCATTTTCTCAAGATGTCCCAAGATAAATTCATTTCTGTCTCTTCGTTTCTTATCTTCTTCAAGAAAAGCGTCATATTGCTTTCTTAATGCATTTATTCTATCAGATCTAACTCTAAAAAGTAGATATGTTTTTATTAGATTAATTTTACCTACATAAAATCAGTAGGTACTCTATTATAATTAATCTCCTATTAATAAATAAAACCTACTTTTTATTAGACTTTGCCATTTATTTTAAATATTAATTTGAAGTTCAGCAGTATGAACTAGACAACTGTAAACACAGCAATGTCGACTTGACCTTTACTAAGGTTCGCAACTTGGCTTTGTTATATTTCGCGAATACTTATGCACGTACACATAACGTCGAAAATATTACTGTAAATATATTTTTATTCCATTAATATGTATAAGTTCTGCTCATAACATACAATATCTTCACAAATACATCTATTCAAATTCTGACATTTATTCATCACACCGGATATCACCGGTTCAATTTCAAACGACGAATCTTATAATAAAATTAATAATATATAATATATGATTTATAAGTATACCGTATACAAAAAAAAAAATGGAATCACAAATATGGTAATTAAAATATTATCGCGGAGATATTATGTAATGACATTTTCCCTACCATACCTACACGTAGGTAAGATGTAGTGCTATCTAAACTACCTAAATGTACCTAAGTCTCATCTTCTCGATCGGTCGATAAGCAAAATTGTTTTGGTTTTTTTCGCTTAAATGAATAGGCATTATAAAAACCATTCAAATAAAATGAAAGGCATCTTCGGCAGCGACATATTTTTTATGTAAATACTTATATGTAAATAGTATAATAAACAAATACTGTATTGTGCCAGAGAAGTCACGAAATCCTATGCTTATTTCGGGCATATTTATTAACTACTAGCGACTCACCCTCGCTTCGCTCGGGTCCGTCCCTAGCTTGCTTCCCCATATAAACTTTTACCCCATTTTCACCCCCTTAAGGGATAATTTCCGGGATAAAAAGTATCCCATGTCCTTCCCAGGTTCTCAAACTATCTTCTTACCAAATTTCATCTAAATCGGTTTAGTAGATCTAGAGATTGATGTTCTCCCGACCGATTCCGGCCACGGCGGCCAATCTCATTGAGACTAGCCAACTGCGCAGGAGATATTATAGTGCACAAGTGTATGCGCAGACACAAGTGCACTCTCTATTCCTGCTGACGACTGCTCGACACGACCAGTGAGAGTTAAGGCGCAGGACCGACGGCTTTACGTGCTCTCCGAGGCACGGGGGTGGAACACCGCCAACTTCCCAACTCCGGGCTGTTACTGAGGCTTACTTATACAGAAAGACTCAATAACTAAATTTGGCCCGACCCGGGACTCGAACCCAGGACCTCCGGGTGTGCAGCCGTACATGCTAGCCACTACACCAACGAGGCAGTTCTAGAGATTACCCCCTATAACGTCACGAACTCACAATTCACAAACTCATAATCTTTACCTCTATAGTATTAGTATAGATAGATTGACGTATTATATATAAAAAAAAATCATCTTATAGAAATATCATTCAATAGATTACGACGGGGTCGCGGTTCCATACCTACGTGTATGTCGTATTATCTCTTTAACCATTTGTCCAAATTATATGCAGTAAAAGGGAAAAGTTTTTTTGTTTTAAATATTTTAGACGATTAATTTACTTATTTTGATAAGAATTCATAATTGTTGATAATATGACCAATAAACATGATCTATACCGATTTAATTTATTTTTTAATATAAAAAACTACTTTTTGTGACTTAAATATAAAAGTTAGACATATACTGTCGCTGACTTTTTTGTAGGCATTATTAAGCTCTACAACTTTTTTCTAGAACATAATCATATATTGCTCATCGGTAAGGCAGCGTTCGCAAGAAACGTTTTCGTTCGACGGTTTTTTCTCCGACTTACTTTGCAAATCCGACTACCATGAAAAACTATTTTCATTCTTCGGGTTAATATATAGCCCATGACACTCAGAAAGAATGTGGCTTTCTATTGGTAAAAGAACTTTGAAAATCGGTTCAGTAGATCCAGAGAGTACCCCCTACAACATCACAAACTCACAATATCACAAACTTTACCTCTTTATAATATTACTTAACTTATAGATTTATTTGGTTAATTAACCAGGGTAGCTTATAAGGTGGCACCAATAAAATGTCTAAGGAAATAAATCATACAACACATAGTTAATTGGTATTTAAATATTGTTTATACAATTACCTACCTTTGGAATTTTAATAGTCAGAAAGATTGAAGTAAAGTAAGTACAAGTATGTGCTTATGTCTAGCAGCAAATAATCTATACCTATTAAGGAGGAGAAGGATTATCAGACAATATTCCATTTTATCTTTATTAGTAAAGAGGTAAGAACTCTTGTTCTGATTTAGTGTATACTGGACGTAAAATAAATATCGCTTAAAATTTTACACAGTACCATAGAGATTAGTAGGTAGGTACTTAATACTCGTATTTAATAAAAAATAAAGTCTCTCATTTTCTTATAAGTGCACAATAAAATCAAGTCGTCCAAGTCTGTAAAACATCAGCGGTATCTTTCTCCTGGTAGTACCATCTTGTTAGTGTAATAGCCTTGCCACACAACCAAATATTGACCTTCCATTTTATTTGTGTAGCCTTGTCACGAAAGGTACATTTATCGATTTTATAGCTAGATTTTTTTAATATTAGGTACCTACCTTAATCTTCTTTGGTATGCATGTTATTCAATGTTACTAATTACGAAACTAACGAATTAAGAACAATGAAAGGTTTCAAAGAATTCTTTAAAACTGGCAAATAAGGAAATTGATGAGCTGCAAGACAAACTGAACAATTAAAAAAAATGCAAGTAATATCTAAACCACTTTCAAATATACCTAGTATAAGTACCAATGTATTTAACTCTGACTAATCAACTCAAGAAGTTTTAACTGAATCAGGTATCGATATTCCATATAAATAAAATTGAACCTACTTGCCTAATATACCTATTACTTCCAATTTTCAAATTCGATTTTTTTTAACGTTGGGAAATGCATTCACGCATACCATCTGCATACATACAGATGGACTCACTACCTAGAAAACTTAGTGCCTAGTAGGTACAGTACCCTCTAGCCTCTAAAATTCAACGGAACAATCCTGTCTTAATGGGGCGTCGCGTCGTAGGATTATACGCATTATCAACCACGACGTCCGATAGCTCGGTTTACCTCGCCAGACCACATTCAATAACCATGGGGTTACTCCCACGGTCCAGTCTTCTACCAGGAGCAACTCGCATGGTAAACCACCCATCGAAGTGAGCCGCTTCCAAAGTCCTAAGTAGTATGTGCATTTCTTGACTTCACGAACCTGCAGGCGCTAGATGCACATAAATATAATATTACCAACGTTAAAAAAAAGTTCGATATGTATGCTTAAATAAATAAATAATAAAATGAATTTTAGTAAAGTACTTAAATAAATTTACTAAAATGTTAAAAGATTCAACTATAAAAACGAAAAACTTGGTCATTAAATTTCCATCAGAGCTTCAATTATATTATATATGGTGGTCAAAGAACATTTTTCTTTTAAGTCAACTATATTATATAACTATAACTTAATTAAGTTATTATAAAATACGCCTCTCGCGCCACCTATCGTAAGTTCTGATTTCTTTATCGCAATCGTTTCGGATATTGTATACTGTATTTAAATAATGTATACTTTGGATGTGGTTCGCTTTGAACGGGTGGGTTTACCTAAGTAAGAACATATCAAGCGTTTGATTCTGCGGTCTGGTATCTGCCAATAGATAAGCAAGACTTCTTTTTTTATTTATTTAATTTAATGCAGATAAAGACGCACGTTTTGCAAGCTTATTTTATGTAGATAAATTAAAGAACTTACATTGCTCGCTTGTAAAATTGATGTGGCCTCGTTTTATGTAAATACATAGTATTTTTGAACAAAAAAAAGATATTTTATAGGTATTGAGACTTCAAGATTACTTAGTTACTGTACCGTATTCAGAATTTATTTCTTTTCCCAACTTTACGCCATTTAATTATTTTGTTTTATTCACAATGGATAAATGACATCTGTCTTTATATTTTTTTACCCGACTGCAAGAAAAGGGTTATATTTTCAGGCCTATCTTTCTATGTTTGTGTTTTTGTAATATTCTTTATTCCCTCATACTACATGCTAGATTACATAATGTGAAAAAGAAAAAAAAGGAAATTGACGAACTATGTCAAGTAGGGTATCGTTGAATAGGTATTTACATATCATTTTTAGGATTCTTTCATCATTTTTCATTAACAGTTTAGGATATTATATAATGATTTAAAGTTGGTTTACATCCATTCTCGCTAATTGTCCTACTTAAAAATACTTAAAAAGCTGTAAATAAATAAATTAATATATTATAAAAATAAAAACCCGACTGCATAAAAGCTAACTAAAAAGATGAAAACAAGTTCACGATGGAATATAGAATTATGCAGTCGGAGACATACATACGAGTATGTACATCTTGCGGTAAGGATGAAACGTATATTATGTCTTGGCTATAGCTTTTATGCAGTCGTATATTCATTTATTGACTTTTTTTTGTACACAGTGGGCACTGTGCTATCATACATTAAACATTTCTAATCTGTGGTTTGTTGTATTTTAACAGCAATTGTCTTTTGTCAAATGTCATCTACGATTACGTAGTAAGTTAATACTAGTAACTTTTATTTGTCATCCATGCTAGTAACTAATACTTAATCTGTGATCTACGATTTAAAGGTTATTTGCGTAAGTTAGATTATATAAAATAAATTAAAATGATTCATAAATGGTGGCATAAGTTTATTCGACGTAGAACAAAACCAATTCCTACAGACGTCGCAGTTTTATGGAAACGACGCCTCAGTTTTGCTTACGCTATTTGTGCGTGGAATGCTTTTGGAATACTTGTTTACAACTTTTATCATGGTAAAGCTGATTGGGCCCAATATTATGGTCTAAAATCAGAAGAAGAACAAGCTATTCCCCCAGGTAAACTTTCTTTTGCTTTTACAAAGAATGATTTTATAATCTATACATATTTTAGGAAAATCTTATTGAAATAGTCATTATTATCGATAATAATGAAAAGTGAGTTGAGCTAATAGTTATTGCTTATATCCATACCAATATTGTAAATGCGAAAGTAACTGTCTGTTACTTTTTCACACTTAATCTGCTGATCAGATTTAGATGAAATTTGATATGGAGATAGTTTGAGATCCTGGCAAGGACATAGGATAGTATTTATCCCAGACAACATCCCATAAGCGGGTGAAAGTTCATATGGGGAATCAATTTCTCAAGGGATATAATTTTATTTTAATATATTTCTATACCTATGTATATAGTTTATTCTATAATAACTATTAAAACATACCTAGGGATGAACCCAAGCAAAGAGAGGGTGAGTCACTTGTAATTCCTAAATAAGTTATATGACTATAATATCGCTATATGAATTTATTACAGGACAAGCATGGGCTAACACTTTAGGCATAAAAGATGCTAAAGTCTATAGAATATCAGGATTGAGTAAAGTTGATGAGTATGATATAGTTGATGGAAAGGAAGTTAGACATGAAAATAAAACTCAAGAAGCAGAAGAACTAAGCCAATAATTTATTCAAAATTCTGTGATGTGTTTTAAAACTATACAAAATATGTTCAATGTAAATATATGTAAAAATAATAGCATGGTAAGATTTAGTAAATATAAATACATATAGTGTTAAGTTTTTTTAATAATAATAAGAATTCTTCATAATAACATCATATAATAATAAGAAATAATAATCAATGTGTATAAAAAATACAATATCCATTTATATAATCAAATTATCAAAAAAATATTTTTAGATCAAATTATTTTAAATAATATATTAAACATAATAATTGTTATGATTTATTCAATACTGTTATTAATTTTTAAAATTTAAGGCACTTATTTGCAAAAAAGGCAATCAGGATTTATTTCCTTATGTACACTTCATCTTATATAATAGATCACAGCTCATTAAGGCATTTATATTGACTTAATAATTTGAATGTGCATGACATGACTTAGCATGTCTCCTCCTTTCAAGTTCTTGTAGTAAAGCAGATCTGAAATAATTTGTAAAGATTACAATATATAAAGAGAACTATGTAAAGATGTACAAAATCACAATAAAGAAATTGCGCTGAGATATTAATTGCTATAACATACTTAATATTATAATACTAATTCTATGTGTCTTAAATTATTTGTTTAAATTTCAACAATATAAGAGTATTTCAGCAGATTTTTTTTTACTCACTATGTATTTATTTTGGATATTACCATACAGAATAGGATAGAACCAAACAATGGTTCCCCCACAGCTAATTAATCAGAATGGAAAAGCATTATTTAAATCCTTATGTTGCATTATAAACTGAAAGGTAGGTTTACTTAAGGCAGTAAGACTAATTTATGAGATCGACATTATATATGTTTTAACAATATACTATACCAACCTTTGAAAAGTTTTTTTAGGACACTTGCTATGCTTTTTATGATACTGCATTCCAAATTCAAATAATATATTGCTTAATAGCCTAAATAATATTGTATACTTATATAATGAGGCAGAATTTGTTTGTTTGATCGTGCTAATCTCAGAAACTACTAATCTTATTTGAAAAATTCTTTTTGAATTAGATAGTCCGTTTATCTAGGTAGACTATAATAGGCTATATACCATATAATATAATATCAAATCTGATTTATCTATTACATACTAACCGTTAAAACGTACCTAGGGGCGAACCCGACAGAAGCCAGGGTGAGTCGCTAGATTACCAAAATATAAGCCATTTATTAGATAGTCATAATTGAGTCAATGAAACGAAATCTTACCAAGTTACATTTAACATTAGAAGTAAAACGTTATCAAGTTAAATTAAAAAAAATAAAGACACCAAAACCAGATAATAGCATTCAATCACTACAGATAAATTAACGTCGAGATTTAAGAAAAACTGATATGATACCTTTCAAAACCATCCTAAGTGATGCCTTAAAGACACCACCTTACATACTCTCTGAGGCATACCACCAACTTCCTAAGTTGGGGCTGTTACTGCAGATACTTTCGTAACAGACAGAAAATAATTATATATACTGTACCTATACTGTTCATATTTCATCACAATAAGTTGAAGTTCTTGTTTATAAAGTCTAGTCAACATGTCTGAATAACAATCAAGCTCGCTTAAACGGAACATGTTCCACCTCAGTTTATGGTCCAATTCTTGATCGGCTGAATAAGAAAAAAATGTTATCAGTTAAAAATATTTCAACTAAACCAAAAAGATATTGGTTCTAACATTGTTTTAGTATAAACTAAAAATAATGATTAATTCATCCCTTGTGAAGACAAACGGTTTAGTAAACCGAAATAATTGTGGTATGGTTATTCTTAGAGAAAGGTTGGATTTCGGTTTTGATACCGAAATAAACCGGTTAATTCATTCATAAGTAAGAAACGTACAAGTGTCCTTCTACTAAGCAATTCACCATTAGCAAAGATTCGCTGAATGTTAACGCACAAAAACTCATTTAACCAGTTATTTTGATCATGGAACCTAAATTCGTCAAAAACCGTTCTCAGGAATTTAACCGGTTAAAGATCGTAACCAAAACCTTAAACCGAAAAGCCTTTCGGTTTCGGGTCAATGACTAAAACCGGTTTAAAAATTCCACGAGTTCCGAGACGTGGTATTAAGCATAAAATTATTAAAAGAACAGTTGTAGAAGATTATTAGTGAAATCTTAAGTCGCATTTAGATACTACAACAAAATTAAGGATAGGAACATACCTTTTGAGTAAACAATCAGCCAATGTGGTATTTCTTCTAACAAATAAGGTGGAACCAGGGTTGGCACAAGGGGGCTAACCAAGTAGCATCCTCCTACTAAGCATGGGTGGGCGTATGTGGTTTGATGGGTAATTTCACTGGAATACAATAATTTATATGAGATAAGCTAAATTAAAACGAAAAATGTATGGATTTAATCCATATGTACAGCTAAGATGTTAAAACTTTTAATTCCATCTTAAGTTTTAAAAATATGTTTAGCATACTTAAAATAATATACTCCATGATGTGGTGTGGAGACGCGATGCCAGGGCCGAGGAACGCTTTCAAGTGGGTGCGTCCAGTGCGTGGTTTGCGTGTTATGGTCCATGTAATAGCGACGGCCACGCAGCGTGCGGTCTGCTGACCAGCCAGGCGGCAATGGTAGCTCACATTCATCCGATCCTGCATATTTCAAAACATTTTTATTATAATCTATAACAATTCTATGTAACCTTGATGATAAATTATCACAAACAAAACAATTTTTATGTAATCATGAACATTTAAATAAATAATAGCAAGGGTAGATTATTAACAAAAGAAATGACGTTAAGGGAAGCTATTACTAAATAAACAAAAATTTAAAATATGTATAACATAATATTTTGGACTTATTATTTTTGCTAAAGAAAATATTCATTATAATTTTTATTTTTTTTTCAAACTGTTGAACTCCAATTGCTTGTGGCACCTAAATCGAAAATGCTATTACAGTATAATTCACAATATTTTTAGACAATACATATTGTTTATATGGTCTTTTATCTTATTATTATAAATAATTTCTTCCTACTGTAGGAAAATACTCAATTAGCTGGTAATGTTAAAATAAAACTCTTACAGGTTATTTTGATTCATATGGATTTCTGTTTAATGGTCTGTTTCTGTTAAATGGAGGTGACAGATTCTCTTTTTTACCCAAGGATGAACACAAGTGAAGTGGTCATGTTAAGATGTTTCTATAGTATATTGAACATACCTTGACTAGAAGATATGATGTTGCCTCCATGACCCTTGTTATGATATGGAAGAGCAGGGGTATTGACATAATTAGAATAAATTGGAGATGATGGACTTGCTGTTGAGTATGCTGTAATAAAATTAAAGACATTTAATTTTTCAGTTGCTTATTTTGACATAAAAATACTGTAATTATATGTATTTCAATTTAAATAGAATTTGGAATATAATAAACTTATATTTTTAATCTTGTGTAGTTGTACTTGTTAAATTAATATTTATTAAAATGCTTACAGTCAGTACAATGAATTCGAATTGAATGGGGTGATGGAGGATGAAGACAGGGGGTTAAGCTCAAGTTAGAAGATATCCGAGGCATACTTGATTCACGTGAACTATACTGTTGCTGCTTTTGTTGTTGAACCTACAATGAAACACAAAAGATAGTTAGATATAATTTCTATATATTGACTTTGATTTCTGTTTTTATAATAATACCTGCTGTTGATTTTGATAAATAGGATCTTCTGGTTGTATTTGCCTATAATAACGATGACTAGTCTGGCGACTAAAGGAATCATCAATTTCATTCAAGGTTGAATGGGAAGCCTAAAATGAATATTAATATAAATATGATATTTTATATACAAAGATTGTTTATTTGAATATTTCATGATTAAAACATACCAAATTATTGTCTAAATGAAACTGTGAGTTGAAGTGGCTTGAAGTACTTGCTGTGTCACTTGCAGTAGACAAACTGGCAAATCTATAATATAATGGAAATTAATGTTATCCTTATTTTTAAAGCCACCTCAAGGTAGTCTGATGCTTTATATTTAACCACTAGCCTGATCTGGTTTAGCCTGGTTTAATTTTTGACATATAGTTCCGAATATAAACTTTACACCCCATGTGTATAAAAAAATGATATAGAAAAAGATAATTTTCAGTGCACGAAACATACCTGTGAGCTAAGTTTGGTACAGATTCACTAGGTGTATATTTTCCTGCATGACCACTCATTGTTTGGGCTTTACCAAATTTATTTTCAATGCTCTGTGTGTTTCCATCACTGGCTCCGAACGGCTGGCTACGTGGTCTTCTATTATTTCCAGTTGTCCAAACATTTATAACTGTAATTTAGGATAAAATCAGTAAACATTTATCTACCTTTTAAACTTAAATAAACATAATTATATACATTCCTAAAAGCAATATTAATTGTTATTTAGACTTTTTTCATTGACTTACTTGGTAAATCTGGAGGAGTATCTTTTTTTACGTATTTACCCACCACCCCTTCATTAATAGCTTTCTGCCCTTTTCTAGATATCATTTTGTTTATATAAATAATTTAATCTATTTCAATTGAGTTGCACAAAATATATACATACAAAAATGAAAAATTAAAATAAACAAGGATAATTTTTACACATTGTTTATATCATTTTGGAAGACATCCATTTTCTGTATTTTCTATTGTTGTGCGACAAACGTTTGTCGGACAAACGTCATTCAGATTCAGTTGGACAGTCACGTCATATTGACAATTTCAAAAACAGATTAAAAATAATGTCTACGCATTGTCTAAAATATAAAATCCGTTATATAGATAAGAGTAGACAACTTCCATTTAGCACTGTAAGTGGCGCGGTGAGGCATGGAGAAAAAAAGATAGAAAATATCTGCTTAGTTTCTATCTTTCTTTGACTATATAATAGTAGACTTTCTAAAGTGCATAACTCAAATTAAAAGAAATGCACAATCAGTAACGAAGAATTAAATTTGTACAAAATATTTTAATTTTTGTAATAAATTAAAATCATTGTTTACGAAGTTAAATTTTATTTCGTTTTTTATATATTTAATATAACTTAAATCTTTTATGTATTATCATGCACAATTCTTATTGCCCACTAAAAATGGTTCATTTATATCCAATTCTATATTTTGTCATTTAATTTATCACTTTCATGTTTTAAAATAAAGATAGAAAGGGGTCTGGTTATTTGTCTCTTTCTATCGGGACGTCACATTTTTTATCAGCCTTTCTACTCTACGAATATATTATCTCTATGGCTATATCACGCGGTGGTACAAACTATTATTCATCTATGGTCAAAATTTATATCATATTATTCCTATTTTATAGATAAGTTATTGGGGTTCACCGTTATCAGTCGAAGTACCTACGTCCAGTCCATCGACAATTACATTAAGTCACACCAAAATCAATGTTGTCATTTTCATATACTACCTACATACACACACTACACACACTTAGGCAGTAGTAACCCAGTGATAATCGGGCGCGCTTGGGAAACCGAGTGAAGAGGGTTCAAATCCCGGGTCTCACACATCTGATATTTTCATGTGCGAATCATTTCTAACACGATTACCACTTACTTGCCTTCCGGTGAAGGAAAACATCGTGAGGAAATCTGCGTGTCTGAGAGAACCTAGCAAGTTCTTGAAAGACATATGAAGTCCGCCAACCCGCACTTGGCCAGCGTGGACTAGGGCCTGACCACCCTCGTATTGAAGAGAGGCTCAACAGTGAGACGTAAAAGAGGGATGAATACATTTTCACACATGACATTTTTACGAACTAGAAAAATATATTATTCAAAACATGATTTAAATATCTTCCTTCAATTATATTTTTAATTTGAAGATTCAATTATTTTTCACTTTTATACAATTTAAAACACACTTATTTAAATGAACTATTCACGTACAAAATTTCCAAAAACATTAAAATCAGCATACATTCTCCAATTACCAATCAGACTTCAGACTCTCAGAGTACGAAGAACACATCGACCACACGACGTGCGACACTGTGCCGGAGTTTTGCCATCGATTTCAAAATAGCTAAAGATGTGATAAAAAGTAAAATATTCAAATTGTATATTTGTTTACCTATGATAATTTTAGAGATATTTGAAATGACTATTACCTTTTTTTAATCAAAGTAAGACCAGAATTAGATATCTCAAAATCTGGCGGCCGATAAGAGTAAAAAATGCGATTTTAAGATTTAAATTATAGGTCGCCTCAATCATTGTGAAAATATTTTATGGTTAAATAATAAGGCGAGCACTCAGTAACTATATATATAGTCTAGTCAAGAAGTTCAAAAACGTGAAAAATAGAGATAAAAATCATAATTTACACTTTTAAATAGTTTCGCAAAAATTTTTTTTTTATTTATTAAATGTTTATTGGTTTAACAATTTGTTATAAACAAATATTGATCAACGTTATATTTTTTTTCTGAAGCAGAAAATAATTATAAAAACAGCTATATATAAAAAAGTGCAAAAAAATATTTAATTATTAATATAAAATAATTAAAAAAAAATTAGATTTTTAATTTTTCAATAGTTATAAAAAATCATAATTAACAAATTAATAAACTTTTATGAAAATTTATCGCAGGATCTTATAAAGTACATATATCAAAAGGGCTCCACAAAGTTTAAAATTTATAGGCAAATTATTTATACCTTTCATGCCATTGTTTTTGCCAATGGAGATTGGGAAAAAAATTGTTAGTTAACAATTGAATAACTTTTTGAAAAATGGTGATTAAACTTTTTTTTCTTCAGGGCTCGATTCTTTCAAGTGTTAAGAAGATACTAGAATTTTTTCAAATTTTTAAAATCACATTTTGTTATAAAAAAAAAATATTTTTATTGCTGAACTCTCTTTAGCGGCGGCGCGCGCATGCCGTAACAGCCGCGCGGAGCCCTATTTTCAACGTCAAATTAAAATGATAAATAATGGAGATAGAGTTCCGGGAGTTATGACTTTTTTAGGATTGGAAATTTCCTCCTCTTTAACGAGCTTTTTTCAAAATTGCTTAAATGATAATATTTTTCGAGTTATTAACAAAAAACGAAATATAATTTTTTTTTCATCTTATTTTGTTAATAACAATTACAATTTTTTACCTGCACCAAAATCCTTCAAAAACTTTTTCTAGAGGTGATTCCGAATCGAATGAGCCATCGCTCATATTTTTAGGACCTTTATCTCTATTTTTCACGTTTTTCAAATTGTTGACTAGACTAATATTGTACAAGAAGTTTTCATATAATTAAAACAATAAAATATGAAAAACATTTAATATTAATAGTGAAACATTAAAATGTATCGTGTGAGAAATCTAATCTATTATGTAATCCATCTCTTATCTTCATATTTTTTTTTATCATGTTAAAGAGCTTCTACTTTTAAGAATTATTCCAAAGTAAAAAATACACCACCACATTCTGGAATTCTGTGAAATAAACATGAAATTAGATAAAAAAAGAAGAGAAAGGCTCAAATCCTTTAAAGGTAACATCGTTATTTTATATCTATTATTAAGACAAAAAACCAACTGTACCTGAGTGATATTCTAAAATAAATTATATTTTAACTTAAAATACTATTTTCTACATACATACTTTAAAAACAAAATTTCTTGAATCAAAAGAGGAGTTATATCAAACTAAGTTATAAATCAAAACTACAAAATTACAGTAAATTTTTAACTACGTGTTTTTACTTTGTATATATTAGTACGCTTCTAAAATGTAAGCGATATCTATGTATAGTATATATTTATTTAAGATTTTTATATATTTTGTTTAATATTTATTTAATACAATACTATCATACAGTCAAAGTGACTACTATTATTTTTAAGTAATAAATAGAAGGCCACTAACTACGGAAGAATCAAATTAATTCTAAGCAGTCATGCCTTGGCCTTAATAGAAGGGAAAGTTTTATCACCTGATAATAAGATGTCTTCACTCACCACGCACGACTGAGGTGTCATTCCTGGACACTTTTGTAGGTAGAACCACATCGTGGCATTCTCCCGAATGTATTAATTTTATATCGCTTACAGAGTCTGGAGTATTTCCGTCTAGACAGACATTTGGAGTAATGACGTCCATTTCATCCGATGCCATTTCAGCTAGAGTACTAAGACGATTTAAATTCATTGAATAATCAAAACTGACATTTTGTTCTGCATCAGTTTCTTCTTTGCTAATTACAGTGGAAACATTTTCATCATTTAAAGCATTAATTGGGGAAATATTTTTATCAATGCTATCGTTAATATTAGTTTTATTATCACATTGATCAGTATTATCGGGATTAATTAATATTTCCTTCACAGAATCAACATCTTCACTTAGTTTTCCACTATTGTTACTTGGAGGTGAAATCGACTGTATTGCGTCTTCTCTCTTTAATTGCTTTCTTCTTTCAGTTTTATCATATCCTAAGGGATGTAAGTTAGAAGAGCTAGGAGGGCTACCATCTAAAGATAGATCAATAGAAGTAAGCATACTTTCGTCTCTGCTCATAAAATGACCGCTTTCTGGGACAATATGTATATTTAAGACAGTTTTATTTTTTCGATTGTCGTTATCACCTTCTATAGATGGAAATGACTGTCCATCGGAATCAATGCCAGATGTGCTGAAAGTTGTTTTGTTATTATTAAATTTATTTCTAACCAAAAAACCTCTAACACGAGCTTGGATTACTGTAGCTGCGCTGGATAATGTGGAAGAATCATCAGTAGACAAAGACAAAGATTTCTCTTCGTTAACTGTTTGTAACATAGTATCCATTCTATTAACTCCTAATGTTCGTCGATCCTTATTAACGTTCACATTTACCTGACTGCAATCATCCTGAAACAAAACACTTATAACTAACTTTAATGTTATATAGCAAAAACTATTAAAATACCACAGTTGGTACCTTCTTTTCTTTTTCTTCTATTAATAAATTGATATCAACGTTAGTTGCATCGTCAATGCTTTGAGTTTTATTTCTAAAAAGAAAGGACCGGAACACTTTTTGTATAGTAATTGCAGCCGTTTCTAAGTCCATAGAATTACTATTAGCTTGATTCTGTAACTTTCTGGACTTTTCATTTTGTGTTTCATCATTAATCTTCTCTTTCGTTGGTTCTAGTTCTAAAGAAAGATTGGTATCTTCAATATCTTTTTTAGGATTTTCATTTACAGTCACGTTGGCTGTTGTGCACAATTCATTTTCTACCATTCTTTTTGTATCTCTTTCATCGTGAGTATCTTGGAGATTCTCGTTCTTGGTATCATGGATTGTATCAAAATTAGTTTCAGTGTTATTGTTTTCGATTGGGTGTTGATTTATCTCCAATTCAATTTTTGTGCTGTCTATATACTCATGATTGTCATCATGTTCTTTTAAAATGTCACCTATCTCTGTGCTCAAAAGTTCACTATCAGGTATATTGTTTTTACTCTCATCAATACTGGCGTTAAATTCTTCATCACATATAGGTTTGCAGTCTTGCGCAATTTTATTTTTTTCTGTGTCTATAATAATAATTTTGTTGGTATCCTGTTTAGTTATCCCTACAGAACATTGGACATCTTTGCTTTCTTCATTCTTTGCCTGGATATCTTTTCTTTCTGAGACATTGTCCAAGTCATGATCTGTCAGAGACGAAATATTTTCGTTGTTGTCACATTGAATCGCATCAGTTAATTGTGAACTATCAGCTTCTGTGCCGATGACGTTTTCTATTAGTGTTTCAGATATTTGTTTTCCATTATATATATTACCAACTATTTCAGGTTCTATATTTTTCTTTAAATCACTTTGTTGTATTATAACTACATTTTGTTCTTGCCCATATTGCTCTTCATTATTCAAATGAACTTTTCGTGTAGACTCATTATTTTTTATTTCTTGCATTTTCTTATCGTAATTTTCACATCTCTGAGCTGCCCTTTCCATTACTTTTGTTCTAGCCAATTCTATTTTCTGTTCTAGTGTAAGAAACTTTTTAGACTCTATAATATAAAATTTATAAAAATTACAAGAATATCTCATGTTATTTAAAAATTAAACAATATAGTACCAAAAATTTCGTACAATTAAATTGTCGAATATATTATCTAATTAGTTATCTTTACATAGTATAAAAAGAAGTTGCTTTCGCTGTCTGTTCGCTTAGATCTTTTAAACTACTCAACGGATTTTAATGCAGTTTTCAGCAATAGATAGTGATTCAAGAGGAAGGTTTATATGTGTAATACATGCATATTATAGGACAGAAAAACCGAGAAATTCAACGATTTGTATTGTGCGATTACATTGCCTACCTAGGGACGAACCCGAGCGAAGCGAGGGTAAGCCACTAGTTTAATATAAAATAATGAAAAGGTACATACTGGCGCCATCTCTAATTATCAGTAATTTCTTCATATGCTCGGCGCAAAAAGAGTATAATTCAGTTGGATTATTTCTAAGAACATCCCTCGAAAGTTCTTCCATCAATCCAATGAGTCCTAAAGGCATTTTAGGAGTCCGAGCAGAATAATGGCGTGAACTTCGGCGACTCATCTAGAAATTTAAAAAGTATGAGCAATCTTATATACAGAGAAAAAAAAATGCGAATTACTTACCTTTATTCTCAGAACAGGACTTATCCAACTGAAATAATACAGTTAACTGTAAAATAATTGCCAGTGTTTGTGGCTTGTAGCTATGGTGACAATAAAACTTGAACTTGAATAATATACACTAGTATTGATTCGTTGTTGTAGGCAAGTTCATTGTACTTTAACTGTTAAGGTGTACACTTTAATGTAGGTAACATTACTTTGTTTGAAAAAATACCTGTACCTAATATTTTATGAATATTAGCAGCATGGACCATATTTGAAGATGATAAATTCAGAATGTGAGGCGATCGTGAGTAGCTGTTGCAAATCAAATAATCGTACAAGTGCTTGTCAGAATAGCACACGGAGTATTACGTACTACGGTAAATTTGTATTAAATTAAATTTGTTTTAAGTACGTAATCAGTAAATTTAGTAGTTAAAATAATTTCACATCCACAACATTTATGTAAAAATAATAAATTAGTTTTGAAATTTATATAGAAATAATATAAAAGAATAATGAAATCAATATATAATATAGAAGAATACTGAAATAAATTTAAAATGAAAGATATATGCTATAACTAATATTCATGAGTAATTCCCCTTTTTAAGTCGGTCAAATAACTTGTAACTCAAATACTACTCAACAAAATTTACTCTCCTCCTCCTTTACAGTGGAAAATCGAATTTAGAAGTCATTTAAATATTTTTTAATCATATTATTATATCTAATATAGTATGAATATGATTCAATGTATGGAGTTCATCAGTATTTGACTGCAATATTGTCTATTATATTTCAGCTAATATCAATATAAATTGCTTTAACATACTGACAGACGAATATAATAACTTATAAGGGTACTATTTTCGCCTATGCAATGTTAGAAATGAAGAATTAGGAAGTTTAACAATTAGTCATGTACGCCAGTTTAAAATAAATAAAACTGTTGAAAATTATTACATCGAATAAATTATATGCTGATTTATGCTGCTGTTGAATATGAAAATTTTATAAGATTCGTGTGTATAATTTTATTTAACAACTTAATTACATAATAATGGTGCAATTGTTCACTTTTTGGGATTTATAAGGATGGGATAAGGATTGTATATCAATATCTATGAATACCTTAGTGTTTCAATGTTTTGTTTCAATAAATGTCTATATATTTATAATTTATATGGATAATAAATATAAACTACAATAAGTAAAACGCAAGCTTAATTAAGCTCAGCGCTAATGGTTAAGAATTAGTTTTATTTCTTTACATTTTGGTGGTACAACTGGTACAAGAATTATCAAAATTTTATTATATTTGTGTTTTTTATTATCCCAAGTACACATATTTTACAACACAATTATCGTTTACGTTAATTAACCTAATAGAAATAACTCCATTTAAAATTAATATAGTCTGCTATTCGAAAGCGAATTCGAAAATAAAAAAAAACTAAGTATAGCGAGACGAAACTTGTGGCTTGACGACGCGTGGCCGGCTTACATACAAATCAAGAATTTACAGCATGTTAGTCAACTTTTTGATTTTTATACTATTCTGCGTACTATAATGCCTAGTAATAAAATGTATAATCCTTGCAACGTAATCTCCATAATATCATATAATTTTTAAACATTGTCTCCTTAAGATCATTTATTTAAGCAACGTAGTCTCCGTAAGATCATATAATTTATGCAACATAGTGTCCTTAGTACATACATACATACATACGCGGCGCGCGTATCGTACATACTATATACAGAGGCGCGGGCGGCGGCGTCCGCGCCGCTCTACTTAGTGATGATTGTAAAATGCGGCTACAGCAATATCATACAAATTAATGACTATTTCCTTAAAATTATCACCAGCATCAAATTATTACTATTAAACTTTTCTATTCTGTCCCAGTACGACTGGCTACCTTTAAATTTTACCATGGCAGATGCGTGTCACATTCATATTCTCCAGTTTGCTCGTCGGTCTATCGGTACGACCAATCAGTGTCCCACTCCCGCAGCTATGTATAAAAATCACACTGCTATAAATTTATAATAAATAAATGCCTATTTACACTATGTATCTATACAAAATGATAGTACGACGAAATTACATACATTGTTGTTTTCAGCACCTAATTAAAACAAAATGTCACAGAACGTGCTACGCGCGGCCCCGTCGGGGCTCGCAGACTAAACAAATTACATATTCGAATTTCACTATTAATTTTTTTTTGTACAATCATTACAGGCAAGAGCTGGGTGCCCGATTAATACAATTTATCGGTGTTTCGAAATGCGATACAATCACGTTCATGCATCAATAATACATACAACTTTTAAATTTATCGAACGATTTAACAATATTTAAAAATCCTAAAGTAATCTAGTGTCCTATGTGAACGGATATAAAATACTAATACAGTGACCACATATGAGGGCGCATCGCCGCGGCGGAGCGGGCGGACCGAAATTGCGGAGACGTCGGCGTCGGAGTCGCCCGAACGAAATAAATCATTTGAGGTACAACAATTAATAAAGTCGCTAACAAAATCGTAATCGAATACAAAATATAAGTGAAAATATGAATACATAAGTGAAAATATCGATGGCGGCTCGCATTATCTAGCAGATGGAAGGACATCACTTGAGGGCAGCGCCGGTGGCCGCCTGCTGCCGCTTGTGGCTTATCTCCATCTCGCCCAGCCGCTTCCACAGCTCGTCGCGCTCTTTCTCGCGCTTCTTTTCTCTATGAATACACAACAGTTATTATTACACTCTGTACTACATAAAAATAAATCTACATTGATCAACTACTAATAGGGGATCGGACAATTTTTCAGAAAGTGTTTTAAATTAATCTTCATGGATACTTATTCACATAAAAAAATAAATTTAATTTATTTATAGCCTTTTAGGTACTCAAAATCATGTTTTAATATTGTTTTTTTTTAAATACCGCCAAAACGACACGTTATACGCGTGACGTCACTTGTAAATGTCATCAATATTATTGTTCTGTGGTCATTCATAACATAAACAAAACGACTGTATGAACATAAGTTCGCAAGAAGTTTTGTTTCATGGAAAATATTCTTTATTTGTTGTTATGGAACGAAAAAAATATCGTTGGTGTGTAGTACCTCAATGTACGAACACATCAAAAACTACTCCAAATAAAATATTGATTGACGTAAGTGTACAGTAGTTACTTACTACAAATGAAAAATATTAATATGTAGTAAATGTACATTGTTTAATGTTAGAGGTTATATTTACGAGATTTTATTCATTTTTACTTTTTTCAGCTACCGAATGATAGAACAAATATTCATATTGGCGAGATAGATGTATGTTAATGTAAAAAGTTTATCTTTCAGCACAATAGTATGACAAGAATTGTTTATTATAATGTTAACTAACATTGAATATTAACCAAGCATGAATATAATCTTTACTATTAAATAAAGCAAGAAATATTTACTTCTGCCGCTCTGCTTTGTAGCTAGCGGTAAGTTCATCGAACAGCTTGGAATTCATTTCCATGAACGTCTTGAGGACGTTGTAGACGAGCGTCACTATGGTCTGATTCCAGTGCTCCTTGCTCATCCTATACAAAGCAGGAAACATAATAGGCATTATGACTTGGTTGTTCTCTTCCATTAGGGAAAGTATGTATTCGTTGTTCCAGAAGTATAGTGCCCTTTCAGCCACCTGGAATGTTAATTTTCAAATATTTTAAAACTAAAACACAGTAAATCGAAATTTTTGAATGATTTTTATAACTTAGATATTTATGTTATTACCTGGAAATGTGGACTGGATACACACTTAGCAATTTGTCTAAATAGGGATTCTTGAATTTTGGCGAATTGAGCCGGCTCAATAACATCCAAAATTTCCTCAATCTCGCCAAGGAACATCACCTGAAAACAATTATAAAAATTTAAAATATGTTACATATGTTAAATAAAAAGTTTATAAATCTTATTATTGCCTTTTATGTAATGCTAGAGGCACACCCTCGCTTCGCTCGTGTTCATCGCTCGGATTCGTCCCTAGGTCAGTTTTAATGGTTAGTATGGTACAGATAGACTATATATTATATTACAACTCCGCTGCCTTGGGAAGTAGCATGATGATATATAGCCTATAGCACTTCTTAATAAATGGTTTATCTAAAGCAATAGTATTTTTTTAAATCAGATTAGTAGTTCCTGAGATTAGCGCGTTCAAACAAACAAACGAACTGCCTCTTTACAATATTAGTATAGATTATTATAAAATATTAAATTGTTATTACTTTTTTAATCAACGGCTATTTCTTTAGCTATGATCTTTAATTATTGTAATATTAATTTTTAATGACTATGAGAGAGAATCATATTACAAATACGTCATACATACATAAAATGAGCCATTTAAACAATATCTACATTGTTAAAGAACTAAAATTCTAATGAAGTATATTAAAGGCAGCAAAATCAATTGACGTCATTACATAATCAATATCTAATATATAAAATACTCGTGAGTTGTGTCACAGTGTTTGTAACAAAACTCCTCCGAAACAGCTTGACCGATTCTTATGAAATTTTGTGTGTATATTTAGTAGGTCTGAGAATAGAACGTAAACTATTTTTCATACCCTTAAGTGATAAGCGTGGTCCACACCAAAAAAAAAATTTTTTGGAATTTTTTTTTTTATTTTCATTTTTATATGATTCGGCATTAAAAATACATACAAACTTTAATTTCCACTAGGGACGAACCCGAGCGCAGCGAGGGTGAGTCGCTAGTTATTTTAATAAAAAGGTAAAGTTTGTAAGTTTGTATGTACGGGATAATCTCCTGAAACTACTGATCTGAATCTGAAAATTCTTCCACTAATAGCTAGGAAGCAACGTTACTACCGAATGCTATTTATTGGTTATTTTGTATTCCAATAAAAATGTGTGTATTATCAGAAATCATAATAACTTTAATTGAAGTAAGGTAAAAAATGGGCGTTAAGTTACTTTATCAGCTATTGTAGGTGTTAGGGTCCTGGTGGACGTTAAAATAAAAAGTGGACTGTATAATATTTATATTTAAAGCTGGTACAATCGTCGTTTGTCGTTACAATTGAATAGGGAGGACGAATTTAGTTATTTGAAGTCGTCTTGTCGCCACGGGTCTCAAAAGGAAGTGAAGTGCTCCGTCGTGTAATGGCCGCTCGCCGTGGCTGTCGATGGTGGGGCTGCGACCGCGGCCCGCCGGTGTCCACTGTTGCGTTTTACGCAACAGTAGGGCACCTATGGATTCCGGCACCCGGACTAATCGAGGGTCAGTCGCTAATATCCATACTAATACTATAAATGCGAAAGTAACTCTGTCTGTCTGTTATGTTTTCTCTTCTCTTTCTCTTCAGACTAAACCACTAAACCAATTTTAATGAATTTTGATATAGAAATAGATGGGACTTTGTGGAAGTACCTACATAGGTTACTTTTTGTCGCGAAAATAAAACTTAAAGGGAGTGAAAAGGGGGTTGAAAGTTTGTATTGGGAACCAGCTACCTCAGCTTTAACGATAACTATATTTTTATTAATTTAAATCAGACGTAGAAATGCACGCGAGCGAAGCGAGGATAAGTCGCTAGTTAATATACAGTACCTCTTTCTGGGAGCACGTCTTGGGCCAGAACTTGAGCAGGCCGCGCACCACGGGCTCGGTGAGCGTGGCGTCTTTCTCCAGAAATTGGACCACGCAGTAGGCGAGCTGCGCGTGGTACAACGACAGACACTTCACCTTGTGCAGCGGCAGCAGCACCTTCACCAGAAACTGTTTATGCTCACTCTTCAGGGGCAGAGCGAATCCGTTTATTATACTGTCAACAATTTCATTAGTTATTATAGAAAACTTAATAATATGTTTTATTTCATAAAATGATGGTTCAGAATAGATGTTTATAACTTTATATCATTAGCATGATCAATTTAATTTATTCAAACATTTTTTTTTCTCTTTCTTTTTTTCAATATATGAGTACTCTGTTGTCCATTACACAGGATATCATAATAGAGTAATCTAATTTTGGCCATATTTGTTAATAACTTTGTGCTCAAAAAAGTAAAGTACTAAAGAGTTGCTTAATAAAAAAGAGTTATTAATTTTTTTTATATATTTTTCACAAGAACTACGTTGTGCAAGTTTTTGAAGAAAAAAAAGTAAGATCGCATAAGATAAAGATTTAATTTTTATCAACATTTTAAAAATATGAATGATATTGATTTGCAAATTGCATTAAAAGTCACACATGTTTAGAACAAAAGGAAATCACAATGTGCGGTAGAATTGTAACTATAAATAGATTACGATGAAGAATTATAATCCTACTTAAAAAGTATCGTTCGACCGTAAGAGGCCATTTTATTTGTTGTTGTTCTATTACACTTTACTATAATATTTGAATTTAATATATGTATTTGAATTGGTAATACACACAATGATTCACAAGTTGCAGTATGTAAGGTGTCCCCCCCAACGTGCGTTCACCTTGTCGTGGTGGGGGAGCTCAGTAGTGCCCGGCAACCCAACCGGGCGCGAAGCCAAGAAACGCACAGGGAGGTGGCCCACTTCGGTGGGCGGTGGGAGGTGGCCCTCTTCGGAGGGCAGTGTACTATGCGGGTTGCTCCTGGTACTTCTCTGATAGCAGAGTGGACTGTGGAGCAACCTCGTGGTTGTTGTGGTCTGCTTCGGCAGACCTGCCGTCGGGGCGTCGTAGTTGAATGCGTAAGCGATCCTGCGACGACCCCATTAAGACGGGGGAAGGCTTTGTTGGGTTTTAGTGGGTAGTACTGGCTTTGCCGGTGAGTCCCACACCTCGTGCGTAAATGCATTTCCCAACGTTAAAAAAAAAAAAAAAAAAAATGTAAGGTGTAATAATATCCACGAAGTACGTGGTGGAATAATCAAATAGTTAACAATATTATTTGAAACTTGTCAACTAAAAGATTTCGTCAACGTTTCCACTCATTCAACTACTACCAATTCTTCTGAATGAATGACTGACTTTTACATGAGCTTTTAACAGTTTATTTCCAGACGAACACTATTTTTCAACTTTAGTAGGTAAAAGTAGTGTAAATCGCATTCACTAATAAGATTGAATCGCTTATCCTATTGAAGCACGATTAGGCTTCTAAGCTTTCGTCATTACAGCAATTTGTAAATACGGAAATTAAAGTTCGTATTTACAATTTTTGCCAACGCTAAAATGTACCTGTAAAACAGAGTTAATCAGTGTCCAAAACAAACTTCTATATTGGTGTGCTAAAATTCCATAATTTAGGCGAATCGTGAAAATTTATAGTTGCAGAACCCTCACGCCTACAATATTTACGTTTCCCCAGTCCCTCCCATTCCACATGTTTTTCACCTGTACCGCCAATTTATTAGTTACAACTACCTTGTTTAATAAAGAAAATGTTGGGCATTTCGTTAAAAACGAATCTTACTCATGAAAAATTAGCTTGATAGCAATCTTTTTTAATAATGATATGGGGATGCATATAATAAATTTAAATATACTACTTTCTTAGATTTACGGGAATATTTGACATCTTCTCGGATGATTTCGCGGATTAAATTTGATTTTGGTTCCCAAAAATGGTGGTTTTGGTTTTTGGGAACTAAAAATAAAAAAAAACGTGAAATAATCCGAAAAGATAGTTTTATTTAAAATGTATATATATTTAAAAGTCATTTTGCATATAAACGCCTTTATACTTGTTTGTTTTTCATAGTGATAGACCTAAAGTTCAGTAATCTTAGAGATTAGATTATTCTAAAAGAGCACTTGTATCGAATGGGGACGTCAATCTAATGTTGAAATTAACACGGTGTAACGTTTTACTCAACAATTTGCTGCACTTAATGAATTACCTATACATATAACAATGAAGATATTTATCTAATAAAAAATAACACTGCCAATATATTTTACACATAAAAGTAAAATTGATTAATAATAATGAATTTCACGTTATTAACCACTAGAACCCCGCGTTTTTTGACAAGCAACACCCGTTAAACACCGAGCCCGCTCGTCATTTTTCCCCGATACAACCATTACATAAAAAAACACTTGTAATTCAAATTACCACCAATTTAAAATGTTTTTGCTGCTTTGGGTTTTTAAATAATCTGAGCATTGATGACAATATGTAAAATACAGAATAGTCCTTACTTTAAAAACATGCACCAATAAATCTTGAAAATAAGCCACTGTAATTAAAATTTTGATGGATTTCTTTTATGAGAGAAAAATTAAGGTTATTTTTTACAGACGCTCGTGTTGCATTGTAAATAACGTTTCTGTATATAAATTTAGCTTCAATTATAAAAGAATAACCTAAGCATTATCACATATATGAAAACTTAACACTTTTCATTCAAAAAACTAAACATTTAAACATGTGAAGTTGACTAAAATAATTTCCTAATGATATTTAGATGCGTAGTGATGCACCCAATCACCCATGTAAATGTAAAGTAAACGTGTAAAAACTATCGATTATTTTTATGAACGGCTAAACACACATAAACACAATAACAATTTTTATATTCGTTTATAACAATAAAAAACTAAGTATTTAAAAAATCAAAACAGGTGCAATAAAATAATGTAATTTTTTTGAACAAATTAGATTCAAAATCATTAAATAAAGTGCCACTTTTATAAAAATATGACATGAATAAAATTATTATTATAAAAAATCTAATACAATCGAGAGTTCAAGTTTTGGCACGCAATATCTCTTTTCATGAGTAGTATAACTTGATTTGTATTTTATTGTATTTCTATGACAAATAAGAGACAATTTTTGTTTGTAACAAATGCCCGTAGCTAAAAAGATACCTTAACACAAAAACCACTCGCGTAATATCTTCAAATAATAATTAACGTTAAAAGTATATAAAAAGACAAATGTATATCTCAATTTAAATATTTATATGGTGTTATTTTTGATTAGGTTCATGTAGTTTTATATGCCCCTATCTTTTTATTTTTAAAATAATAATTTTAGAAAGAGAATTTTAATAATATAGCTCTTATAGTTTTAGTTTCTTCTAGTGTTGAACAATGTGCAAAACACTATAAGTACAATATTTGAAACCTTTCAAATGGTACACACTTTCATAAACTATTATTACAGAGTATTTATCATCAGAACAACTCAATCATATACACTACTTCAATAGCTTTTTACACTAACAGTCAAGGAACGCTTATTTTATTTCAGACTAGCGACTCACGCTCGTTTCGCTCCGGCGTGGAATAGAGAATAGACATAACTTCTTTCCCGTAGAAACGAGATAATCTCCCATGGTAAAAAGTAACCTATTTCACTCTCCAGCCCTCTTAATATCTAGACACGAAAACCACGACAATCTGGCATTTTATTTCGACGTGAAAGGAGGACAAACAAATAAATTCAACGTCAAATTGTATATCGTAGAAAGAGAGTGTCAAATATACCAATGCATTCAAATAGTTTACATTAATTGTAAGGTTGCGTTCATTATTGTAATGTAGTAGTAGTAAGGAAAAAGAAAAATGTGATTTTTACGTTTTTCCGTGATATTTTTCTAATTTTTCTCTTCATAATAACCTTCTCCGACGAATATTTGAAGAAAATAAAGAAAATAATTAGGCTAATTAGTACATCCGTTATAGAGTTTTGACCTTAGCAACATTTTGCCATTCATTTTTATTTATATAGATATAGACGAGCGTCTTTGTATTCCTTTTATAGTGTCGTATAATTTGTTTGACTTTGTATTTAGGCTCTTACATATACCTACCATATTTTATAAAACATATGAGTATTTTTTTGCATTTTATTATATATTTATATTTAAATATCGATATTATCGATAGCACATATCGACATGTGTCAACATCTAACTGGTCCTTGATGAGAGTTCAAAATGTCAAATTTGACAGCTCATAGGTATTATTTGTAAATAAACATAATTTATATAAATAAAACTATTGAAATATGCTACAAACAAATAAAAATATGAAATTATATTAATTTTTACTTTAGTCATTTACCTTCATGAGGCACCAAAGCAGAGAATAAAAGTCAAAATTCATGTTAAATAATGGCGACTTATTTTACGAATTTTATATCAAAATTCGTTGGACCAAAAGACTAATTTTATAACGTGATTATACACTTATTAGTATCTCAATAGTCGCAAAAAATTGTAACAATAAATATTCATACGTTTACGGCACAAATTCACTACTTTAAATTTTAACTTTTAAAGTTTGCGTGTATCACTCATTCAGTATAAAATAAACTAATTTCGTGGTGTAATCAGTGATAAAAGTGCAGCGGGTGAGGTGGTGCCTGTAGGCACCAACGGGGTTTGACGGTAACGCCGGAAGTGGTGCCTATAGGCACCAGCGGGGTTCAAGTGGTTAAAGGCAATTAATAATGAACCCCCTTTGGGCTTTGCCACATTTGGGTAAAAAGGACCTATGTTTAAATTATAAAAGTAAGAATCAATTTGTCTGCAATGGCATCTTTTCAGGGAAATACTTATCTCTAAAAACTTTGTTTCTAACTTTTTCAAATTGCAGGGTGTTTTCCTACATATACGAGAATTCAAAGAAAAAAAACAACATTTAATTAAAACTGAAACTTGTCTGGTCATAAACTCACAAAACAAAATATACTTAAGAAAATTATAAAATAAAATAATTTTACAAGCATTTTATTATTCTATAAAATATTATGAGAGTAAAGTCAATTACAAAGCTAATTTGAAAAATGCAAGACGTTATAAGTTGCTGGTAGAGAATGATTAATGTACAATGAGGGGACATTGAGCAATTGGCAAGCGAGCGTACTTCTATTCTCTATAACTTTATTCACTTATACACTAGTGATTGGACTTGTAGTGGTCTTCCTTAGGGATTTAATCCACACCTCGATTAAATAACAGCCTGTTCTAAAGGATTGTCTAAATTTTTAGCATAAAGCATTTTTTGCAGGGCTCGGAAACCCGTTCAATTTTTAAACCGTTTTAGTGATTGACCCCAAACCCAAAGTATGCTCTTCGGTTTAAGGTTTCGGTTATTTTCTTTAACCGGTTAAAAACCCCTTTACTTGACGAATTTAGGTTACATGATCGAAAACTAACCGGTTAAAATGACTTTTTGTGTGTTTATATTTAGCGAATTTTTACTAATGGTGACTTGCTTAGTATATAGATACAATATGTAAGTTACTGGAATTAACCAGTTTATTTCAGTATCAAAACCTAAGCTTAATCTTTCTCAAAGAACAACCGTTAAGCATTATTATTTTGGTTCAATAAGCCGTTCCTTTTTATTAAACGGATACTAGTACTCAATCCGTAATATCTGTATTTATTAAAATTATAAATGTGAAAGTTTGTGAGTATATATGGATGTTTGTTACTCTTTCACGCCAGAACGGCTGAACTGATCTGGTTGAAATTTGGCACAGAGATAGATTATAGGCTGGAATAACACACGGGCTACTTCTTATCCCGGAAAAATGTGCGATTCCCGTGGTTTGTTTTTGTTATCATAGAGGGTGAGCCGCTAGTATATAATATTTGTTAGCTTCAGTCTGCAGTTCTGGGCGTCTACTTACGTATTATGTACTACTTTACTTTAATCTAGTCAGTAAGTAAACTATTGTGACCCCTATTATATACGGGTTCACGTAGTATTAATAGCTTAAGCTTAAATCTTTTATGTTGATCAAATGCGTAGTTTTTGACTACTATTTGTACATTTCTTTAAGCCCTCAGCATATAAACGTGCTTTTTTCTACCGCACAGCAATAATTATTTAGTCTTTTAACGTTATTATTTTATACTATAAATATTTGTCGAAGTCAAAACATTAAGAATTATTTTATATTCAAAATACATAACCTGTACTATCAAAAGGAATCGAAATAAGTCAATTTCACATTAAATTAACAAAAAAATAAAAACCGACTTCAAACAAAAGCACTAAAAAGTAAAAAATAACTGATTGGTAGTTTTCATTTACTATACATACCTAATCAAATATTTTTGAAGTCGGTGTGCTTTGCTTTGTATGGGCTGGCACCGATTTCGAAAATATTTGATTAGGTATGTATTTAATAGGTAGGCTTTAATTACTTAGCCAAAGCACACCGACTTCGAAAATATTTGATTAGGTATGTATAGTAAATGAAAACTACCAATCAGTTATTTTTTACTTTTTAGTGCTTTTGTTTGAAGTCGGTTTTTATTTTTTTGTTAAAAAGTTTTTATTTTTCCCTTTTTAGTGTAGACAGTAGTAGCAAAGTAAGAATTCTAGTGTGTTAGTTAGGCTTGTCAAATCAAACAAAATAAGCCCAAACTCAAAGTCTCAACTATTAGCCGTTGAAGAGTTCCACCTATCCACCTTCTGGCCTTACCATCAGATCAGGTCAACAATATCGAACCACTGTACTATCAACGGAAATAGAAACACTTGCAAAGTTTCAAGTCAATATGACAATTAGAAGTAGGCTAAACTCATCATTAGCTATTTTTCCACCTTAGGGGTGGTATTTTTTTTTTTTTTGAAATTTAAATGGGACCAATCTGGAAGTATACACTTTCAAACAACACAAAAATTGTCCAAATCGGTCAATAAATGACCGAGTTCTGAGGTAACAAACATAAAAAAAAACAGTCGAATTGAGAACCTCCTCCTTTTTGAAGTCGGTTGAAAAATTCACACCGATTGTGAGCATTAATACTTACAAAATTCCAAATTGATACGACAATTAAAATTAGTTTATTTACATCATAGGAAAATGTTAAATATAAAATGAAATGTTAAAATGTTTTAGAGTATATAGGATATATAATCGAATATGGAGCTATTAACGGTATCAAAATCTATACTATGTTACATCATAAGGTTCTATAGTAATCTGATTACTACTATGATTAGTAAAATTTGTGTGTATGATCGTCACTACTTTACGCTGAAACGGCTGGATTGATCTGGATGAAATTCAGTATACAGATATACTATGAACTTGAGTAAAACATAAGTCTGTCTGGCACCTAGGGATGCACCTGAGCGAAGCTATTGTAAGTGGCTAGTCTATACATAAAATATAGTCTATACATAAACTAAGCCGAATCTGTATATTAAATATTTTTTGGAAAATCTAATTGAAATAGACATTATTATCAATACAGAGGCCAAATCTAGTTTTTAGAATTTTTGTCTGTCTGTTACCGCATCACAGAAAAACCATCGGAGGAATTTTGATGAAATTTGGTATGGTGATAGCTGGTTATCCGGGTCAACATAAAGGATACTTTTTACCGCAGAAAAATGTTACATTTCTGAGAAAAATATACAAAAACTGCAATGTAAGAGTATACTAATATGTAAAACCTAAGAATTTGGTTTTTGGTCATTTGAACGCGGGCAGTGCTAGTTATCTATATAATTATACAGTATGAGTTTAAATATGTAATAATTAGCGAAAAATGCTAAAATTGAAAGCTGCACTATACATTTTTACTCTATTTTAAATAAGATTTAAAAATCATGGTTCTCATTATGCTCGATTTTATTCAAACTCCATAAAGACAACATATATCTAAGAAGATATTATTAAAATACAAATATTTAAGATATTAATACAAAAAGTATTTGAGTATAACTTTTAAAATAAATGAACTCATCAATAATTTAGAGATTAATACAAGGAATTGGACACTATTATATTATATATTGTATAAGACTAACCTTCCCAATATTTCTAGAAGCTCTCCCACGCCGTTGAAATGTTCAGTTTCATAAACAAATCTAAGGAAAATATTGTTGATTTGTTTTCGTATGAAGGCTCGGAGACCCAAAAACTTGCCGTAGATGCGGTGCAGAACGGTCTTCAAAAAGTCACGTTCGCGAGGGTCCTCCGAGTCGAACAAATCTAAGAGCTGTCAAAACAAAACATCATTATAATAACATATTTCACTTTTATAGTACTCTAATAAGCATACAAACATATTTTATCTTGATAATATTGTTTTCTATGGCGATGGAGTAGAATAACGCGTTTCATATTTCACTTGCGTTCACTTTCCTCCTACACAATAGGAGGCGTAAAATCTTCTCAAGTTTGTATCAATTAATTAATTATTATTTTTACGAAGTAATATAATATATGTACATACATATTATGTAGTTTATATTTTATATATTACGCCTAATTTACCTCACGTAGAAGGGTTGTAGTTATGATAGATTCCTTAAATAATTTGGGTATCTATACTAATATTATAAAGCTGAAGAGTTTCAATAGATAGCCCGTTTATTGAGGAAGGCTATGTTATGTTATCATGCTACAACCCATGGGAGCAGTAATTATAAATGCCAACAAATCGGGCAGACTTTCATACATTATTGTAAAACGATAGATATATATTATACAAATACATATGGACGAACCCGAGCGAAGCGAATGCGAGTCGCTAGTATAAAAATAAATATATTATTTTTTTATAATAAAAGACCAACAAACTTTAACACTCTATATATTTCAGATTCCTTGCTGGCCAATGGCAATTACTAATTAATATTTACCAGATTTATACAGTTTCGAAACATTCAAGAAATATTTTAGGAGTTACTGAGTATTAATTACTATAACATGTAAAGATTTTGTTATAAATATAAAAATGATTTTCAACTAAAATCAATAGTCTTATCTAAGTAAGACATAGACACAGATAAGTAATAAGAAATCTCTCAATAAGTAAAACACTCTCTTACAAAAAAAAGATTAGTTTCAATATATTAGAATTCATATAGCAACTAGTTTTAGCCGTCAGCTCTTATATATACAAGACTTCCCATGACCAACCTATCCTACCTACTATGCAGAACAATAGTTTTAGTATTTAAATAGTTTTTGTTAGATATGGCAATATCCTATAAAGATGTTTGTTTCATTTGTGTTTATTTATATCTCTTTACCGCTTTTCTAATAAGTATTAGTTAGTTTTCGCAATTATATAATAACAAGTCGTAAATATTTTATAGTAAAACTAAACAGATATTACATAATATATAAGATTTTGAATCTTAAAATCAAAACGCTGAACAAATCATTATTCACAAAATCCATACTTAGTAAGTCCTAGCTACTTATCATTCTTTATAAACGCGATAGTTAAAAGTCGATATATTTACCTGCAATACAAATTTCTGGTCGATGACCTTCTTGCCAATGGTGGGCTGGAAATCGGTAGACTCGAGGAAGCGCAGGAAGAACTCGTAAACTAGCTGAAGGTGCGGCCACGAGGCCTCCAACGTCGGGTCGTCTTCCTCTGGATCGAAGTCAGGATTTTCACTTGGCGGCAGAGTGCGGAATAGGTTCGCCGATATCTGTTCACAATATTATTATATATCATTAAGTATATTCATATGAACATTTAAAAACATGTAAATATAATTAGAAATAGTGTGAATCAAAAATTAATGTAAATATAGCAGAAACATAAAACCCTATACCATATATATTGTATCTGAAAATATTTAGTTAATAATTTCAGTACTTTTGCATTATATAAACTTTATATATATGTATTATGTATAAAATGAGATAATTCATGTAACAAAATACAAAAGTCAGTTCGAAATTAATAGTACTTTTAAATATTTAAAAAATAAAAATTACAGTTTATGAAATATTTTTTATCTATATAATTGTTATGTAACTCCAAGATGAACATTTATGTATTATTATTCAAATGTTAACTCGTCTGACTTATTTAACATAATATGTAGTCATACGCATCTATTCTTAGAGATAAAATATGGGGTTGGAAGCTAATTGCTATATGTAAAAATGCATATTAGAATGATTTTTCCAACTTTATGTAAATGAATAAATCCGAAATATGTACTAGGAAATGTACGAGACATTAGGCCGATTTTGATTTTAACTAAACTGATTTTCTCTAGCCTAGCATATATTATTGATCAAGTTGGAAAGAGTACTATGTACTTTTATTCTTATTTTATACTTAGCTTATCCCAGCCCCCAGTCACTTTACTTTTATCTGACACTTCCCGAAACTAGCCATATTAGCTCGAAACTAACCGTATTAAGTTCTAAATTATTTATTTATTTTTTTGGCTGAAAAATATTATTTTCCATACATAAATACTATCTCATTTTTCAATCTTTACCATCAAAATTACAAAAAACCCTTTCTTAGCGGTTAATTACATCATTAAAGGATAGACTGTCGTAACTTTACTCTAGCATCTGTAGCACTATATACTGAGCGACACGACTTCATGCATTATTACTCGTGTGTATTAAACATAGATTTGCATCATAATGTTTCATCTGAACGGGTGCGCAACTTAGACCAGCTTGGCAACTGGCTTCCCTCAAGGCGGCGGATCCCTACTTCATGCATTAAAAATAAACAGCAGTAAATTTGATTTGGACGTGAATTGCTATTATTTTGGATATCGCATTTTCGATTCATGTTTATGAATGAAACCTTAAACAGAATAAGTAGAACTTGACCTATGACCATGATTGCTGTAAAGCATTCGAAACGTCGAGAAAATCAAAATAAATCAGCGAAAAATTGTTAAAGATACATAGCTTTATTTAAAAGGTAGAACATTTCTAATGTAAGTGTTAAAATCTGTCTCATGACAGTCAATCAATTTTTCAAACCGATAACTGTCATGATTATACTAGGAATAAACAAAAGCTATAATATAACGAGTTGAGATCACCTAATCTAATAGATATTTAATTGTAATGAAATATGTACCTGTTGATGATGTAAGCATTAATTTATTTAAAAATAATTATTTAAGTATTAAAGTGGTAGATTATAGTTTATTATACATCTATACTAATATTAAAGAGGAAAGATTTGATTTTTTGTTTATTTGTACTGAATAGGCTCCGAAACTACTGGACCGATTTAGATGAAATTTGGTAAAATAGTTTGAGACCCTGGGAATAACACAGGATAGTTTTTATCCCGGAAATCATCCCTAAGGGAGTGAAAATGGGAAAGAAATTTTGTACAGGGAATCAACCCAGGGATAAACCCGAGCGAAGCGAGGGTGAGTCGTTAGTAATATATAATTTAACATATGTCATTGTGTACTAATTCCTTGTAACATTTAGTAATGAAAAATGTATTATTGAGGTGATTATGTGACCATATTTAGAAGAAAAAATTACTATTTTGAATAAAGAAAACCTTACCAGACCATATTTATCCATCCGCTATATTTTTCTTAAGTATATGGTACTTATTTAAACATGCGACAAAAATTATCATGCTTTTCAGAAACCACGCTAAAATATTGAGTTGTTTATAGATCTTTTCACTTTTTTTTAAATACAATTAATATAACAAGTATTAAAAAATAATAGTAAAAACTTCAAAATTTTTAAGTTTGTATGAAAAAGTTAAAACTGTAGCTGTTTATTTTGTAGAAGTTATTTCATGATTATTAATCAATGATTTTTAAACAAAGATTAACATAAAGAAATATGTTGAGACATTAGCATGCAGCACCATCTACTTCTATGGCGTTTGTTATGGATACCAGATATTAAATACATACATATTATAAACACCCATAACTGGAGTAAAAACATTCATGCTTGTGCAATACACAAATGATTGTCTTCAGCGGGAGTTGAACCCGTAACCACTGCCACAGCAAGTAGGGTCACTACAAACTGAGGCAAATGTGTCGTCGAAAGTTTATATAAGTAAAAAGTGAAATTCCTTTTTGAATTTTTCATATCTTATTTTTTAAAGTGTTAAGACATGTAGACAGTTTTAAAGTTTTATTAATTATCTAAAGCTCCCTACATGCAACAAATTTTAATGTTGTTCTAATACATATATTTATTTCAACTTATATAATACATTCTTGATAAAGATCACAATTCTAAATTCCATTATCATTTGATATGGAAATTGTTTTTGTTTAGCAAATAATTGACCAAATTAAATCAAAGATTTGATTTTTTGTTCATTTGTTTGTACCAAATAGGTTCCGAAGCTATTGAACCAATTTGGATGAATTTTGGTAAGAAGATAGTTTAAGACCCTGGGAAAAACATAGGATAGTTTTTATCCTGGAAACTATCCCTTATGAGAATGGAAAAAAGAAGAAGAAAAGAAGAAGGGGGTGAAATGAAGGATGAAAGATTGTTTGAGGAAGTAACATAGGGACGAACCCGAGCGAAGCGAGGGTATGTTTCTAGTAATAAATAAAGAGCATAATACCATTTTAATTATCTCAGGATACACAGGTTCAGTGAGCACTCCACGCCCAGGAGTGATGTACTCTACAAGCTCATTAAGTGTGGCACGCTTAATCTCTTTTCCCTTAACATCGGCCACAGGATCCATGAAGTCAAAAGCAACACAGCATTGTCGCAATTTGCGAATAAAAAGTTCCTCTTGCTCACTGGTGGGGACATCTGAAAAATAAGAGTGAAACTTGTAAATTTTTAAGTGTTTAATTATGTATAAATTTACATTAGATATCTTTAATTGTAAGAAAATTGGTAAGTTTTTCCTGTAATATATATACAATAAACTTTATGTAAAATTCTATAAAAAATGAATGTTATACCTCCTTCTTTAAAAAAGTATGTGAGATCAAAATTTCATCAACATTTTATTTATAAAATTAACCTTGATAGGAATAAGTTTGGTCAGTAGATATCTAAACCACTTAGACATTAATTTATAAAATAATTTTCATGATATGTTTATTAGACATAAATATGTTGGAACTTTTTTTCATATTATAAGTACAACATTCAAATATTAGCAAAAAAGACCCAAAGAAACATCTACCCTGAAAACCATATGTAATATTATTATTGTTTTTAGTATTTGCAGGTAGATAGGGTAAGTAACATCATAGTTAAAAGTATAATCCATTTGTATGTTTAAAAATTAACAAATACCATATTTATTGTTAGAAACATTAACAACAGATTGCCACCTTTAGTTAGAATTTGATAATATATAGGATAAATTTTAAAAGACATTTAGCAACTTTAACATAAATGTCATTAATATTATTGTATCATAACAATCATGAGTTCATCCTATTGGAGATGTACTTATCATGTAACTTAAAAATAATTTATTATATTACACCATTAATGTTTTGAATTATTAAAACTAAATATTTAAGAGTCAAAACAGTATTATATGTTGCTTTCTTAATATTTGAATAAAAAATGTATAAATGTAATCTAATAAGGAATAAAATGGTTATGACTATCTGTACAGCAACATTTTTAGCAAATTGAAATGGATTCTAACTTATTTGGTTCCCATAAAAGTAGATAAGAAAATGAGCAAAGTGTCAAACAAACCTTTTAGCAGAGGCAGTGCCTGAAGCTCCACATCTTGCGTATTGCGATACCGTGATGATCCTTGAGACTTCTTAGTCTTTTTCTTCACTGATCGCTTTGCGAAAGGGTCAATCCTATCCACAAACGTTCCCGAAGACATTTTGCTAATATAAAAGTGTCCGATATGACAATATCTCGTGAACAATCAATGCAAAACTTGTTTTGATTCGGATAGATTCATGATCAATTCCAATCTACGAATCAAACGCGCACTTGGAGTAAAGTCGCAGCAAAATATTAGATCCTAAACAAACATTCCTTCGTCACACATGACGGTAATGGAGTAGTCACACTCAGGCCATTCTTTAATACACTAAGATTCCACAACAGTTACGTAATTTTTAAACGTCTTTATCACAAAAACGACACAATAACAAAATAGAATAATTCCATTCACAAAATTAAGTTTTATTTTCTGAGGCGTGTCACTAATACCAGAAGGCAGAAGTCACATATACATACAAGCCTCGTGTAATATCAGCCGGTCAGTCGATGACAATATAATTTTTTCAACAATAATCGTCGAAATATTTAAATATTCAGAATTATTAACACGGAAATCGTTAAAATCAATCAAATATTGTCCTCCTTAGATGTAGTACAAAACTAAAAAGGCGATGACACAGAGTAAATTTTTAACACCAAAAATCTATCACCGTATTCTCGCCATCGCTCACCATCCGTTTTGATTCAGACAGTGAAACAAGACGCATTTTAATGTTAGGCACGGAAATAACTCGATTGCTTGCACTTCCACAAGAGAAATTAAAAATTTCTGCGACTTTTTCCGCTGAGACAAACGATCAATTTACAAAAGGTATCTAGTTTTAAAGGATAATCATCACTCGTTTTGCAGCGAAAACGCCAGCACTCAAAAGTACCTATTTCTGAAAATAGATGGAGATATAAAAATGTTCAGATAAACAAACGACGTACTTTTAATAACAAAATAAATGAGAACTAGTGTAAATGTCCTCTAAATACATAAAAAAATATTTATTTAATTAAAAAAATAATTACTATAGCTAATTTCTAGAATTATATGATATAATTATAAATAATAACAACTTACGTTTTCCAACGGAAATAGTATTTTTATTAGATATATAGGTTATATTATCGAAGCGTTCTTGTAAGAAAACAGATAGTATAATGGATGTTTGATAAATTAAGATTAGTTACCAAATATTTTATTTGTTGTAATAATAATAAGTAATCAATTTATTTTGAGAAATATATGCATATATCCAAAAATAATAACATTTTGTTTCGTATATTTTTATACTTCATTTTTTACTAGAAAACAAACGTAGGCTTTAACAATATTAAAAATATATTATTTCGTGGTGAATTTGAATTATCCTACTTATTTTTGCATACAATTTTAATTATTTTAAGTTAAAATTTTTATTTAATTTTTTTTAGTTATCTTTAAACGATAGACAGATAGAGTTCATTGAAATAAAATCCAATATTTATATTATCTATGTTGTGTGGGTACTTACGTTGAGAAAGTAGCTTTCTAAATTTTTTGGCGTCTTGCTTGCTTTCGAATCAAGCATTCTATATTTTCTTGAATTTCATATCTCGACGTATTTCAGTTCAAATTTTGTTTTTAGTGTGAAGTGTTAATAAAGAACCCTATAACCGTTAGTGGAAGACTAATTAGAAAGCAACATGGAAGCCCTGACAGTTCCGCCATGAATGCAAAATAAATAGAAATTGTGAAGGTTCAGTATATTATTATTTGAATAAACATTGAACAATAGCTACAACAACTATAAATAATAACCACATAAAACTTTTAATTCAATGATACATTATTCCAAACTTAACTGTGCACGAAAATCAGTTTTTAGCGCTCCCTATTTATGCGCACGACACAGAGAAGGAAGTTATTAACATTCAATAATATCTTATGAATCTTTAGCTCCCTTATGGATAAAAAATTCTATTGATTATATATGAATTAAATAGGAATAATAATGCATACAGAGCTCTCTTATTTTGTAGCTTTTATTTTAATTAAAATACTTTTAATATTGTGCTGTTTATTTTGCATTTTCTTGAAATATATATAAAATATAAGCCTAAATGTAATCAAGTTTGTTTACAGTAGATATGTATATGAAATGAAGTAGTAATGTTTTTTTTAATGTAAAAACACACGACTAATTATATTTGTTGCTTTTGATTTCAGAAGCAAGAAGTTGGTGAAGATAGGCTAGAAACTTCACAATGTTGAGAGGTGGGCGCGGTGGCCGTCACAGTCCAGAGCTGTACCCCCACACACTCAAGTGCTCCAATGCAAGTGATACTAGCTCTGCATATAGTGGAAGTGACACCATGACCTCTGTGCACAGTTCTTTAGATATGGATATGGAGGTGGACCTTTCAGGTCTCCTCGAATCTATAGTCGATTCAGATGAAGAAGAAGATTTGGAAGAGAGTATGGACAGTCTGACTGTTCGTGATGCTGTGAGAGAGTGTCTGGAAAAAGACCCCAGCGAAAGAACTGATGATGATATTGAAATTCTTTTAGAGTTTACCCAGCACTTGAAAGCCTTTACAAATATGACCTTAACAGTGCGGAGAGCATTGTGTGCTGTAATGGTATTTGCTGTTGTAGAAAAAGCTGAGACAGTTGTTATGAATGATGGCGAAGAACATGATTCATGGTCAGTTCTTATCAATGGTCAAGTTGGAATAGAACACCAAAATGGAGAAATTGAATATCTTAATGTTGGAGACAGCTTTGGTATGGCAGAAGCTACTTTAGAAAAATTATATCATAGAGGGGTAATGACTACTAGATGTGATGATTGTCAATTTGTATGTGTAACCCAAACAGATTATTATCGCATCTTACATCAAGGTGAAGAAAACATAAGGAGGCATGAAAATGAAAATGGTGTGGTAGTATTAGTTACTGAGTACAGAGGTGCTGCTGGAGAATCTGGACATCAACAAGGACATGTAGTCATTAGAGGGACACCTGAACATTTAATGTTACAGCTAATAGAAGATAACTCTCGTGACTCTACTTATGTTGAAGATTTCTTATTAACGCACAGAACTTTTATAGAAACACCTCTTGTTGTTGCTAAACAATTGCTTGCCTGGTTTACTGAACCTTCCGTTCGTGACAAAGTAACACGAGTAGTGTTATTATGGGTGAATAACCACTTCACTGATTTTGAAACAGATCCAAACATGATGGAGTTTTTGGAAAATTTTGAAACTGTTCTAGAGTGTGAGAAAATGGATAGTCAACTTAATTTATTAAATATTGCTTGTTCTGCTAAAGCTCGTACTAGAAGTGTCACACTTTCTCGACCCTCTAGGGATGAACCACTTAATTTTACTATTTTGGGAGGCTATGAAAGAGGATATGGAATATTTGTGTTAAAGGTAGAAAAACATTCAAAAGCTGAAGATGTTGGATTAAAAAGAGGGGACCAAATTATTGAAGTTAATGGTCAATCTTTCCGCCATGTCAGTCAGGCAAAAGCTATGGAAATTATAACGGGTTCAACACATTTAAGCATCACAGTAAAAAGTAATTTATTATCATTTAAGCATATGTTATTAATGCCTGAAAACTCTCCTAGACAAAGAGGTTGTACTAATATGGTACGTTGGCAGACAGATCCAAGAGCAAGACTCTCTACAGCAGAACTACTTAGTGATGATCCCCTCACTTTAACACCAGTTTTCCAGTCACCTACCAAAAAACCTCAACAAATTAATATCAAAAAAGAACCACAGAAAGGTTTTATGACACTAGGCCCTAAAAGAAGATTACAGAAAGCTTTAATGAAAATGAACATTCTACCAAAAAATACAATCACTGATGGTATTCATAACGATGACAGTATTCTCTCCAATTCAGAATCTTTAAACAAAGCCACTAGCACCTCATTCTACAATTCACACAGTAATCCAGATTTGATATCTATTTGCTATGATGAATATCAGTCTTCTGATTATCCTGAACATGTTCTTAAAGTATATAGAGCAGATCAAACATGCAAATATTTATTAGTACATAAAGAAACAACAGCTAGAGAGGTTGTTATGCTTACTTTACAAGAATTTGGTATTACTGATCCCAGTTCTAATTTCTCTCTGTGTGAAGTTTCAGTAGCTCAAGGAGGTATAATAAAGCAACATAGGCTACCTGATCAGTTAGGCAATCTTGCTGAACGCATAGGTCTAAGTTCCAGATATTATCTAAAAACGAATGGTGTAAGTGAAACTTTAGTACCTGATGAGATGGCGCCAGAACTTCTCAGAGAAAGTGTAGTGCATTTCTTGCAGCTAAATGCTGTCGAAGTAGCTGTACAGTTAACATTGCAAGATTTTTGTATTTTTCGACAAATTGAAAGCACAGAATATGTTGATGACCTATTTGAATTGAAGAGCAGATACGGTACACCAATGTTGTCACAATTTTCTGGACTTGTCAATAAAGAAATGTTTTGGGTTGTAACTGAAGTAGTCAATGAACAAAATCTTGTAAGAAGATCAAAAATAATTAAACAGTTTATAAAAGTAGCTCGTCATTGTAAAGAATGTAAAAATTTTAACTCAATGTTTGCTATAATATCTGGATTAGGGCACGGAGCTGTATCAAGACTGCGTATGACGTGGGAGAAACTACCCACAAAGTATAATAAGCTTTTCTTCGATTTACAAATGCTAATGGATCCTTCAAGAAATATGTCAAAATACCGCCAACTAGTGACGACTGAACAAGGCAGATCCCCAGTGATACCATTTTACCCAGTGGTCAGAAAAGATTTGACATTTATCCATCTAGGCAACGATACAAAGGTAGAAGGGATGGTCAATTTTGAAAAACTCAGAATGATTGCTAAAGAGGTAAGAACACTCACAAATATGTGCAATGCACCATACGATCTACTTACATTACTAGAGTTGGGAAAACAACCACCATCTAATGCTATGGTAGCACTGAATCAGCTCACCACTGGGGTACAACAAGGGCAAGTTACAGTAAAAAGAAGGAAAAAATCTTCAAATGTTCCCAACCCAAAAAAAATGTTTGAAGAAGCACAAATGGTACGACGTGTCAAAGCATATTTAAATCGTATGCATGTCGAAACAGATGAAGAACGGCTTCATGCGTTATCGTTAGAATGCGAAGGTTCCGGGCCCGCTCCAATGGTTCCGCGTCGGCGACATCCGTCACCTTCTCTTTCGACCACAAGCAGTGCCTCCTCAGCCAGCGAAAGTAAAAAAAGCTTTGCGGGAAATAAATTCGGCGCTGCCTCCCCGCAGGCAGTTCGAAAGTTGCTCGCTCTTTCCGAGCCGGCTAAAACTAGGCCACATCAACCGAGACCGCCGCCCCCCGGCCCGTCTCCGTGCTCGCATCGGCGGGACGGGCCAGGCCCGGGTATATGCTGCTCTCGGGCGGCTCACGAGAGATCTCACTCGGACACGCCAACGCCGCTGCCCGTAGACCTGTCTGCGGAGAGCAGCAGTGTGACATCGCTAGTGAACTTGCCATTGAGGAAGACGGGGTCCGCGACGTCGAGCGACAGTGGACACGGCTCGTGCACGACTACGAGCTGCGTGCGGCCCGTGCCGCCGCCGCGCATGCCCTACACGCTGGCGGCGCAGGTCGCACGCCTCGAGCGGCTAAGCCGCGCGCACTCGCACGAGGGCGTCACCCGCCCCTACGACTACTACCACGACGCGCCAGATGACGAGGACGACGACCAACAGGTCTCCGCTGTTTGAACTTTTAAATACTCTTTATTGACATCTATTTATATAGAACTTTTGTAATCTCACTTGACGACTAGAGAGCACGAGTTACATACGTTTTTCTTATATTATATCATTATTAATATTGTGTATGTACCCTTTACAATTAAGTTTAAAGACTGTATAATTTTAACGTTTAATTAAATCATCCTAGTGTTACATAGTGTAAAATGAATATGTTGTAAGCCATGCCTCTATTAATTAATATAAATTATTAAAATTATTGTGACCCACCATGTTCCAGTTATATTATGTAGAGATGTTTAGTGTGTAGCATTAATGGTGATTTGTTTCATATTATGCGACTTTCGTATTTTTTACATTCCGTTGTTTGTATATTTTTATAACTTTCATTATTTATAAAAAGCAACTTAGACCAAATAATAATTAATGTACCTTTTAATATTTACGACTCGAGATTGATTTAATGATATTTGTATGTAGAATTTTTGGTAGCTTTGAGGACCAATAATGAGTTTGAATGGTATTTCTTATTGTAGCGATTCGTAATTCGTTTATGTCATGATTTTAATTAATTATTGTAATTGTAAATAATAAAACTATATAATTAAATACTTCAAAAAATGTTTATTTAAAACTTATAAATAATATCTTATTCAACAATTTATGTTGTCGTGAGTAATTTTTGGCATTTGTAGCCAAATAAATAATTATATGAAATTGATTTTTCTTTTAATATTCGAATCCGGTGATTCCGTAAATGCTGCATTACTAGTTTCTAAATTGGGCGAGGTAATCTACTTCGAGTGGGTGCAAGTTTGGCGCGGGCAGTACAAGGCTATGTAACGGTGGTCCGAGTTCTAAGTGTTGCATCTCGTTTAAAGACATTGCTACAATTTTTTGATCAGAAGCGCCCACTCTCGATAATCCAACTGCTAAACTCTTCTTACTGATAACTGAAAAAATAAACAATATTGGCCTTAATAAGATATGCATGATTACATAATAATTATTTGAATATCGTAAATTTTAACGAAAATAGGAACAATTTAGAATCTAGGTAGGTACATAAAAGATAGAAATGATAAATTAAAAACTTTGAAATCCTGGCTGTGATTCTAATCCTCAACTATTACGAGGAATAATTCCTCGTAAAAGTCTTAACTGTCGGTTAGATTAACTGTCAGTTAAATAAACTGTCGGTTAGCGTAACTGTCAGCTTAGCCGTTAGCTTGACTGTTTATATCTCAACTGTTAGTTAGCTTAACTGTCAGTTACCTTATCTGCCGGTTAGATTAACTGTCAGTTACCTAAACTTTCGGTTAGCGTAACTGTCAGTTAACGTAACCGTTAATTAGCTTAACTATTAGTTATTTCAGCTGTTAGTTAGCTTAACTGTTGGTTAGCTTACCTGTCGGTTATGTTAACTGTCAGTTACCTAAACTGTCGGTTAGCCTAACTGTCACTTAGATTATCTGTCGGTTAGCTTAACTGTCGATTACTTTAACTGTTAGTTAAATAAACTGTCGGTTAGCGTAACTGTCAGTTAGATTAACCGTTAATTAGCTTAACTGTTAATTATTTCAGCTGTTAGCTTAACTGTCGGTTAACTTATCAATCGGTTAGCTTATCTGTCGGTTATCTTAACTGTCGGTTATGTTAACTGTCAGTTAAATAAACTGTCGGTTAGCGTAACTGTCAGTTAGCTTAACTATCGGTTAGCAAACATTCAGTTAGCTTAACTGTCAGTAAGCTTTACTGTCGGTTTGCTTAACTGTCAGTTAGCTTAACCGTTAATTAGCCTAACTTTTTTTTTATAGTCGGGAAATGCATTTACGCATACCACCTGATCCCCCAGGTGGTGATGTGGGGCTCACCGGCTAGAAGAGCCGGTACTACCCACTAAAACGCGTTTTAGTGGGTAGTACCGGCTCTTCTAGCCCTTAGCTCTAGACATCCCTTCCCCCCGCCTCAATGGGACGCCGCAGGATCGCTTGCGCATAACTACTACGGCGCTCCGGCGGCAGGTCTGCCTAAGCGCTAGGCAGAATACCACCAAACCAATGAGGCTGCTCCACAGTCAACTCTGCTACGCCAGAGAGGTATCCGGAGCAGCCTCATTATACCTAATCTCCGCCCACCGAAGTGGGCCACCTCCAATCGGCTGCAGAAGACAGGGAGAGCGGCAGCGAAACACCGACACTCCTCTTCCCCTGCAGCCCCACCGCGTCCGCCATCAAACGGTGGCGGCCCCGTCTAGGCCGCGGAAGGTAGGGAGAACGGCGCACCGAAATACCGGCACTCCTCTCCCGCCTCGGCCTACCTCTCCGCCGGATGCGGGCCTGCGACCACAGTCCCGCAACCGGCACCCATCATCCGGCTGTGGGACCAAACGGTCCCACCACCGGTGGCCGCAACGCCTTCGGCTCGAGGCCTAGACGAGCGGCCCCACCCAAGCCATTTGGTCCGCGCCGGATTTCTTCGGTACCACCCGCCGCCCTAAGCTAGTGGCATTCCCCTATCCGCCACCTGGGGACGCGCCCGGTAGGAGTTGGCTTCTCCCCCGGGATTAATTAGCCTAACTCTTAGTTATCTTAACTGTTAGTTAGCTTAACTGTCGCTTAGCCTAACTGTCTTTTAGATTAACTGTCAGTTAACTTAACCGTCAGTTAGCTTAACTGTCGGATAGCTTAACTGTCCGTTGCTTAACTGTCATTTAGCTTAACCGCTAGTTAGTTTAGCTGTTAGTTAGCTTAACTGTCGGTTAGCCTAACTGTCGGTTAGATTAACTGTCAGTTAACTTAACTGTCAGTTAGCGTAACTGTTAGTTAGCTTATATCCATAATAATAGATAGATTAGTTAATTTAGTAATAATCTATTATTAAACTATGCTTTCCAGAGTCATGCAATACGCATGTCTTTTTATATAATATACAATACAAAGAAGTTTTATGCGTCTTAGTTGCATAGATATTTATAAATAAATTGTCTAAAATCTATACATATGATGATATCAATTGTAATTTTTTATTGTTAAAAAAGTATTTTGTAGAAGTCAAGAATGTTTAAATTTTTCTCTATCTATGCGTCTGTCAACGCAATAGAAATAAATAAAAGATTCAAACATATTCATTCATTTGTATTCATAAAATTCTAGGAAATGCATTAATTGCCAAAGAATGATTAGAAAAAAAATATTGTATTAAAATCAGCCAGTAATTGCTTAGAATAAAATTTATATTTTGAGCCCCATATAAAAAATTTATTTCATTGCAAGTACGGCTTGAATTTGTTGCACGCGTTCTTTTTAAAGGTAGGGGTCAGAACTAAGTGGGCTTATAATATATTTGAATGTTGTATGAACATGAAAATTATATATTAAGAAAGCAAATATCACGGTGAATGGTATTCTTTAAGCGAGCAATTCTTGTATATATATATATAAAATTACTTTATTAAATAATAAACAGCAAGCTACAAGTGTGGCTCTCACTTGAAGGTATACTGCGTTGAATGGATGTGTTTTGGAATCTTTCAAGCATCTGACCTATATTTGGTTTTAATAAACTCTTGTTTCTCGCCAACTACCTTCTCTTTACTTAAGACTTTTGGGCCAATGCTCTTAGCATTGGCGTCCTTTAAATGTCCTCCCACTTTGGCACATCGTTTGATTCCATGCTACACAGTAGATAAGGGAAGCAGCATTCATGATCTTTTAAATTTCCTTAAAAATTTAAAACGCGTTGGTAGAAACGCTATCGTGTTTTGGGTGGTAATGTTAAGACAGATCCTTGTTTTAGCGGCGAGATGCTTATCATCACAACCCTGAATTAAGCATAGGACAGGTTGACAGCCATCTCCTCCTCTTTCTACTTTTCTTAGAAAGTGCATGTAGCATGTACTTTAGTTTTTCTCATCAAGCTTTTGAGAGTAGTCACTAGATTGTAAGGGTGTTTATTAATCCCTCCACGACCGCGGACATGCCGGCGTTACAGTTAACAATAGATTTCTTAGAAATTTACCTGGACGTGTTATGATGATACACTAATTCTCTGAAAAATGTACATTCAAAACAAACCTGATTCTGGATTGTTTTCAATTATTTGGATCAGTTGGTTTGCTGCTTCTTTTACAGACATGAATTTAGGATCCATGTACTGACGGATTTTTTTTGTCAGTGATTCTTCTGTAGGTTCTTTGACTTTAATGTCTGTAAACAAAAAAAAATGCATAGCTAATTTATGTACACATAAAATCACATAAGTTAATTTAGAGATAGTGTGGAATCCTATGCACGTTTTTAAAGAGTTTCTAGTAATACTAATTTCTGCCCAAGATTTACCCAAAATGAAATCCTTTCTTTCAATATGGTTATGCTATCTGTTGTCAAGTTCAGAACTAAAATAGCATTATAGTTATATATTACTAGCGACTCACCCACGCTTGTCCCGGGTTCGACCCTAGCTTGCTTTCCAATAAAAACTTACATCCCCAATTTCACCCCCTTAAGGGATGATTTCCAGGATAAAAATTATCCTATGTCCCTCCCAGGGTCTCAAAACTGTGTTCTTACCAATTTTCATCTAAATCGGTTCAGTAAATCCAGAGATTACCCCTACGTCACAAACTACCTCTTTAAAATATTAGTATAGATTATGCTTTAAACACACATAAAAGTAAAGTATATATTCATGTGTTAGTTTACCACATGTTTCATCCCTATCCCTTCTACATGATACACAAATATTCCAAAATCCTGATAAACTTTCAAACTTATAATATGAATAGCTTATTAGTTAAAGTAAACCTACTTGTTTACTTTAAAAACATACCTAAGAGACATAAAGTGTGCAGGTTTCTTGAATAATTTCCAATAATTTTCTCAAAAAAACTGTCTGGTTTCCAACTATCAGTCCAGTAAGGTATTGAAACAGTTTCACCAAAGTTGTAAAGTTGTAATCCACAGCAACTTACTGCATTCATAATAGATGCATTGTGAACTATCTAAAATCAAACTATATTTATTGACTTTTGAACTAAAAGTAAATATTATTTGTGGTGTTTATGCCACATTTTTAATTTTTAATAATGAAATAGTTAAAATACAAAAATTACAAATACGACTGAGTACAAGCAAAAATAAAAATATGAGAACAAGTTGACTTAAACAACATAGTATGTATACACGAGTGTCGCGATATCAAGCACATACGCATCAACAACATAAATGAATAATTGAATCAATTTAGCTGTTTAGTAAAAACGAGGAAACATAGGGTCGGACATACATACATATCAAATACACAACTCTCCTTTGGGCTATGCCACAATCAGATAAAAAAAATAACTTAAAAGGTGGCATACACAAATACAAGGGTAGGCATGTTTCAGCTCAATATTCTACCACTTAAATTGGCTATTCATGCTACTACTAGAATAGATATACTCTATGACTCAAATAAAAACCTTTAATATAAATGAGAAATTAATCGCCAGTAATATTTGATCATCCAATATAGCATACAAAGTATTAGTACTAAAAATTCATCTAAGAAAAAAATATATTAAAAAAACTTAAAAAAAAACTTCCAGCCACTAAAATGTAAAAAATAACTAAATGAGGGTTTTCATTTAGAATAGATACCTAATCAGATATTTTCAAAGTCGGTGCCAGCCGATGCAAAGCAAATCTAATATATTTCGATACGTAAAATACATATTTATCTATTACATATACATATCTTAAAATATTGTCGGCTGGCACCAACTTCAAAAATATCTGATTAGGTATCTATTCTAAATGAAAACCCTTGTTTAGTTACTTTTTTACATTTTAGTGTCTGGAAGTCGGTTTTAAATTTTTTTTAAGTTTTTATTTGTCCATTTTTAGTGTAGACGTAATAAGCAGATAATTTGTTAGAAGAAAGATTTTAAGGACATGTTTGATTAAGCAATTTATTAAACAAAAAAAAAATATTTGTTGATTTTAAAAAACCGCTTGACCGATTTTGATAAAATTTATATGGGACCACCTGGGAAGTTTAATATATATAATAAAGTGAAACAAATAAAATAATTTCCAAATCGGTTCAAGCGTCTACAAGTAATCGGTAAACAAACATAAAAAAAAGATTGCGACGAATTGAGAACCTCCTCCTTTTTGGAAGTCGGTTAAAAATCATTCTTCATATGCAAAGCATATTTCAATAATTTACATAGTTCACAATACTGTCAGTATCAGATTACAATATTGTTTTTCTTAGTTTATACATTTAGATTAGTTATGTTTGTGTATAAACAAAAACAACTTATCTTTGCAAATTTAAATTTATTACATATTAAGATTTGATGTTCATCTTTGCTTAATGCTTATATTAAATATTTAATTTTCTACCTGTGTTTGTACTCCAAACTCTTTAGCTCTCAGTAGCATGTCAGTATGCGTTGTAGCACCCAAAGGATCACCTACAACTAAAAGAGCTATGTCTTTTTCTTTTGCTTCTCTTAATATATCATCTATGTTACTTTCACAAATTTCTCGATCCGCTACAATCAAAGAACGTCCATAAAAATCTTCCTAAAAATTGAATATTTAATTAAATATACATTTTTTAAATTATGTATAGGTATAACAATACAACTATTCTTATACATATTTACACTCAATTCACATAATATTTACTTTACTCAAGGATAGAAAGAGACCAAGATATATTTTACTTTCATATTTTTCTATTTATTTTTAATTTCGACCAACAGTTCAAATTTATTTTACTAAATTTCACAACATTTATTTCGAAGTCCTCACCAAAACTTCTTTTCCCACGGTCAATATGGAAGTATAGCCTTCTAATAAGACTTTATCACATTTTTTAATTATTTCTAGACCTTTCACTGTTATATCTTTAGCATCACCTAGCCCCAATCCAATCAAAAAAAACATTTCTAATGATATATAAAATTTCTCAAATCGAAATACGTAGTCTTCGGCGGCTAAACACGTTTTATTTGACAATTGACATTGACAAATGACAAGAGATATGTTTCGAGCATGGATGACAAATAGTTTCGAGTTTCGACCGCGCCGTACCTACAGATACATTTAGATTGTAGATCCTAGACTGCAGAGTGCAGATCATAAATTGATCATGGTAAGATTTTTTTTATAACATTTAGTATAGATTTCTCAGAGCTGAGATATTTTCCAGCAGTAAAAAGTATCCTATATGTTGATCCTGATGATCAGCTATCATCATACCGAATTGAATTAAAATCTGTTCAGTGGTTTTCTCGTGACACAGTCACAGACAGACAGGAAGGCAAAAATTGTAAAAACTATTTAGATTTCCAAAAAATATTATAATATGTACAGTTTCGACTCAGAATTTTATTATATGTATAGATCAAAGAAAAGTAATGGATTTCTAGACTCATGTGTTCAGTGTATTCAGCCCTTTTTGACGTCCCACTGCTGAGCACGGTCCTCCCTTCAATACGAGGGCGATCAGGCCATAGTCCACCACACTGGCCAAGTGCGGGTTGGCGGACTTCACATGTCTTTCTAAAACTTGCTAGGTTCTGTCAGACATACAGGTTTCCTCACGATGTTTTCCTTCATCGTAAGACAAGGGGTAATTATGTAGAAAATGATTCGCACATGACAATATTAGAGGTGCGAGACCCACGATTTGAATTCGCTTCACTGGGCTACTACTATGTTCAGTAATAAAATATAATAATACCATATAGTTCGGATCGTTATGTTACAGAATAGGTAACCGTGCATTTTTTATAGTAGTGCATTGTCTTCCGTAGATAACGTCAAAACTAAAGCTTGTCGTTTGCTTATATGTATTGATTATTATATTAGTAGGTTTGCTGATTTTTGGGTAAAGAATCTGTTCACCATCGATTGCTGAACATGTAAACTTACAAAGTTCTGCCATTCATCACTAAAATATTATAATTTATTGTTATGAGCTAGTGAGTCTTTGTGTAGATTGCATGTTTTTGTTATCTATAAGCAGTATGTGCTCCAATTTCCATAATCAAAGCTACTTCTAATTGTACCTATAGATAAATGCGGTAGTCACTCTGGGCGAATAAAAAACTGGGAATAAAACATATAAGTTATGGGACTCTCCGTAAAAACATCATAAAACCTTAAAAATATATTTAAGACATATAATATAAGTAATACAATGAGGGCAGTGGTAGCCCAGTGGTAACGCGCTCGCTTGAGAAACCGAGTGAAGCGAGTTCAAATCCCGGGTCTCGCACCTCTGATATTTTCATGTGTGAATCATTTCTAACATGATTACCACTTGCCTTACGGTGAAGGAAAACATCGTGAGGAAACCTGCATGTCTGAGAGAACCTAGCAAGCTTTCGAAAGACATGTGAAGTCCGCCAACCCGCACTTGGCCAGCGTGGTGGACTATGGCCTGGCCTGATCCCCTCGTATTGAAGGGAGGCCCATGCTCAGCAGTGGGACTTTAAAAATAAAGGGCTAAATACAATACAATGAACTCTTCTTTCATTAAAAGTTTGCTTGAGTATAGGATGATGGGCACCAAAGAAATAGATGAACAATAAAGAAGAGGCACCAATACGTGCAATTTTTTTCTCTGTGAAGTGTGTACAGAATACAGATCTAACATCCCTATTTTTGAAATCTATTTGAATTTGTCAATATTTCATCCATGTTGTCATTTGTCAAATGTTTGTCAAAATATTTGTATATAAGTTAAAATATACTGTTACATTTATTTTTTATTAGCTACTGAATATTAAGCTAATAATAATATATTAAATATTTTTATTAAATTTTTTAACTGATACGATTGTTAAAGAATTATTTTAACGTAATCGATCACAATGCCATTACCACCGGCATTAGCCGCACGCTTAGCTAAACGAGGGATAATAAAACAAAATACAGAAGTAGTAAATGATACTTCAACGAATCAAGTAAATGAAGAAATAATCGCAGAAGATTACGATAGTAAACCTGAGGAGTTGAGCACCAAAGAACACTTTTGGGAAGGTATAGAAGGTGTCAATGTTGACCCTATAAAGGGACATAAAGGTTGTCCAAATAAAAGTAATATCTATCATGAGTGTTCCAAATATTGTGTTAAAACTTGGAAGCAAGGCAAACCAGTTCCAGATGAAAAATATTTGGAAAAAAAGAAAAAAGTGTTAGAATTATGGCCTTTGCCACCTGGATGGGAGGAAGTATATGATGAAGGTACTGGACATTATTATTTTTGGAATGTTCATAATAATCTTGTTTCATGGATGCCGCCATCGCATCCTCGAGCTGCGCCCAGTGAGTGTGCTGCTCACTTACGTGAAGAGAGATTGTTACGTGAAGGAGACGAAAGTGATGATAGTAGTGATGCATCAGATCAAGAAGTACCTCAACAACACTATAAAGAAAAACGCCATGACCGCAAAGATAGAGAGAGGGAAATGGTACACCACAGAGATAAAAGGAAGCACAGAGTAAAAGATAATGATTTAGATCCAATGGATCCAGCATCATATTCAGATATTCCTAGAGGCAACTGGACTGCAGGATTAGATGCTCATGCTAAAACTGGTGTGGATTCTACTGCTTCAGGATCTTTGTATCAAATGAGACCTTACCCTGCTCCAGGTGCAATTCTAGCTGCCAATGCCAAACAAAGTTCTCCACCACTTTCCCCACAATAAATAACATTGTAATATATTTGTCATTTATGTAATAAATATACTTAGTGAATAAAAAATATTTTGTTTTATTGTGTATGTAAATTTCATTTCAACATTTTTCATTTTTTCTCTATATTAAAACCTTCCATGGATCTTAGGGACATATGAAAAATTTTTTTAGCTGAATTGGTCCAGCCATTCTTGAATTATTCGCTTACCAACATTCATTATATCCATCAAGGCAATTAATAAGACTAATTTCAAGCCTAAGAAAACATTTAGTAGTTTTTATAAATGAAATATTGCAAGTCCTGTAGGAATTTGGATCAGATGGACATTTCCCAGGCTGAATGGGGACTAATAACTTATATTTCCATGATTCTTGAACAATACATACCTGACTCGATAACCATAATGCTTAAGAAATATGTATTGGGTCTTTATGTGGCTTTGTAATAAAGAAGTGAAGAATATATCTTTTGAAGTTGGGATAGGCAGTTCAGCTGGATGCGAAGCCAAGAAAAACAGTGAGAGGTGGCCCATTTCGGTGGACGGTGTACGGTTAAGCATACTGTGCATACATATAGCGTTGTATGAGCTTTGGCTTTTAAAGTTTATATGGTGAAGGATTATAATAATAATAAGTATTTATTTCAGATCAATAATCCATAGTAATTAGTTTTTATATTTAGGAATACAATTAAATTTAATAATAATAAAATCTAACAAATAGTTTCTCCCCAATATTTAAGGGTATGTTATGGTATGGTATGTTCGGGCTGTTTTCCGCAACTCGACGACTATGCGCCTATTTTGCGTGTGTGGGAATTTAAATTCTTGTTACTCTTGCCATCCCAGTTCCTCCAGGAATTTCAGCAACCTCTTTGTCTTGCCGAAGATTTCCGGGAGTGACCTAGGAGTGCCAAGATGTTGAGCCCGGTACTCCGCTACACCTGGACAATACAAGATCACATGTGCAGCCGTTTCATCTGCCCCCATGCATGCCCTGCAAAGTGGACTGTCAGTTATACCTATATTAAATAGATGTTTATTATATGGTCCGTGGCCGGTTAAGGCCGCGGTTATTTGCCTGAGTTGAGGTCTGTTAAGTTTGATGATACGGTTCGACATTTTGGCATCAATGTTTGGAAGCGATTCTTTCGCCTGTCTGCAGTCTACAACTTCACGCCAAACATTGTTGTGTTGGCGTTTAGTTCGTTGTCGAATTTGGCCTTTGAGCCAGCAAGAAGGTAACGAGACGATGGGCTCTGGTCCTATCGCCGTTATGTCCGAACCCCTTCTTGCTAGCTCATCTGCCCTATCGTTCCCCCACGAGTTACTATGGCCTTTGATCCATTGTAAGGTGATCTCATTCCGGTCACTTACCTGTGTCAAGGCCTTATGACATTCATAGATCATACCTGATGTGGTAGAATTACTATTTAATGCCTGTAGTGCTGACATGCTGTCTGATAGTATGCGGATGGAGCAGTCTTCCACCTTCTTCATCGCAATTGTTCTAGCTGCCTTAAGGATACCTAGACTTTCAGCTTGAAACACCGTGTTGTAGGTACCTAGAGGTATTGAAGTTTTAATGTTTAGATCATCGGAGAAAATGCCACAGCCAGTCCCCGATTTGGTTTTCGAGCCGTCGGTGTAGATTCTTAGGTCCTTGCTGTCGCGACCCTCACATGTATCTTCCTCCAGCTGTATTTTATATTTTTTGTCAAAAATGTATTTTATTTGTATTCCATCATTGGGTGCTCCCATGAGAGGAATGTCTTTGGCAACGTCTATTAGGATTTTTGTGTGTGGAGTGCCTGTTTTCCTTAGCAGTTTTTGACTATCTAGTCTTATCGCGGTCGTCGCAGCCTCTTGTTGTATAAACAAGTGAAGCGGTAAAAGGTTTAGCATGGCTTCGAGTGCTGCGGTTGGTGTTGTTCTCATGCAGCCCGTCACTGCCATGCACACCAACCTTTGCCAGCTTTGTAGCTTGGTTTGTGCTGTGGTCAAAAGTGTTCTACGCCACCATATTAAGGCACCATAGCTGATCATAGGTCGTATTACCGATGTATATAGCCATAAGGTTATTTTGGGATTGAGGCCCCATTTCTTACCTATCATCCTTCGGCATTGCCAGAAGGTGATACTGGCTTTGTTTAGTAAATTGTCTAGGTGTTTAGACCAATTTAGTTTGCTATCCAGAGTGATTCCAAGGTATTTTACCTCTGTGGTTAATGTTAAGGTGGAGTTAAAGAGTTTCGGCAGGGTGTAGCTTCCTAGGGCTCTTTTGTTTGTGAACATTATTAGTTCTGTTTTGCGTGGGTTGACACTCAGATTATAGTCATAACACCATTTTTCGACTATATTTAGTGCTGTCTGAGTTAATTCACAGACTGTACTTGTGAATCTGCCCGTTACAAGGATGGCTAGGTCATCTGCATAGTCTATCGTATAATATCTGTTGTTGTTGAGCAGGTTTATTAGGTCGTTGACTACTAGGTTCCATAAGAGGGGTGAGAGTACTCCTCCTTGAGGACATCCTTTGGCCACGATGGCACCTTGTTTTACTTAAGGGTAATTACTTCACTGTGTGCAGCCGCATCCAGTGTCAGGTCACTTTTGACTTCCTTTTTTTTTCTTAAAATCAATAAAACGACGATAGGCAATGCCTTCAGGCCAAAATTCATCTTGCATAAACAAATCTAGTTAATGTTTTGGAACAAAAATTTTGAACGATACGTAATCTTTTAAATACTTTGAGTTTATTTGATCAATAGTAACACACATATTAGCCCTTGCCTTTATATATTGTTATTATAAATAAATATTGGAGTATACATTTCCGCTGCTTTAAAATGCTCATTTTGTTCCATAACAGCCGTTCCTCTTTTACCAATAAATCGATTTCTTAATTTTCTTTTTTGAACTATTTTCCATTCTTCACTCTCAGTTTGAGATTTCCAATTTCCTTCCCGAGTAATTTCAGCTAATGTCGTCACATATCATTTGTGATGTTTGTATTACAATTATTACTAATGGGTGCATCATAAGCCTGTATATCTGTATTTGACGTTATTGTCATATTACTTCACAAAGCACTCGTCTGGTCTGTACTAATTTTGTCATTACTTATAGCTGTTTCTTTTATAAAGTTCATTTTGTTTTGAATAGACTCATAAGGAATATTAAAAGAATCCTCTATATCTGGATTATCCGAACATGCTGTATCACTTTTAGAATAATCTTTGGGTGTATGTTGAATTTCGCACACAGACAATGTCGATGCTGAATTATTTTTTTTATCATGAACAGTATAACCACTATTGATAACTGACTCATTGTCGTCGATCGGAAAAAACTACTTGAAAACATCTAACTGCTCACTAGTAACATAATCCTCTCGTATTTTTGAATGTCTTGTTGCATTATCAATAAATCTTTTAAAATTTTAGTTACGTGGACGTGATCAAACAAAATGGGTGGTAACTTATGCAGATCACGTGCAGCAAATATTGGCATATCGTCTGGATCTGTGCTCTTTAGCACACCGATAATGTCATCGATATCCCGACGAGCTTTTCCATCTCCTTTACGTACTTTCTTTTTTCCTGCATTTCTTAAAGACTCGAACAATAAATTTTTTGCATTTGCAATTTCACTTTCGGAAAAAGAAGTGACACAAATATGTCTCTAAGCTTACTTCATCCATAACATCAATTTTATTGCTAACTTATGCAAGTATCTCGTTTATTATAATTTATAATATTACAACTTGAACATTTCACTAATTTAGTTGCCATTTTCAATTACATATGCCACAAATTATTAAATATAATATTATAATAAATAATTATTATTGGACTGACATATTTTCTTCTTGACGTTGTCACATTTTGCCTGGCTAATCAATTTTATATTGATATATTTATAATAGTAGGGGAGCCCAAGAGGGGATTTTCTGTAGTTACTCGAGCGCGGCAGATTAACATAGAAGAGGTTACCTTGCACTCTATTGAGTACTTTCACCACAATATAAGTCTTCTATATAAAGGGGCGCGTCTAGGGAAGCCGATTAAAATATTTAAAAAATGTTTTGATAAGGTAGAAATACTTGAAACCGTCAGATTAAGGTGTGGTAGGCTAGTCACATCCTGAAAAGTGTCCAATTTAATAATCTGCCGATTTGCACAAGCCTAAGAGGCAAAAATCATCATAAACTTTATAGTCAATTTTTGCCTCTTCAGCTTTTTTAAATATTTTAATCGGCTTCCCTAGACGCGCCCCTTTATATAGAAGACTTATATTATGGTGAAAGTACTCAATAGAGTGCAAGGTAACCTCTTTTATGTTAATCTGCCGCGCTTGAGTAACTACAAAAATCCCCTCTTGTGCTCCCCTACTATAAATCTGAAGAGTTTGTATGCATGTGCTAATCTCTGGAATAAAGGGTCAAGTGGAACTTTTTTTGTATTTTATGATCTCTTTATTTAGTTTATAGGTAACCTACGTAGTTTTGACAAAACTTCAAAAACGTTGAAACTTAATAAGTTAGTAGAAATTGAAAGGCGTATTAATAAGGTTTTTTATTATGGTCAAAGTTATAAAACATACAGTATAGTAAATTTAATCTATTATAAATACATTATAATGCACCTTGGAATGGGATGGAGACAATTTAAATGCTCTATTTTAGAAATGTTACAAAGTTCTTTAAGTACATATGTAAATTATATATTAATAATAATGCTATTGCTATTTACGTAGTAAATCTTGGCAATTGAGTAATTCATAATACATACTATACCATAGGTACAAATTAATTTACTTAACAATTAACATAATATTATATATTCATATAAATTTGGTCCTACTCTAAGTTGTGAAAATTTTGTGCTTAAGTAGTAGTATAATAATTATATTTTAGGTTGAGCTTCAATTTCCATTTAACTGGTTGCTTTTGTGTGATGCGACATGTATTAATAGATCTTCTGAGGTAATAATACCAAGAGGACTTTGAACACTACCCGATGCAACTGGAAGAGTAATATAAATATATTATTGCACATATTGTTGTAAATTGCGAGTGTAGAACGTTTTTACATCAAACTAGCATTATTGAATACTAAGAAATAAAAATATTCCTCAAAATAACTGTTTGTATCTTAATATATATAATTCTTCTGTGTTTGTTAACCTACTCCTCCTATAGGGCTAGACCGATTTGGATGAAATTTTGTGTGTACATTTCAATGAGCTCCTGGATGGTTTGAAAACACAATTGAACCCGGTAGGTGGCGCTGGAGTCGATGTGCCACTGATCGTCTAAACGGCAGGGACGATTTTAATGATATTTTTTGTTTATGTTCGAGTAGGTCCCTGCAAGGTTTGAATTCATAAATGGATCCGGTAGGTGGCGCTGCAGTCTGTATGTCAGTAATTTTTTTTATAAATGACTCCATTTTCCGAGCAATAAATAAACTTAAATTGTTGATTAAATAAAATAAAAATCTTTGCGTGTATGTATGTTTCCTATGGACTCCAAAACAGCTGGAGCGATTTTGACGAAATTTTCCGGTAATGTTATGAGTAGCCTAGCGGGTGATCCATTTTGTTAGAGATCGGAAGTTTGAAGCCGCGTGTGCTAGTATATATATATAATTTTTGAAGTTATATTTATTTTGGGACCTTTGAGAAAAATTATGAAAGTAAAATCTTTAATTTTCTTTCCTTTACTTTTTGGCTGTTTTGCACACCGACAGCCAAAAAGTGATGACATGATGAAGTTAGCTGAAAGAGTCATGATTCCTTTTACAAACAGAGTGTTGTGACATACGGGATGAAATCTTTAGCTATATTTGTTCTCTTACGCCAAAGAAGTATAACTTCTTAAGTGCGTACATAAATAAGTACACACACACGTATTTTTTAACAAAAAATGTTGTTATATACATAGTTTACCTGTTTTGACAATGACAACGTAAGGCGCAATGTCGAGTGTGCGAGATACGACTCCCAGGGTAGGTTTTTTTGAAATGTCTAATTTATAAAACTTTTTCACGGTATAATTTTCAAGTTTTTCATTAAGACTGCTGGATAAATTGACCATCCTTTTTCTTGTATTGTCAGATGTGAACACTCCAACTATTGACCTGAAATAATAAAGACTTGGTTAAAGTAGTTGTTATACATATAACTTCCCCCGCCATGTGTCTTGTCGTGGTTGGAATTCATTAGCATCCGACAATCCATCCAGGCGTGAAGCCTTCGCTACTTCGGTGAGCGGCGTACCATATCGGCTGCTCCTGGTACTTCTCTGAAAAAAGGCCTTGAGAGTAACCCCATAGTTGTTGTGGTATTCCTCGATAGGCAAGCCGTCGAGGAGTCGTAAGTGCGTAAGCGATCCTGTTTCACTAAGGGGCCATCCATAAATGACGACACAAGAATTTAATGATTTTTTGAACCCTCCCTCCGTCCTTGTCACAGGTGGTTACATTTATGGGACCCCCCCCCCTGCTGTGACGTCATATATTTTGCAATTTTACACCCAGAACTGAATAAAATAAAAACAGCAATATAAAAATATTTTTTGAATAACATCAATATCAACAGCTTGGTACAGCGAGCCACTTGCTGCGCCGCGAGAACTCGCCAACAAAGCAATATGAACCTTATACATACAGCGTAAATATCATTTTTTTTAATTTTTCGTTTACACTTTACAGTTGTTTGACATGTGACATCACAAAGCTTATGACTCCCCCCTGGGCCCTGCCCCTTGTCACACAATGTCACACTTCATTACCGTTATTTCCACTACTTTATTATATTTAATTTCTTAGAAATTTCGTATTATGACATTTATCTATAATTGTTATTATTATTATTTTTTATTTTTTGTACTTTTAATACATGAATATTTAAATGCTATGTACACTTATAATTGACATACATATAAGGTATATTATTATTACATTAATTAAATTGAAAATGTTTCATATTATGTATGTTGTAAGTGTGCTTTATAAAAATTAAATTTAAAAAAATAAATTTCTAAGAAATCTATTGTTAACTGTAACGTCGGCGTGCCCGCGGTCGTGGAGGGATTAAATTTCACAAGCTTCTGGTAGGAAGGTACGTGCATTTAATTATTAATTCTGCACATTTTCTTCCGCATTGCTGATTCTTGATGTATTTTCAATAAATATGATGACTATATATATGTACAGTAGTAGGAGTATGAGCAAAAACAACATTAATCACGGTCATAATAAATTTTGAAAATAACCGAAAAACTCCATGGCGTAAAGTTTATTTGACAGCTTGCTGACAATTTCTTTTTTTTATTTATGCGATGGCTTTACGTATGGAAAACATCAAATTTGTAACATAAAAATTTTGGTATGAATGAGGTCGGTACAAGATGGGTTCCAGGCTTCAACAACTATTTATTATAAAATTCTAGGATGAACGGATCGCGTGAGAATTTAGGTATTTCCTTCGTATTATTAAAACAAATACACATTTTTAAAATGTTAAGTGTATACGATATAGAAAAAGTATAGTTTTGTTATTATTAAAAAAAAAACGGATGAACTTCCTTGAAATTATTTACATCGCAATAATGTTTTGTTTTTTTTTAGAGATCATTTTGGTTTTTTTCTATGGAGGAAACTACAAGTAATCGTGTTTCTTAAGTGTACGATTTATAGAATAAATCCTTAAATATCCTACATATTAATTGCATAATTTTAGTTTTACTAATAACAATACAGTAAGGGATGAATCGAACGCAATTATTTCGTAATTGCCTCGGCGCGCCCTTAATGAAAAACGTCCAGGGAAAACTGCTGCGAGTAGTATTGCTGCTGACAATACTTATATTTTGAAAGTGGTAGTAAAAGGATATTTACTTATGTAGTTTTAGTAATTTCATATGCGACAAAAATAAATAACTTAATTTTTTTTAATATAATTATTTCAATCGTATATGCTCACATATTATCTACCTATATTTATAATGCTAAATCTCACATTTTTTAGGAAATGAATTAAGTAGTAGAAATATTTTTTTTTTAATATAATTATTTCAATCGTATATGCTCACATATTATCTACCTATATTTATAATGCTAAATCTCACATTTTTTAGGAAATGAATTAAGTAGTAGAAATATTGTTTATTTGTGACAAGTGTAACTTTGCCTTGTTTGTCTACATTTTGTTGACATTTAGGTGGAAATCAAAGGCGTCATCAATCTATACATATAATAAAACTGTAGAGATCCTATGTCTGTACATAGAAAAAAAATAGAACAGAGAAATAGAAAAATCTAGACTTTTTTCATATTTTTTGTTTCTCTGTCTGTTTGTCTGTTTGTACGGGCTTATGGACCGATTTAAATGAAATTTTGCATGGTGGTAACTTATGTCCCCGGTCAAAATTTTCTCTTTATCCCGGAAAATTAAAGAGTTCCCGTGGTATAGTTAAAAAACTACAGTAACTTATACAGCTTAGTACACAACAACTTTGAACCTAATTTAGTAAAATTTGGCATGTTGATACCTTATATTGCCAGTCAAACAACAGGTTACTTTTTATCCTGGAAAAATGAACGGAACGGGATAGATCTGTATGTGCTTTTCTTATTTAGTTATTAAATATACTTCTCTCTGTGCAAATACATACCCTTTATCATTAACTATGTTAACTAGTGGGGATTTGTTGGCACGTAGCGTGGTTATCGCTTCTAACGTAGAACTGGTTTCAGAAATACTTGGAGTTTTCTGAATAAGCTCTTCATTTTCTGTAAGAGGCTTGTTCCACCACCTAAAGGTAAAATTATAATTCTTAGCGCAAACACAAAATTATTCTGACATAAAACTTTGACTAGAAAAACAGAAGGGTTTCTGTGGGATAAGAGAAATTTAGATTTTTGATGGTTTCTAAGGAAGTATTGCCTTAATTTATCCATAATATTATTTATCCCTCTAGAAAGATTTCTAAGTAAATAAGCAGTTAAGCCAATTTTTTTATTACTATTTCTTCATAATGTTTTGTAAAAAAATTATTTTTTTAAAATAAAAACCGACTTCAAATAAAATACTGTATAGTAAAAAATATCTGATTGTTAGTTTTCATTTATTTACTGTAGATACCTAGTCAGATATTTTCGAAGTCTTTAATTTGTATCGGCTGGCACCGACTTCGAAAATATTTGACTAGGTATTTATTTACATATGATAATAAATAAGTGAAAACTACTAATCAGTTATTTTTTTACTTTTTAGTGTTTTTTTCTGAAGTCGGTATTTTTTTAGGTTTTTAATTTTCTATTTTCAGAGTAGACATAGTAGTAGCTAAGAAGAATGTTTTTAAAAAAATCAGTGGGTGAAAAGTCAATCGTCCCCTATTTTCTACACCTAGGGGTGGATTTTTTTTTAATTTAAATGGGACTTGAACCAATAAAAAAAATCATCGAAATCGGACTACACTGTAAAAAGTTATGCCTGGTCGAACAAAAAAAAATAATAATATACGAATTGAGAACCTCATTTTTTCCGCCGATTAAAAAACGTTTATTTTCAAATAATATAAAATAACATTATACTCTTAAAAAGTCTGCATAAGACTACGGAACACAAAATTTACCTATCCTTGGATGGACTAAAGATTAAGAAAGTGTGTCAGAAGGTCATATGACGAATCGTTCTGTGAAGTTAAATGTCGATAAAACAAACGATTACTTATTGTGAATAAATTATATTTCATGATGTTAAGTGAATTTATCTCTATGTCAAAGTTCCAATACACGTTTAAGCAAAGGTCTGCTACTTGGATAATTCATATAACTTAATTTATACTCATATTTACAAATAATCAGAGCTAGATAATTCTCGATTCTACAGAGTGTTGTTTTTGTTATACATGTGGTAATTTTTGATTGTATTTAATTTATGTTAATAAATAATATTGAATACATATTTTATGGTTGTAATCTAAAATAATCCTCCACACTTATTTTTTTAAGCGTATCTAAGAAATAAATAGCGAATGCATTTATATTATGATTGAACATTTTCAATCTTAAGAGCTAAATTCAATTTCATTGCAATTTATTTTAATTCAAAAGATGTTACATACAAAGTTGAAAAAAGTTTGATTGATAATTTAGAAGCGTAAAGTACCAGGAGGTAATTAATGGACGTATTCAGACAAAACAAACTATTTGTTATCGGAGTTTTGAAATATACATCTATACTAATGTTATAAAGAGGAAGGATTTGTTTGTTTGTTTGTACTGAATAGGCTCCGAAACTACTGCAGAAGATAGTTTGAGACGCTGGGAAGAATATAGGATAGTATTATGTTTTTAACCCGGAAATCATCCCTTAAGGGGATTAAAATGGAGATAAAAGTTTGTATGGGGAAGTAACTTAGGGACGAACCCGAGCGAAGCGAGGGTAAGTCGCTAATAATAAATAACTTACCACACTGAATCGTTATTAGGGTAAGATTTGAAATCCCTGGCTTCCATCCACTGATCTGATATGAATTTTGTCATGTAATTACGGATGTTATCAGGTAAAAGCACAACGCACTTTTGTCCAGCTTTCAAGCTCTTAGCCGCTAGGATGGCGCCATACATCGCAGCGCCGCCGCTTCCACCTGGAAACAATTTTTTCCCCCTATAATCCTTGGACTATTACAAATATTAAAAAAAAGCCAAATCAGTCCAGCTCCTCTCGAGGGATGCGCTTACTTACGAACAGCATTTCATTTTTATTATGTAAATAGAAGATATTAAAATTTGTAGGTGAGAAAATTTTTGTTACTCATGAACATGATTGAACAGATTTCGATTTATCCCGTGGGATAAAGGCACAATGTTAGCTTAACAACAGTTTTGTTCGTATACTTCATATTAACTGGGTGTTTCTTTTGCGATTTTAACGGTGTAATTTTCTACGTAATGTTTTATCATATTCTACATATTTATTTTGCACGCAGATCTCTATTTGTAGTATTTATACATAGTTTCTTATATTTATGTACGTCATTTAACGTGTTTTGTTACAATACAGTATTTTTGACGTCAAGTTATGATTGATAAAGTTATCTATCTATATATATAATAAAATTCTAATTAGTCGAATCTGTACAATATTAAATATTTTTTGGAAAATCTTATTGAAATAAGCATTATTATCGCTACAGAGACCGAATTTATAATTTTTAGAATTTTTGTCTGTCTGTCTGTGACCGCATCACGACAGGGAAAACCACTTGACAGATTTTAATGAAGTTTGGTATGATGATAGCTGGTTATCTAGGTCAACATATAGGATACTTTTTACTGCGGGAAAATATCTCGTCTCTAAGATCATCTGTAAACGTTAAAACGTAACTACTACATAAAATGAGTAGTTTTACTAATAAAATAAGTATGTTTTAAATATGATTTTCTTTATATTTCTAATATCTTTGACTTTTCCAAAATATGAACTAATTACCTATGTTGAGCCATGGGTAATCTCATACGGAAGAAAGAAAAAGATGTTCAAAAAATATCAATAGACGTCTAAAGTATACCTACACATCAACATAATCTAGGGATATTTTAGTATACGACGACGACGACGAGTTTTAGAAAACAAACTACGAAGAATTTCTCAAAGAATCCTAATATGACAATGCGTAGTATTTTATACCCTGACAGGAAATTAAATAAAAATCTGAGGTTTGTTTTTTAAAGGACTATTTCAGTAAAAATAAACAAAAGTTATCACTGTACTAAAATGAGACTTATTGTGTTTGGCGATTAAAGAACGAAACAAAATTGAATGAAACATTAAGTCTTGTATGAAAAATATTTTAATCATTTGTAAAAACACTACGGGCGTTTATAACGCATCTGCAACGATTATTCATGCTCAAAATGAGGTTATCAATATCTCTTTGTGGGATGAGATGGCATGAAAAGGTCACTGTTAGTCATCAGATTTTCGGGAAAATTACGTAAAGCCCTTCGGTGAAGCATATACCACCTATGCTCAATCGAATTTAAATCTGGGGACTGCGCGTGTCAGTCTCTCAGGCGGTCAGGCGGCTCTCACGTACAGCTGTTCGCCAAACACGTATTCTTCGTGAATCTGGATGGAAACCGAACCGATTTTCATCTTAGAATAGCACTGAAGACTCCAAGCTAAATGTTCGTTAGTCCATTCTAATCTTCGTTCGCGATTGCGTCGTCGAAGTGCTGGAATCTGAAGTGGTCTACGAGCATGAAGGTTGACTTCGTGCAGTCTCCTCCTGACAGTTTGATCGCTAACCAGGACCTGGTGTTCCGACTGTTTTAAAACTAATTGCCTAACCGTAACGTTAGATTGTTTTCTCGCCGTAATTTGTAAAAATTGGGCTTGTCTTGGTGGTGACCCGACTATTCCTAGTGTGCCACTCAGCCACCTCGCTAGTGTCCCTATAACGACACCACAATCTTGATATGACGATTTGACCGGTGCCAATGGCATCAGCAACATTGCATTGTTTCGTGCTTGCTTCCAGCACGACTATTGCTGTCAACATCTCTTCTCTGATTAAATATCGGCATTCCATGGTAGAGAAAAATCCACAAGTATTAATTTATTTATTAAAAGTGCGAAAAAATAAAAATGTTGTTTAAAAACAGTTAAGTGTTTAAACACACACAAGGAAGAAAATATATCGATATAAAGTTAATTAAAATTTTGTCGCTACTGCCATTCTTCTTTTTTTTATTTCAATTTAAAATACAGAGAATAAATGTACCAGGAATAAATTGACGTTTATATCTTTTTTAAATAGTACTTTTAAAATTATGCTAATAAACGTGAAATATCCCTAGACAGTTTTGATGATGTTGTTTATTATTCTAAAATATAAGAAGGTCTAAAAGTACAGGAAAAATACTGATGTTTTGATAGGTGTTGATTAGCTAATTAAAAATTATTTTAAGTATATTGCGTATGTCAAATGGCACTATTTACGAGTTGTTTTTCCATATAACGAACAGATAGGGATCGAAATTTGTTATCTTTTTTTCTATATTGGATATGTTTTAATGTATTTAAAAAAAATACATTCAACAGCTATCGGGTTTGGTATAGTAGGTAAAGGAAAATATTAAATAGGTCCAATTAGGACCGTTACTGTTTTGCGGAAAACAAACATTTCTAAAGACTATATTATATGTACCTATATATTACATCGTACTATACACATAACCCGTTAGACTTGTCCAGGTCCCTTTTTTAAGCTGTTATTAATATAATTATATAAGCGTAAGAAACGCCCTTCATTTAAAAAAATAAATTATCGCAAGTTTATGAATAAAAAATACTGAAGCATTCTAAGATGATAGCCTTGACACTACTGATAAGCTCAAGTGTTTTTTGTATATATAATAATAAATCGATAGGTACATAATAATAATGCGTATTGACGGACTTATATGTTTAACCGTATTTATATAGAAAAAATGTGTATTACTTTATTTCTTACTTTTTGTTAGAATTGAGATTTTTCTTATTTTAGTTTAGTTTACGTCGAGTAATTTAAGTACGATAAACATCTGTTTTATATATATACATTTTTTGTATATTTCTCGTTTGTTTGTTGTGTTTTTCTCAGCACAACTACTTTCCAATTTTGCTCGCATACTTACATTTAAATGTTACATATGTATGTATCGACTTTTTTAGTCTCTGAGATTTTATTTAAGTGCACTCGTAAAAGCTTATTTGAGAAAAATATATTTTGATGTTTTGTTTAATTAAGACTAATGTATATTAGTAAGACTCGCAGTCGTCAGAAAGATTGACAGGCTCAAGGCATGTTTGGATGAATGCTTTAATAATGCATGCATTACAAACATACTAACATTCCTTTTTTATGTACAGAGAAGCTATTTCAAGTCTAATACGCAGTATAATGTACTCAAGTAATTTTAATAATTTATGCTTAGGTTTCTATGACGCAAGTCCCACTTCCGTACAAGATCGCATTGCTTACAAGATTTCGCTAGTAGGGTATTGCCAAGTTAATTTATAAGGAAATTCTTGGTCAAAACTAAATATTTTCAAACTATTAAATGTATTCAATATTACTGCTTACTATCAGACAATATAAAAAAGAAAATCATACAATCAGAAAATATAACTGCCATTATGAATTACATTTTAATAAAAAATAATCATACTATAAAGAGATAACGTTTGTAAGTTTGTGAGTTTATTTGTAGAAAGTTATCTCTGGAACCACTGAAAATCATCACTTAATAGGATGAAAATGAGGATGACCGTTTGTATGGGGAATCGCTAGTCTATACATATCTATCTATACTATAATAAAACAGTAGAGGTCGAATGTCTGTACATAGCAAAAGAAATGCTAAAAACCGAGTCAGGGGGATGTAAGAAGACAAATAGAACAAATCCAGATTTTTTTCAAATTTTTTGTTTCTCTGTCTGTTTGTCTGTTTGTACGGGCTAATCTCCGAATCTATTGGACCGATTTAAATGAAATTTTTCATGGTAGTACCTTATATCCCCGGGCAACATCTTAGATACTTTTTATCCCGGAAAATTAAATAGTTCCCGTGGGATAATTAAATAACCATAATAACTTATACAACTTATGCACCTAATTTAGTAAAATTTAACATTCTGATACCTTATATTGCCGGTCAAACAACAGGTTACTTTTCATCCGGGAAGAATGAACGGTTCCCGTGGAAACTAATAGATCTCTATTAGTATTTTGTTTTGTATAATAAAATTGTAGCTAAGTCGAATCTGTACATCAAATATTTTTTTGGAAAATCTAATTAAAATAGATATTATTGTTGATACAGAGTTCGGATCTACAGTTTTTGGAATTTTTGTCTGTCTGCCGTTACCGCATCACGAGAAAACCACTAGACAGATTTTGATGAAATTTGGAATAATGATAGCTGGTTATCCGGGTCAATATTTAGGATACTTTTTACTGCGGGAAAATATGTCATCTCTGAGAAAACTATACAAAACGTTAAAACGTAACTATGAACGAATCCGAGCGGAGCGAGGGTGAGTCGCTACTAATTAATATAGTCAATTGGCATACCACATAGCAGACCCTCTTCTTTTATGAGTCTTCTCGCCATTTGCAGCGACGCACTGTCTTCTGTCTTCACCCATTTATCTATTATTTTTCGGTCGAGAGAGCGCGGTAAGAAGTCGTAGCCTATACCTTCCACCTAAGAAAAAATAGAATAAATAAACTTTTACAAAATAAGACTTTATTTAATGCAACACTAAATTATTACAGTAGGTAGTAGATTAATAATTTGTAAAAACGATAATAAAAGTCTTTACATAAGGTGATTGATCGATATATGTTAAAGATAAATATAAATATTAATATAAAATAAATATAAATATTTTGTCAATTTTTTTGTGCTATGTATAATTGTTTGTGAGACCCTTCAGTTAAAAGCCTCTTTTTATCCGACTGCGGCGAAGCCCAAAGGAGGGTTATGTGTTTGACTTGTATGTATGTATATTCGACATACATATTTTAAAATAGCTGTAATTTGCATAATAACGCTATGTCCTTTCGTCAATTTGTTCTCTTCAAAAACGTAAAAAGTGAAAAAAAAAGTTTTAATTACGATTACATCTGGTTTCTGTATATAAATAAGACTTTTTAAATCATGTATTATTATTATTCATAATTTTATGTCATGCATTACGAGGTAGACAGGAATAATATCATGGCACGTATATTAGCGCGCATATCCGATATCATCAACGTTAACGTTAAAATTATACGTGTTCCGCATTAGGTAGTGATACAAATAACAATCCACTCTACAACAGCAATGCGGGCAGCGATTAATTGTAGAATATTTTAAGCATTACAACTAAGTATTATAGCACTGCTAGTCGAGAAACTAAATTAATCTTTCTGTTTATCCATGCTGACCTACACTTAAATACGCTATTAAAATCGTAGAGGCATACAGCAGACTTTGAAGAACAGATAGAGATAAATTACTAATAGTGAGTACTCTAGATATTTTTTCTAAATGTATATATTTATGAGATTAATTTAAATATTTAGGCTTAAAGGTGCGATGCCACCACGAAGATCAATATCAAATATCTATGGATGCCACGGTAAATTGCGGGTTGTTGGCGATATAATCAACGTCAAACGGTTAAAATAAAATAAAATATATACACATACATTAGAAGAAATATGATATGCAAGAAGCCAGTTCATGGCTTCAACAGTAAGAGTTTATCGAAGCGTATCATTTGTTATTATAAATTAACTTTGAACAATTTTATCGATATAAAATAGCAGATGCTGAAAAAAAATGTTTTTAAACTAAGTTAAACATTTAATATAACTCGATAGTTTCTACCGTATAGTGAAGTCATGATAAAAAATTTATCGTAGACGAGAGACGATAAAGAGAAGCAGTTGCGTTTTATACGGATGTTATTTTTAGAAGTAGTACCTACAAGAGTCCTAGATATATTACATAAGCTAACAAACAGATTATCCACTATATACAAACAAATACATGTTTTATCAAGGCCACATCGAAGCGATTAAGGAAATTGTTACGATGTAGCCTTGATAAAACATCACGTACAAGTTGGATTGCCAAAAGATATAATCAATTGGTCAACTTAGCAGTTATCCAGGTGATAATTATGTGATTGATGACGTCTGATCTTGGACAAATGTAACAAATCACGAGAATTGATTTTATCGCTTGTTGATAACAATATTAAGACTTTCAGTGTAAATTGGATACGTATAATTATTTATACCTATATGTACATTTTACATGACTATGTTGCTAGAAAAATGTGAAAAAAATATATCCGATGAATAAAATTTTTCTTATCAATTTTTACTTTCTTTTAACTAAAACATATTTCAAAACTAGACAGGTTATAAGCTAGAATATAGTTTTTTGATAATTCAACCAAGAATTCAAAGTATGTAATCACATTAACTGAATTAATTTCTTACATTATTCGTGTTAGAATATATGGGATTGCCCATGACACATAGCTTATTTAATAATAAAAGTATCATATATTTCAATTTGTTCAAAATTGCCGTAAACTTCTCACAAACACTAGAATAAAGTACACTGTACTTTATTGAAGTCGATCAACAATATTATAATCGAAGATTATTTTTTGGGTATATTTTTACTAAATAATGTGAAGCTTTATGCTTCAAAATAAAATAAATAAAAAATTCACAATAAAATAAATAAAATGAATAAAAAAACATTCTATTTGAAGCTATACTAATTAAAAGAAAGTAAGTACTGATCTAAGTAATTAATGTAAGGAAATTAAATACATATAATTTATCGACATAGATTAGTAAGGACTACTCACATACAAAATAATCCTACTCATATACAACCTTATATTAGTCCTTTTAAAATAAAATTGCTAACAAACTATTGCTTCAGACTGATTTCTTTGACGGAAGAACTATATTGATTCTTAAACTTATCACCTGTGCTGGAATAAAGGCCACGATTTCGATAATCGATCGATCGTGAATCGTAAGATACTAACCTCATACATGTTTATATCAGTAGCATTAAGTTCTTCAGGCTCGGCTAGTATAGAGCCATATGGATCTACACCAACCACGACGCACTTCGGGCATCTCTCCTTTATCTTATGACCAATGCCGGACACCGTGCCGCAGGTACCGGCCCCGATTACCACCATGTCCACATCATCGTCCAGCGACCAGAGTATTTCTTCAGCTGTACCGTCATAGTGCGCGAGAGGATTGCACGGGTTATTGTACTGTGAACAAAATAAGTAATTTCAAATGTATGAATATGAATTAAACTCAGAGACAAATTAAGTTCATGCCATTCGATTCTTTTTCGTCTATAATCTATACATGTATAATAAAATTGTAACTAAGCCGAATGTGTACATTAAATGTTTTTTTTTAAATCTTATTGAAATAGACATTATTATGAAAACAGACACCAAATCTATGGTTTTTAGAATTTTTTCTGCCTGTCTGTTACCGCATCACGGAAAAACCACTGGAGGGATTTTGATGAAATTTTGTGTGATGATAGCTGGTTATCCGGGCCAACATATAGGATACTTTTTACAGCGGGAAAATATCTCATCTCTGAGAAATCGATACTAAACGTTAAAACGTAAGTAGGGACGAACCCAAGCGAAGCGAGAGTGAGTCGCTAGTAAATGATAAAATACTGTGCGTAGGTAGCGGAAACGGAAAAAAGTTTTATTTTCATTCCTGACATTTTGAAGAATCCCGGAAAGTACCGGAAGATACTAAGGTGTTTAACGTCTCAATAGTTATTAAATAATTATTACAGACGATATCTACCCACAAAAGTACCTGTACATTAGTTTGGGAGAAAAGAGATAGCAAAGGAGTACTTACCTTACAATATTATCATATTATTTTAAAATATTTCAAAAATTTAGTTACATATATCAATATTGATACAGCATAAAATATATTATAGAATCTTCTTTCCAATTATTTAGCATTCTAGTAAAGTACGTGGATGAATTCAAAATTCAATAACTCACTTTTAGTCTTCGGTATTGTGACGTTTGATAATAATTGTAATATTGGTCGCTGTGATTAATTTATTGAAAAGATAAAAATATTCTTTATACATAACTTATTCAATTTATTTTCTTTTCATTGAAATTGATAAGCGAGTCGAGCGTAAGTCGCTGAGACCGGAAGCATGAAATTTTACACAAGACCTCTTTATTCTGAAGATGGGCACTAAGGTAGGATTTCGAAAATTTTCGGTTAGGCTAGGTAAAGCCTTATCCTCTTATGCGCCTAATGTCACACCAGCCGATTTAGAGTATCGTCTTATCGGACTTTAATAAGAAAAATAGATAGTGAACTTATGTCTGCGTACACATTTACGCACTATAATAACTCCTGTATATATATATATATATATATATAATAACACATGGCTAGCCTAGCCTCAGTGAGATTAGCGACCAAAATACTTCTAATGGTAGTTCAATATATTATATTTTTGTAATAGCTCCGTAACAGAATCCAGCGTTGAAGATATTTTATCTTAATCGTAATAAATGTTAATTAAATTAGCATCAGCAAATAAGTTTGCAGTCAGAAACTAATAATAATAGAGATATCTCAAGTTAAAATTTTGTGTGTTTTGATATTTAGATCAAAGATCACAGACTTAATGTTCAGTTTATTTTAAATAAAAAAATATAACAAAGAATCGTCCAAAGTCGAGTTAGACATGTGAATACACTTATTCATTACGTATTGTTTACTATCAAAGTAGGACATTATAAAATAGATGTATTGAAAAAAGGAGGAGGTTCTTTTTCAAAATAGATAGTACCAGGCGCAATCATAAGGTCAAATATACATAATAAATAAGGGAAAAAAACGGTTTCATTAAAAGAAGTTTGTGAAACTCCGATATGTACCTAAATGTAATGCAGCCCCATTGCTAGGTCACGTAAGTCTGAATTCTTTTATTTAAATGTGAATACAGATGGTAGTGCGTTTACGTCAACTAGCGACTCACCCTCGCTTCGCTTCGGATTCTTCCCGACAACAAAGAGAACGAGACAAAAACAAATCTATCCCACGGGAACCGTACATTTTTCCGGGATGAAAAGTAACCTATGTCCTATAACAGACAGATCTCTCCCTCTCTATAATCTCTGTATATAGATATACAGAGATTATAGAATAGAGATCCGATCACCTGTTCTGGTGTAAAAGAGTAACAAATATCCATCCATCCATCCTCACAACTTTCACATTTATTAACCCACGACGCAATTAGAGGGTTGTTATAAGTTTGACGTGTCTGTCTGCGTGTGTGTCTGTCTGTGGCATCACAGTTTCCAAACGAATGGAACGATTTTGTTGCGGTTTTTTGTTTGAAAGCAAACATTATCGAGATGGATCTAAATCCCTCCACGACCGCGTACAAGCCGGCGTTACAGTTAACAATAGATTTCTTAGAAATTTAATTTATGTCATAGAAAATTACCCGGAGGTGGTAACTATAATTTATGAAGATATCTTCAGTCATTTGATGATCATCAGCTCATTTCCTACTTAAAAAATGGTTTTCCTAACTTTCACATATGCGATTAATTTGAAATTTGGTGTACTGTTACTGCGGTGGTTTTTCCAGGACGTGCTAACCTTGAGCTGATGCTGTAGCATCAAATAGTCTGCGGGATGCTCAATTCATCAGAAATTTACAGCAGATATAACGTGGATGCTCAATTCATCAGAAATTTACAGCAGATATAACGTGTTTGGATATTTTTGATATGAAATAGGAATAGTCTCAATGAGAGTTATTTATTAGAATTAGTGTCCGCGAGTAATTTAAAAAGAATGAAATAAAAATAAAATTGAAAATATTAAGTAACCCCCGACACAAAAAAAAACCCCTTAAAAGTAAAAAATATAATTTCTCTCTCGGCCTTTTAACTTCATTACAGGTACCTATTAATATATTGATGATGAGCGCCGCCGCGTCGAGGGGCCGCGAATACTTTATCGTTATCAATCTTTTTTTTATCTGTATTCTGGTTTATATTTTATTTACTTAGCGGTTATCGTTCTCGAAAACGGCTCCAAAGATTTGGGTGAAATTTGCCATATAGGGGCTTACGGGGCGAAAGATCGATTGACCTAGGTCTCATATCTGGGAAAATTCGTTTTCTCCGTATTTTCACACAAGATTTTGCCCGCGCAATATGACCGCCACCGCAGCCGTCTGTATAGCCTAAGTTAAAGTGCTGGCCTACTACGCCTACCGTCACAAGTTTCTGTTTTTATTCTTTTAATGTTGAATGAGCAATTCCTGTATATTTTTGTTGTATATATATTAACGAGACGAGACGGCTCTAACGATTTGGGTCAAATTTTGTATTCAAATAAGGTTTTGCTTTACAAGTTCATCTATATAGGTGTATTTTCTGATGAAATACAATTTTATATCTTTTCTGAAAATAAAAAAAACGCCGAACGAAGCTCGGTCACCCAGGTACTAACAATAATATTAACTGATTACAGTCAGTAATTTGTTAGCAATGTGGGGTAATAGGATCTATTTCTAGTTGGCCCAAGAATTATGCTTAAGTAATAGGTTCTATGTTATAGAGCTAAATTATAATTAATTATTGATTGAGTGTAATTCATAATTATTTCTTAAAAAATGTACAATTGTAAACTTTTTAAAATATTATAACTAGGAAGTAGTATTATAAGTATCTATTATAAATTATTGAGAAACCCAATTAAAAGTTCTAATGTATAACTTTAATGATTCAAAAACATTAAAGAAAGAGAAAGAAAAAATTGGGTATTACCTGGTCTAACAGTACTGCATCAGGAATTTCTTTAGAGAGCCTATTAGCTACCCCAATATTGCTTTCAGGAGAAGATGATGGAGCTTCTGTAGGAGTTCTTATAATTTCTGCACCCAATGCTTTTAGTGTATTCACTTTTTCATCTGACATTTTCTCCGGTAATACAATTATGCATCGATATCCTGATGTAAGTTTTTTTTTATTAGATTGAGATAAATTTAATTTATTTTAAAAACATAGCCGTTTCCTAAATGAAAAAATAAATACCTCTAACTGCAGCTGCAAGTGCTAATCCAATACCAGTGTTTCCAGATGTAGGTTCGATGATGACAGATTTGCCTGGTTTCAGTATTCCCCTTTGTTCAGCATCTAAAACCATTCTGTAAGCGATGCGGTCTTTAACAGAACCACCTGGGTTTAAGTACTCACATTTTGCATCTGAAATAAAAAATAAAATATAAAAAATGTTACTATAAAATATATAATAAATAAATAATATAAGAAAAATAAAACACATAATAAAACACTATTTTTTGAGTATTATAAAATTAATACTTACACATATCACACTGTAAGCCCTCTTGTTTGGGTATTTTTGAAAGCTTTACCAAAGGCGTGTTACCGATTACGTTTAGTATATTTTCATGCACTTTTTGATTCCTGTCTCTGAAAGTTTAGATGAATTTGAGATATTTATTACATGTGGTAAAATTATATATATGGTATAAATTAATAATTATTTTTTACTTACAGTGCTCGCACGATATGAGACATTTCCTTGAGATTAGGAAACAACGATGAAGTACCATTTTCCATTTTCACGTAAAATAATATTAGCACCGATTGATATATTTATAAACAGTAATATACTCGTCCGTTAACTAGCGTTTTCTAGATTCAAATGCTATCGGAGCCGTGTTTATTTCAGCAAAATAACTTCTACTCATAAATTAATGGATCACGACTAATAACCCACACGTCAATCTTCACGTGCTAATTGTAATTTACTGAACTTAACTGTAATCTTTAAGCGTAAAGCACTTTTATATTTCAGAATGCTCTTATCAAACTGTGTTGATAATAACCATAGATTATACACTTATATACTGGGATAATAACTAACCGCGCAAATCGCAATGTGTAGTGTGTAGGTATTATAAAAAATTGCTTATCTTTTAAAAACAAACAAGTGGCCGCATGCATGAATATGACAGATAATTGGAATACAGATGAAATCTATAGTTGTCAAAAAATAAGCTCTGTCAAAACAAAAGTTAACTGTCAAGTGATTAGTGAAGTTATTTTGAGTTGTTTTTTAATAACCACCATCTTAAATAATCCTTCTATTTTATTTATACTGTTGATAAAATTATTATATTATATATATATTTTATCTTAGAGTAACATATACACACCAAGGCTAACTGTTTACCTATTCACTCCACTCACCCAATCTTTAGTGTCCAATCTGTAGTAAGTAATCAAAAATATTGTCATTTTATTATTTTTCGTTAAATGTATTTTATTATACCTATATATTGTAAATGTTTTATTATTTATATAATACTTATAATAGCCCGGGTTCATATAGACAAAAAGTACTTAAAGTAAATTTTGACTATCTTAGTAATTTTTTTTAAAAGGTATAATATATAACACGTTATCTTTATTAATTATGAATCTCTTGACCAAATAAACAAAAGAAATTCGTATGGTTGAAATTATTACTTTTAATCAGGCTTAATTTGCAATTTAATAGTTAGCTCTTAATTTTTTTTTAAATCTTTATAGCCCTTTATGTTCAAGTTCAATTATTGAATAAGTCTGGTAACGTAGCTCTTTAACCGGAATAGATTTTTTAAAAACAGTTTAAAAAGGAAGTAGTGTGAAAGGAAGTGGGTGAAGTACGATTGAAAAACGACTTTTTATTTTAAAGAAATTAATAAATATAAGTTTATTGCGCATAACGTTTTGTCAGATTGTAAGCATTATTTTCCATTTATTGGTATCGGTTGTATGACACACATCCTTAGCGATGAGTAAAAATAAAATCAAGGACGTCATCTGCTGTGGCCACGCTTTCCGCCGCGAAATGACCTAAAAAGTGTAAATATTTATATTTTCATAACGTTTATACCTATTCAGTCACATCCTAATAGACATTTGGAAGTGAAGGGAAGAATAACTTGAACTAGGAAATCAAAATATCACTACTATGCTAACTCTGTAACTAAATAAAAAAATATACCATGCGCAAATCGTGCTAGGATATCAATAAGATATTGTTAGTTTTTGGCATCATTATAGACAGGACATACTAAATAGGATACATATTTGTTAATAACATTCAGCTTTAGATATAACTAGCGCCCTACTCTTGCTTCGCATGGGTTCGTTCCTAGGTATGCTTTAAACAGATAAAAATAGTTATTGTGAGTGTACCTTAGGAAATACGCACATACTAATGCAGGCTCTTCTGTAGTTTTTTTTTGATATCTCATATTGCTTAGCCAGCGTTAGGCGTTAGGCCGAGGCAGATAGCGAATTACCGTTTAGAATTTAGATATAGATGAGCGACTTATACTCGAGCCATTAAAATTCGACCATCGACCAGAATCGACCATTTACCCATAAAAATGAGAGATTTTACTGCACAAAATTTTTAAATATGTTGCAAAAAGTTTTTGAGTATATACAAATCATTAAAAAAATTTTGTGAAGGACAACTCAGCGGAAACGGTTACTTTAGTTTTTCCGTGGAAATTAGAGATAATCCTGTAGTAAAGTTAGTACTACACAAAGTTTAGTTAAAATCCGATCAGGTACCTTTTGCATGAAATGGACACATACATATTTATGTACGCCTTGTTTATATAAGTTTATTTTGGAATATATTGTCTAAACTTATATATTATTAGCATTGCCCGCGGCTCCGCCCGCGTTCAGATGACCAAAAACCAAATTTTTAGGTTTTACATATTAATATACTCTTACATTGCAGCTTTTGTATTTTTCTCAAAAATGATATATTTTTCCGCGGTAAAAAGTATCCTTTATGTTGACCCGAATAACCAGCTACCATCATACCAAATTTCATCAAAATCCCTCCAGTGGTTTTTCCGTGATGCGGTAACAGACAGACGGACGGACAGACAGACAGACAGACAAAAATTCTAAAAACTGTAGATTCGGCCTCTGTATCGATAATAATGTCTATTTCAATAAGATTTTCCAAATAATATTTAATGTACAGATTCGACTCAGTTAGAATTTTATTATATGTATAGATGTAATATATATGTATCTCTTTATTGTTATTTATGTAAACTTATGTGTAATTTATACTATGTACCGTATAAGTATGTTATATTGGTTTTTTTTGCACAAACCCCTATCCATTCTACCCTAAGAGTTCCTTTATAGGTTTATGGGTTAAGGCCGCCTTTACACTGAAATATTTTGTAAAGATGGTGTATTGTTTTAAAATTGTAGTTCTTTTTTGGTGTAATAAAGAATTAAATAAATAATAAATAAATAATAGGTACATATATAGGTACATATATACAGACAGAAAATTAGAAAATTTCAATAACGTTTGTTTTGGAGTCAAGAGAATATACCTATGTATGTATATTTTATTGAAGTATCAACGTGTAAGATAACTTATTTTGTGATAAAAAGACTGCAGCAGAAATAGAATTATACGTTCGTAAAACGTGGGAATATCCCACTTGGTTTTCATGGTCTTAAGAAATAGATCTAGTTAGAAATTAGAATACTTTTGGTGTCGGTTACGTCATGCTTTGTTGGCCGTCGCCTATGCCTCATGTTTTAATCACATGCGAAAATCCATATTAAAGTACATAAAGAATACAGTTTACCTTCGCCAGCTCCGTTGGTATTCTTGCCGATAACAACGAATTGGGTTATATCCAAAATGCGTGATAGGAGGCCTATGTTCGGCATTCCTTTTTTTCCATTTAGAGCTAGAGTATAGCAATCTTTAACCAAGTGCTCAATCACGGGATCGTCAAAATTGAAATCTTCTGAATTAGAATTTGGCAGTTTCGTGGGGTTAGTTGCTGCATGACGAAAACTGTCTTTTGAAACTGCTCCGACGAAAGTTCTAATTGAAAAGAAGAGTATGTAACTTGTGCTTTTAGTAAGTAGGAAAAAAACGATTAATACGTTAAAAATTCTGGTAAACAGCTCTATTTTGTTCCTGTTATTTTTTGTAGTTAATGCTTAAACAAATATAGAATAATAGATACTCATTACAATATATTCTTACCCTTTATCATCTACAACAATTGCTATATTTTCATGTTTCATTTCTGTAATTGCTTGAGCGCAAGTGTAAGTAGTATCTATAATAGGATAAGTATGACTCAATTTCAAATCTGTAACTGGCAAACGCCACCATCTAAAAAGCATAAAATTAGTTTAACTTTTATTTTACTATATTATAATGATTAACATCGCTTCAGTTTTCAAAACATAAACCCATCGTCTTTTTATTCTTAAAGACATAGTCTTAAGCTTCACTCTCATCTCTAATGGGAAATCCTTTTCGACAGAGTAAGTTTTGTGGCGATATTCAGCTCTCCGCACACCACACTATCATTGTCTGGCTATACCAATTCCTATTCTGCATGTTCTGTCTTCATGATTCAGATTATACATATTTACTTATATTATGTTTATTTGTTCATTCATCAAGTATCAACCAAACCCTGCGCTGTAGCAAGTACGCACTGGTCAAATGTTTTTTGTAAATTCTAATACATCGGTTAATTCTGAACATAATGTACCTATGAGATATCAGACGCATTGTTGGTAGTTGTGAATGTAAACTTTAGTGACGAATTACTTAGAAAGCTGGTGGTAACCATTCTGTGTAACATATATTTTTGTTATCATAAGTTTTTTGACCTGTTTATGTAATATTTACACGATTAAATCTATATAAGTACATACTTCATAGTGTGTTCAGGGGGATCCATAAACAAGTGTGCTTCCATCCATTGTTCACAAACGAATTTAGTCATATAGTTGCGTATTCCGTCCGGAAAAACTACAACGACTTTTTGCCCAGCTCCTAGCTTACGCCTTTTAATTGCTTTAATTGCGGCTGCCATAGCTGCCCCACTACTCCCTCCTGTTTAAAAATATAATACGTTTAACATGTGTCCATTTACTGTTATGTATTCAATTGTCTTGCTCTATTAGATGTACAATGATGTTTTGTTTAAATAGATAGCATAGCATTATTTTCAAGTATTTTAATAATCAAGATAATGCTATTTAAACAAAACAAGAGTAAACGCTACCTTTTTTTGCACTTGTTTAGCTGTTATAAGATTTTTATAATACTTTATACTTGTGGTAATTAAATGTTTTATTGAAGTTAATAAATATATTTATTAATTTTTCATTTGTAAACGTAAACACATATAAATATTTCGTAGAAGTAACATACCGCAAAGTAACCCTTCTTTTCTGCAAACTTCCCTTGCCATTAAAAATGCTTCTTCATCTGTCACTATTTCAAAACCATCTGCTATCGATTTATCCAAAACGATTGGCACTGTTGATCCTCCAATACCTTCTATCTATAATATTGTATATGACATTACAAAATGTGAACCGATTTCGGGTATTTCTTTTTTTAAATTTTCGTAATAGTTCAAATAAGATTTTTAAGGAAGATAAATTAAAAATTTGACTGGAAGAAATTGGAAATTCGGAAAAACTTAAAATGCTTTTTGTATTCAGAACTCTATGATCACAAATTCTATGTTTACAAACAAATTTCTTGAAATTGAGATAGGACTATGTTTATTGGTCAGTTTTTATTTAAATTTAAAAATGATTAAATTTAAAGGTTTTCCTTTAACTTACTATGAAAGGATGTATTTTGCCATTAACGTTAAACATCGTGGATCCATCAGGCTCAGCGATAATGATGGTACAATTTGGACACATTTCCTTTATTCTATGACCAGCACCACTCACAGTACCTCCAGTGCCAGCTCCTAATACAAGCATATCCACTTCTCCCAAAGCACCTAAAATTTCTACTCCCGTAGTATAATAGTGAGTCTGGGGATTGACGTGATTTTCAAACTAAAAGGAAGTTGATATAATGAATATTATAGTATTTTAGATATTAATAATGCATAAACAGATATTTTTGCACATTTTCCTTACTTGATCCAGCATAACAACATTGTCAGGATTGGATTCTTTTATTTGTCTCGCTATAGCTGTTGCAGATTTATTAGTTTGTATCACTTCTGCACCTAATAATTTCATAGTACTAACTTTTTCAGACGAATTCTTTTCTCCTGTTACGATAATGCACTTTTTATCTGAAATATTAACGAAAATCCTATATACCTAAGTACCTACTCTACGTCTATGATATTAGTTAAAAAAATAATTAAATAAAGCTATTTTTTTTTAACTCATTGCTGTTATTACTGTTTACAGAGTTAAAATAATGTACTTTCCATTATAACCTAATATAAAACTATGTTATTGTTAAAAATCTTAATAATTTTTACTAAAAACTATTAAAACTTTAATTTTTATTTATACTATATAATGTAATTATATGGGTAACGGTTTGGTGAGGCCTCTTTCATAGATATCCACTTCACCTGTCTTTTTCTAAACGAATCCATAGTGGACCAACTACTTTTTTAGTGTCATCTTCCTATCTCCTGGTCGGTCTACTTCTATTACTTCTGCTATCTTATGGGTACCAGTCTGTTAATAGCGTAGTCCATTTATCTTTTTTCCTACTAAAAATATGTACCTACTGTTCAACGCCATTTTAGGTATTTGTAAATTGTGTGTGCAATTTTGAATTCTACTTTTTATTTCTTGTTATTTTACTCTCCCCTTATATTTGCTCCTATTGTACCTACTCCTTTCAATTCCATTTTGGCACATTTTTATTTTAGTTACATGTTGTTCTGTTACTGCCCATTTTTGAAAACTGTAGTTATAGTAAACATGTAAGGATGCATATTATGTTAAACATATGTTAAATACCTTTCGTTTTTTATTTTCTTGGCGTACCAATGACTTTCATTAACTGGCTAATTGACAAAAATATTTTCCAAGTGTTACTAATTCTTCTTTCTATTTCCTTATGCATACAATGTTCAATGAATATCAGCTGTCTTAAATAAATATATAATTCCTGCACATATTCATTCATTATTTACATTTATGATTGCGGCTTGTGCAGAATTACTCATTATTTTGGATTTACCCAAGCTCATTGAAAGACATGCTTTAGAATCATCGCTAGCTTTGCAAAAGTCCTAATGTGTTTGGACAGTCAAAAAATAAAATTAGGTCGTCAGCAAAGCGCAGGTGACTTAGGTTTTCGCCGTTTAATTTAGTCCAAATTTTTTGCACTCTAGGTCCAGAAGTCTCTAAAACTGCAGAAAATAATTTTGGCCAGATTAGATCCCCCGGCGTACGCCTCTTTGAATAGGAAGTTCGTCCCCGACGATTGTTACTTTTGTAGTACTCTTCGTATATACATATAGTTTTTATTATTCTAATGTATTTATCAACCGACTTCAAAAAGGAGGAGGTTCTCAATTCGACTGTAAGTTTTTTTTTATGTTTGTTACCTCAGAACTCCGTTATTTATTAACCGATTTGAACAATTTTTGTGTTGTTTGAAAGTGTATACTTCCAGATTGGTCCCATTTAAATTTCAAAAAAAAAATACCACCCCTAAGGGTGGAAAATTAGCTAATGATGAATTTAACCTACTTCTAATTGTCATATTGACTTGAAACTTTACAAGTGTTTCTATTTCCGTTGATAGTACAGTGGTTCGGTATTATTGACCTGATCTGATGGTAAGACCAGAAGGTGGATAGGTGGAACTCTTCAACGGCTAATAGTAGATACTTTGAGTTTGGGCTTGTTTTGTTTGATTTGACAAGCCTAATACGTTTGAATTCTTACTTTGCTACTACTGTCTACACTAAAAAGGGAAAAATAAAAACTTTTTAACAAAAAAATAAAAACCGACTTCAAACAAAAGCACTAAAAAGTAAAAAATAACTGATTGGTAGTTTTCATTTACTATACATAACTAATCAAATATTTTCGAAATCGGTGCCAGGCCATATAAAGCAAAGCACACCAACTTCGAATATATTTGATTAGGTATGTATAGTAAATGAAAACTACCAATCAGTTATTTTTTACTTTTTAGTGCTTTTGTTTGAAGTCGGCTTTTATTTTTTTGTTAAAAAGTTTTTATTCAGTACCCATTGCCTCTCCAGTACTTTCTAAATTATGTATCCACGCTAGAAGTTGATGTGCACTGTTCGTTACCTTTATTTAATGATCTACTAAGGTTGTCAAAAAGTATGTCAGTGTCACCCTTACATTCTGTAGTTGTATCGTTGGTATTATTAATATACATATTATTATACTTAGGTCTATTTAACACTAGGTAATCCAGTAAAATAATCTAACCTTTCATAGCCGCTAGAAAGGCAACGCCAATACCGGTGTTTCCGGATGTTGGTTCCACAAATTCAGTCATTTCCTTAATGTAATTACCACTTTCTGCATCTTTCATCATCCCAAATGAAATACGATCTTTTGAAGAGCCAGCTGGATTCATAAATTCACATTTTGCATCTTAAAAAAATAAAATGAATTTAATAATTTTAGTAAAGAATATAATGTTAATAAAATAATTTACAAATATTCTTAATTGGTATTTATGATTACTAAATTACTTACAAATTTCACAAGAAAGTCCATAGTCTTTAGGAATCTTATTAAGTTTGATAAGTGGGGTGTTCCCTATAAAATCTAGGATGCTCTCATTTATTCTATTGATATATCTAAAAGAACACATTACTTTAAGATCAAGTTTAATTTATATGCTAACAAAAATATATATGTAAAAATCGCACATGGCAAAGAATCTACAAATAACAAATTTTACCTAATGTTAGCGTTCTGAGCTCAATATCATTGCTTGCCTTCGCCAATTTATAAGTATAGTAGGTACATGTATATTATTAAAGGAGAAATCATCTGTGACTTATCATACTATATATGTATTATTTACCTGTCTATCAACTTAGGTAGTTTAAGTGTCGAAAAATTATATCAATTGCAAAAGTAACTTTGTAATCGTCTTTTTTTGCTCGACTCGCCCCCCGTGCCCCCATACCTAGTTATTTCATCACGTACTATAATTTTTACTATATTAGTCGGTGCCAGCCGGTGTAACAGCAGGTGCCAGCAGTACTTTTCACCAGGGGGCATTATCTCATTCCCACGGGAAAGCACTTTATAATACAACCCAAAAAATATTTATAATCAGAATTACTTGAAACTTGGTATTAATGATCTTTACAACATACTTAAAAATACAGTTTAACAATACTGAACATACATAAAAAAAGATTCCGACGAATTGAGAACCTCCTCCTTTTTGGAAATCGGTTAAAAAAACAAAAGTTTATACAAACATGTAAACCAACTCCAAAAATTTTAAAAACTCTTTTTTATTTTACTAAATTATAATAATATACTTTTTGGGATCTATTTTTACTGTACGCTATTTATTAACATTTAATATTGTTTTTCCTCCTGATAAAATCCCATGTTATATACGGTCTTATTTTATAAATTCAAAGTGTTTAATAGCACTTTTATTTTATACACGCCTAAACAAGATAATCTTACGAATATCAAAGTTCTTAATATTTAAATGAATGAAAAATAAATCATATTACTTTTCCGACTCCATGAAACCTATTTTTTGAAGAAGCCCAATGAAGATTTTAAAAGTTTAAAATAACTGATAGACTATTACTTTTCGTGGAAAGTACTTTATAACAAAAAAAAATTATAACGTTAATATTAACATGAAAAAAAAAACATATTATTTATACTTACGGAGATTTCCAGTGAACGCCAGCTTTTGCAGGAGGAATAAAATGTTTTCTTGCAGCAATTAAATTAGGCATAATGACCGTTGTGAAATATGGCAAGGATCAGAATATTTTCTGAGTAACCCGTATCTACTTCTTATGAATTTATATCATTTTGTATAATGTACTTAATTTAAGTTTAAATTACTTTCATATCTTTGTTATACTAAACTATTTTTTCATACTGTCATGATTGTTTGTTTTTATTTATTTGTCCAACATGTTTATAAACATTTATTTATATTAAGCTATCCAATATATTGTCGAAGATATCCAGTATTTATTTGGGCTACATATTATAACTTGTCGAGAGACCATTTCACGGTTGCCTTAATATTTAAAAGGAACGGAACCGTAGACGAAATGGGTGGCAAGACAAATTTATGGAAGCCATTTCTGAATAGAAAAACAATCCAAATATTTTTTTATACATAAGGGATGTAAGCGAGCATGAGAACGACCTTTCCTCTTTTGTGGTGAGCGAAAAGTAATCATCTTAAAAATAATTATACTGGCTATATTTAATACACACGCTGTGGCATGGCAAAAATCTAGTTCAAAACTAAACGTAGCATAGTACAGGTATGTACGTATGTATGTATTCAGCCCACTGCTGGGTACGGGCCTCCATTCAATGCGAGGGCTATCAGGTCATAGTCCTCTACGCTGTCTAAGTGCTAGTTGGCGGACTTCACATGTCTTTCGAGAACTTGCTAGATTCTCTCAGATATGGGTTTCCACTCGACGTTTTCCTTCATCGTAAGTCAAGTGGTAATCTGTTGGAAATGATTCACATATGAAAATATCAAAAGTACGAGATCCGGGATTTGAAACCGCTTCACTCGGTTTCCCTAGCGACTGCGTTGCCACTGGGCTACCACTCCCTTTCGATTTCATTTTATCATTTGAATTATGAAGCAGTATCGGACATCGACTATCTCACATTCTAATAGATACTTAATCAGATTTTTATGGAAATCACTAAAGGATTTGTAGGTTTAGTGAAAAGCTTTGTTATAGTTCTGTTAAAATACAGATACCTACAGATACCTACTCGTAGATATAACTAAAAAGTAAAACGTGTGGATTAATAATATTATTTGTATATGTGACAGAAAACAAAAGAATCAGGAAAGAATACATAGTGTACAGAAGCACGTATAGTGTTCAATATTCTGAGAAGCTAATAAAATCGAGGTAGCGTTTATCAATGAATCAATATTTACGGTAATTAGATTCCACAATGAGTACGTATTGATTATTATTGAAAATATTAATATTACTTATTATTAATAGGAAACTCTACTTATAACAACACCAATAAAAATGTTATTAAAAGTAATACTTATAATTTGTAGTGACAAAGTAAAAAAAAATCCTTTTATTTTAAATAAAACTATTTTATTGGATTTTGTCGCATTTATTTTGGTTCGATTTATTTTGGTTCCAGATGTTTCAAATGATTTATAGCAAACATGGTCTACTAAGATTGATGTTGGTAAACATGAACTATGTAGTATGTACCTACTAGTTGTTACAGATGGTATGTATACCACAAAATTATACAATAATAATTTGTCAGAAACAGAACAATGGACCAAAGTACCTTACAATACTTATTAATTGCAACTTCAAACATTTTAATAATATAATAAATCTTTAAATGTTATACATATATACAAAGGATATGTTAACATGGTTAACGTTTGAAAAAAAATTGGTAATCGTACGGTTGTCTCACAATACATGCTGTTATATATATTACTTATTTGTAAAAAAAATTTATTAAGAATTCAACTCCTGTTCGATAAAATAAGGTTTTATTATTAGTGTATAATGGAATGAAACCGTCGTCAGTTTTCGTGTTCGTGCTGTTTTCCATGTGATGTGTAAGCAAGGAAAACATTTCTTCCGACTCACGACTACTAGATCTAGAACAATATAATTTGGATTTGGATAGGTGATCTTCAAGAACTAGAGCAAATACAAAACATTTGCCTCTTGCAGAAATCAAATCCGCTATCTCCGTTTTAGTAGACAATGTTAATCAGTCAAAATATTTTGTTTATTTATAATTATTTGTTTATAACACTTTATTGCACACGAAAATAGTACATTAAAAGAATACAATTAAAGAGATGTGCAAAGGCCTTGTCTTGTCACTAAAAGCGATCTCTTACATACAACAGAGAAGGATACAAAAAAATGTGAAAAGAATGGAGTGCATTAAGTGCAAGTCGTTAGAGATGAAGTCATAGGAGAGAGGAAAGTGTATATCTAAAAAAATTATTATCTAAATAACTGTTTTGTATTGCCAAACACTGCTACTTGTGACTTACTTGGATTTATACACAAACTAAATGACTTACTCCAAGTACTAATTAATTATGAAGAGATTGGAATTAATATTTTCAATAACCTTAGCAATGTCATTTACGGTTGTAATAGTATATAAATCTGCTTGTCATCAGCATAAAGATAAAAGGATGATGTGAGATACCTACTTAGTGAGAGTAAATGAAAATAGAGAAGAGTAAGCATAGTAGAAAGCACTTCACCCTGAGGGACTCCAGTACTGATACGAGAGCAAGAAGCATGATTGTCATCAAGCCATACATTGTTCACGATTATTTAGGTAGGAATAAAACCATTTAGTAGCATTAGAGGAGACATTTATGGACTTCAGAATGGCAAGTAGGTTATCGAAGTCTACTGTGTTAAGTGCTTTAATGCCTTGAATCTAAATATGAAAATAGTAATTTGCTGATTGTCGAATTTGTATCGAATATTATTAGAGACTTTATTCAGTACAATAACATAATGCCTAGATCGGAAGCTGGACTGGAAAGGTGATAGGATATTATTATTATAATTAACATTGTACCAGTGTGAATAAGATCATGCTCAATTTAAATACTTAATATTTATTATCTTAATTAGTTTGTATTTACAAAAGAATATAACATCTATATTAACAATCATATGGATGAGAGGAAAATCATACATCCTCACATAATTACTTTATAACAAGTATTGAAAAATTGTAACACGCACAACATTAACTTAAATACTTTTAAATACTCCGTTCGGATCGAGTTCACTTAACACTAAATATCACTATTTTGAGATACGATTGGTTTGTTAGTTCCATTTACTTGTTCGTATATACTCGTATTCCTAGAGGATTCAGCATAACTCTCAAAGAGCCAATCCCAAAAGCGAACTCTTTTAGCTTCAGGATCAAATCGAAGAGTGAAGTTCCCAGCAATATCGAGGAAGTTTACATGAGTTGTATCATTTACGGGCAGCCATGTGAAATCGACTACTGATTCATAGTCAACTGGAGGCGTTGGGTTTCTGTAGAAAACAAATAAAAATAATGAAGCAAGCCGGTATTTACAAAACGGATAATATGAAGATTTCTTTTCAAATATAAAATTATCTGAATGAAAAATCTTCTAATAAATTGTGGAATTTAAAAAAACACTAGAGTACCGTGATTTTAATCTAATTAATTATCGAACCAAGGAAAACAAGCGTTAATTTTATATATATGTATATGTAATATAAATTTGTAAATTTTATTATCTATAGGTACAGATGACTAGCAGAACTCGCGGCTTCGCGCGCGTTCAATCTAGAAAATAAACTCTTTAGTTTTATGTGTTTATATAATATAGAATTGCTATAAAGTATGAAAGTCTGCCCAATTTGTAGACATTTGATTACTGCTCCGCTCCCTTGAGCAATAGCATGATGATATATAGCCCATAGCCTTCCTCAATAAACGGGCTATATAATGCAAAAAAATATTCAAATTAATGTATGTAGTTTATGATATTAGCGCGTTCAAACAAACAAACACACTCTGCCTCTTTATAATATTAGCATAGATTAATTGAAATAAGATAAGATATCGAGTGGATTAAAAAATCCGGGTTATTTCCGTTTAATTACCCAGTTTTGGCGAAGTTCGTCCACAATTGCACCATTTTCTTGGACACTGCTAATTCTGGCGAATTATCGTCTAATCTATAGTTTAACCTAGAGAAGTAGAAAAGATATCCCATTTCATCTCCATGGCAAGCTCCTGGATGTGTGATTCCCAACATTCGTTTGAAAAGTCCAAGAGCACCATCAAACGCAAATCGGTAGAGATAAGTTGGACTTGTTCTATTTGTTTTTGCTTGTAACCTTAGAGTCTCCAATGCTGGTCTCAAAAACATTACATCTGTGAATAACTGGAAAAAATTTTTGATGAAATTCTGCATTTTTTTAATAATTTTATAATAAGGCCGATTTATATATCCGACAATGGATATTAAATCACGCGATAGCAATATGGATTACATCGCAACATGCAAATGGAGCCATGACTATAAGCTATTTAATAATATAATAATTATTAATTAAATAAATTTTACAACAAAATTAAGAAAATCGTTAGAATATCTACAATATAGGAATTAGGTATAATAGTTTATTATAATAGCTATAAAGTCTTCATAATAAAAGCATATTAGAATAATAAAAGTCTTACGTCTATAAGGCTGTCAATGTTCCGCATGTCCACAGGCCGCTGTTGAAAGTAGAAGGCTCGAATTTGGTCCGTGATTTTGTTTGATCGCTCCTCATCTGAAGATATTAGCTCAGGAGGAACTACTCGTCTAAATTCGTGTTCTAGTTCACTCAGTAGTTTTGGATAGCGTTGGAGTCCTGAAATATTATAAGGTAATTATGTAAATTATTAAAAATATTTTTCAGGTAAAATATCTGGCATGTTTCGACTATGATAAATATCAATTTATCAAGTAAATCACTACTATCAAGTAAATCATGTAAAGTGAATAGATATTTAATTAACTAAATAACCCTTTCTCTCCCTCTTTCTCTCTTTAAGCTGCTCTATCTCTTATAAAGTATTAAGTAGATATATTTTTCTATAATTTTACATTATTACTTATACGTTTGTCGTTTCTGTAACTTAAAACGTGAAATATTTTTACTTATCAATGAGAATAAGAATGTAAAAAAGTATAGGCATTTACAAATCTAGGACCGCCATCTTTAATTTGGAGCTTTTTAAAGAGACACAAAATGTAGGTATACTCGTATATTTATCTTGTTCTCATTTCAAAAATTAGATAGAGCGTGTCGTCATAAAAAAATACATTTGACACTCCCAGTACTTCTGACACTGTCCGACACCTATAATTTGCGCGTCAAAACTGTCACCTAATCTTAAATAACATAAAGCAATTATGATAATGGGGGTTCTGGGTTTGAAATAGAAAATAAAATAGCCTTCTCGTTCAGGACTTTTCAACCTACGTAATCCAAGTCGGGCCTGTCACATAGTCGAAAATTAAAACTTACAAATAAATAATATTTTATCCAAATGCTCCAAATTAACTGGATTAATAGTTAATCTAACTTCCTTTAATTAATGGCGACAATTCATTATTATTAGATTGATCTTAATCTCTACTTTTAATTAGCATTCAATAATTAGATAAACGAATATAGAATAGAAAACTGTAGAAGTGCCTTACATTGCATAATCGTATATTTTGGTTAAGCTATGTCTTATTATGTAAACCAGTTACAAATAGGTACAATACAGCGTGACGATATAAATAAGTATAAAGACAGCTGTTAGTTTATTATATAATTCATGTAACATTTGCGAAATCAAGTATTAAATAAGGCGAATGTAAATTGGAAAGAAATACTTGATCTGCGATTACTTTTGTATTGTGGGTTGTGGCGCCTTCTCACACCTCATAATATCATCCATACTAATAATATAAATTTAATATTATTATTGTATAATAGGCTTTTTTAAAATTTTCTGGGATCCTGTTGTGTAAGCGTATAAATTGTCCATAAAAAGAATTCCTGACTGTGTAAACGAGTCACAGGCATAACAAGTTTGTGTTTAACACACATATATATATATATATATATATATATATATATATATATATATATATATCTGGCATGTTTCGACTATGATATATATATATATATATATATATATATATATATATGTGTGTGTTTTAACGTGTTTTCACGTGGGAATGAGATAATTTCCCGTGGTAAAAAGTAGCCTATGTTTAAAAAAAAAAATTGACTGTTACTTCTCAGTAGGTATACGAAATTGTTATATATGTTCGTAAAAATATACACGAATTTCCCAAGAAGAATGACATGCATAACATTAATACTAGGAGCAAACACAATTTAACTTCATTCTACATGTGCTTCTTTACCTGCCTGTCTGAATGTCTCTTTATACGTATGTCACAACCATATTAATCAGTAATTATTACACTATATACTCGTAGATAAATTATCAAGAAACCTGTTTCGTGTGAACTGTCAGATAACGCTGAAATCTGAATCATGTAAAATAAATAAGGATGGCATTGCGTACCTACATGTAAGCGATTGTAAGTAGAAGTGAAAAAAAATTTAGTACACATATGGTAAGATACTCGTACTTTTAGGTACGCCTAAATACTATATGTTCAAAATCGCTTAGTGCGTGAGTCATCTCATATTGTAAGATGAAGTTGGATCGAAATCGTGAATTTCATCATTGTGTAGGTAGGTACATATTGCGTATTGTACTAAATAGATCGCAAATTGATTTTGCAGATTCTGTAGAATCTGCAGAATCAATATAAATAATAATAAATATTGATGTGTGTGTTTTTGTGTATGTGGTTGTGTTTGTGCATGTATGTACATACATAAATGAGTTACTCCGACACTCCGAAACGACTGGATAAATTTGATAAAAAATGTAGTACTTATCGCTAGTATGTATTCAGCCCTTTTTAATGTCCTACTGCTGGGCACGGACTTACTTTCAATGCGAGGGAGATCAGGCCATAGTCCACCACGCTGGAAAAGTGCAGGTTGGAGGACTTGACATGTCTTTCAAAAAAATTGCTAGGTTCTCTCTAACATGCAGATTTTCTCACGGTATTTTCCTTCACCATATGATAAGTGGTTATCATGTTAGAAATGATTCGCACATGAAAATATCAGAGCTGTGAGACCCAAGATTCGAACCTGCTTCACTCGGTTTTCCAAGCGAGCGCGGGACTACTGGGCTACCACTGCCTTATCGCTAGTATAGTTACAACTTATAAAACGTAACAGAAATTACAATCATTTAAAGGTAAATGTCTTTTAATGTATTATGCAGATTTAAAACATTAATTAGTTCCAGAAACAATACAGCAATAATTTATTATTTTATTCTAAGGAATGAAAAAATGAAGTAAGCTTCATGCAACAATGTGTGGTAAAATTTTATAAAAACAATGCAAAGTTTCTTATCAAACAGACAATGCAACAAGGTTTTAACATAAATAACAACCAGATCGTTTATTAGTAGGCAGAGTTAAGTCATTACCATATTCCCATCGTAGGTTCGTGAGAATATTGAATCATATATAGTTCTAATTAAAGGATTTCGACGCAAAAAGGTTTGATATTATATATATATATATATATATATATATATATATATATATATATATATATATATATAAGATGTACGTGTTATTGATACATACACGAATTCACTTATTATTATCTAATCTATATTATATAAGATGTCATAAAACAGTATCAAAGACAAATCTGTACGTGAAATATTTTTTAAAAACTATGATTGTTACGTATTATTATTTTACGCAAAAAATACTAAACGGTTTTTATGAAAATTTTGTGTTGTGATAAATTATTATTAGTCGGGTCAACTGTCAACATTTAGGATACCTTTTACTGTAGGAAATTTTCTTATTCCTACTGTGAAATACATAACTGGTCCGACCAAGTTCAAGTTGTTCTATTGTACATACAAAAATTTCAATTATTTATTACACAATTTAAAAGGTATTAGTTGCAGTGTGTGTAATTTTTATTAACATATTTAACAATTTAGTGCGGTAAAATCTATCATTTTCCTGGGTATATAAAAAAATTATTATAGTTTGGTTGCAAGTCGCTGACTTGTAATTAAAACAGTAAAACAAAGTCACTGTCTGTCTCTGTCTGTTTTTCTCCGCTTACTTCTTCTAAACCACGAAACGGATTTTGATACGGTTTTCACTAATACAAAGAAATAAACTGTTTTCGTACGATAGATTTAGAGAGACATCAAAACAATACATATATTAGAAAATTGTAGACCTTAAAAAGACCTACAAAAAAGTCCGCGATAGCATTAGTCTATTTCCTGAGGTACGCTCACAATAACTATTTTTACGTATTTAAAACGTACTCGTATCTACATAATATGTAGGGTAAAAGCCGGATAGTTGCCCCACTTTTTGTAAATCTCCAATTACATAAAAAATAAGTATCTACTTACAATATGCCCTGTATTTAATAAAACATTGGTCTTTAATCTTTCATTGTGACATATTTTTTTAAACACAATCAATATTGTTTTTCAGTAAATCCTGTTTTATTTGACCTCTACAAAAGTGGATAGTTACCCTCTGTGGCTGATAGTTGCCTTATGTTAAAAATGCTTTGGATACTTGCCTCATGCGGGGATAGAAGACTCATCATGAAATTGTTGCAATTTTTTTTTGGATTAAAACAAATTTATGTAAATTTAACATTATTAATTACTAACATCAATCAATTAAGTAGTAGGTGATGATGATGATGTTCTCCTAGCCGATTCCGGCCACGGCGACCAATCTCATTGAGGCTAGCCAACTGCGCAGGAGATATTATACTGCTCAAGTGTACGCGCAGACACAAGTGCACTCTCTATTCCTATCACTCTCATACTCCGGTGGGACGACTGCTCGACACAACCAGTGAGAGTTAAGGCGCAGGACCGACGGCTTTACGTGCTCTCCGAGGCACGGGGGTGAAACACCGCCAACTTCTCAACTCCGGGCTGTTACTGAGACTTACTATACAGAAAGGCTCAATAACTAAACTTGGCCCGACCCGGGACTCGAACCCAGGACCTCCAGGTGTGCAGCCGTACATGCTAGCCACTACACCACCGAGGCAGTAGCAAGTAGTAGGTATTTACTAATCGAAATCAATACAACTTTTAAAATACAAATAAAATCTCCAAAATGTACGTTTTAAATAATAATTAACTTTAAAGATAAATACAATATGGCAAACAACTTTGACACAAATATTAAAATTAGTGGGTAGGATATTATAGGTATATCACGTTATTATATATATATATATATATATATATATATATATATATATATATATATATATATATAATTATTGGCGGTGTTTCACCCCCGTGCCTCGGAGAGCACGTAAAGCCGTCGGTCCTGCGCCTTAACTCTCACTGGTCGTGTCGAGCAGTCGTCCCACCGGAGTATGAGAGTGACAGGAATAGAGAGTGCACTTGTGTCTGCGCGTACACTTGAGCACTATAATATCTCCTGCGCAGTTGGCTAGTCTCAATGAGATTGGCCACCGTGGCCGGAATCGGCCAGGAGAACATCATCATCATCATCATCATCATCATCATAGGTATATCACCAAAAACAGTTTAAAAATCATCATCAATTACGAAGTCATAACTTTTAATTTTCCACATCTCACACAATATTCTTTGAATGATGAACAAGTTTCCTGGAAATACAATCCAGTATAATATGGATTTAGTATTGTAATTTTCAAAAAATTTACAATAATTATCAACC